ACAAGGGCGGTTCTGTTGGCATCTGGTACATTTCTTGACAAATAATTCTATGTCTTCGTCAAGGTTAGGCCACCAAACATAGTAACGTGAAAGTGCTTTCATAGCAGAAATGCCAGGGTGTCCTCGATGAAGGTATGTAAGAATGGCTTTTCGGAGTGCTGTAGGTATAACGATGCGTCCTTGCCTCATAAGTATCTTATTCTCAACAGATAATTCAGTCCGGTTTCTGTAGAATGGTTTCATTTCTGGATTGTATTCTGATTCTCTCCAGCCGGTTTTTAAATTTTGACAAACTTTTGTGAGTATATGATCCTTTGCAGTTGTTTTCATAAGTAACTGTTCTGATAGGTTAAGGTCAGTCATTCGAGTGCTCAAAAGACGTAGATCTATTTTATGTACAAGCCCTTCTGTCTCGGAGGGTTCAGTTTCAGGGTTTGGTAATCTGGAAAGGCAATCAGCTAATGTGTTATTTTCACCTTTCCTGTAGTAAATGTCATATTGATAACTTCCCACTACTAGGGCCCATCTTACCAATCGGTTATTGGCTAGTTTAGGAAGGTTGCGGCGTGCACCCATAATATGTATAAGAGGCTTATGGTCCGTAACTAGATTAAATTTCGTTCCTCTCAAGTACTGATCAAATTTTTTTATACCAAATACTATTGCTAAAGCTTCACGATCAATAACGGAATATTTCATTTCCGCTGGTCGTAGTTTCCTTGAAGCAAAAGCAATTGGTTGTTCTATGTTCGAGTCCTTGTGGAATAATACTGCACCCAATCCCTTTTCGGAAGCGTCACATGCTAAATAAAGGGGACGTTTCTCGTCAAATGCAATTAATGGTTGTGAAGACGTTATGCATTTCTTTGTATCTTCAAATATTCTGTTTTCGTGATCAGTCCAACGCCATCTATTGTTTTTACTAGTTAGATCATGAAGATCCGAACAAATCCCGTGAAGATGTGGTACAAACCGTTCGTAAAAGTTAACTAGTCCTAAAAATGATCGTAGTTCTTTTGCATTACTAGGTGCTGGGGCCTTAGTTATGGCATCAATTTTGGATTTGGTTGGGTGGATGCCATGTTTATCTATTATGTGACCTAGGTATTCAATCTGATTCTGTAAGAAATTACATTTCTTTAAATTAACTTTTAGGCCAGCGTTTTGTAAGCGATCGAATACAATAGATAAAGTTTGTAAATGTTCTGAAAGATCTTTCCCTGCTATAACTATGTCGTCAAAATATACAGCTACATTGGTGATATCGCCTAGCAGTTGATCCAGAAAATGTTGGAAAATTGAAGGAGCAGTCGATATTCCGATGGGCATTCTATTGTATTGGAAATACCCTTTATGTGTTGACAACGTCAAGTACTTTTTCGAACCGGTGCTATTTTAAATTGTAAGTATGCGTCTTTAAGGTCTATTTTTGAAAATAATTTACCGTTTGCGAGATTTTGGCGTAGTTGATCGAAAATTGGAACTGGGTTTAATAATGATGTTTTGTAATGTAGATGTTTAATAAGTACTGGATTAAGTGTAGTTCTGTAGTCTCCACATATCCTAACTTCCCCTGTAGATTTCAGAATGTTAACTGTGGGTGTAGCCCATTCAATAGGTGTAATATTAGGATCTACTTTTTCCACTATCCCTTCTGAGATCAGACGATCTATCTCCCTTTCTATATTCTTTTTCATGCTAAATTTTATAGGCCGTGCAGGAAAGTGGATCGGTTCAGCTTCTGGTTTGACATGTATGTTTACGTAATAATTGTTAACTTTTCCTAGTTTTCCATCAAAGAGTTGTGAATGTTTATCCAGTATTTGTTTAAGAGTAATCGGTGTTGATGTTTTGATGGAGTATACTGGTTTTGGAAATTCCATTTCAAAAACTTCACTCCAATGTAAACCAAATAACATTGGTTTGGCATTTTTCATTACGACCACAGGTAGAAGTTTTTGCAGTCCGTCGACTTCGACTGTCACTTTTGTAATTCCCTTTGTTTTTAAGTTTGTGTTGCCGTAGGCTTTAAGTTTCGGGGCGGGTTGTAAAGATGGTGATCCTAATTTTTTCCACAATGTCGTGTTTATTATTGAATACGCAGAGCCGGGGTCCCGATCCATAGTGCAAGGTATGTCATTGATCCGTACATCGATTTGTTTGCATTCTCTCTTACGTGTACCCAAGACGCTGCAGATAACTTCATCATCGCTTTCTTCCTCGTTATTACTGATAAATGATGATGATGATGTTGAGGACTTATGAGGTCTTGTTATTTTTTTAATTGATTTTCGGCTCCCTTCTGAATAGCTGATGTATGCCCGTCCAGACTTAATGCAACAACTCTCAAAGTGTGCTTTCGTGTTACATTCTTTACACATATGGTCCTTGGCTGAACACTGTGATAGGCTGTGCCGTTCTTTCTTTCCACAGCGTAAACAATGCATTGGATTTAATTTTCGTGTTGTATTTTGATGTAATGGTACGGTTTTGGTTTTGCTCCTATTTATTTTTTTAATACTTGTTCGTGGTGTGTCTTGTTCTGCCTGTTCTCTTGATTGAGAGATTGTAAAAATTTGTTGGAAGGTTACTTCTCGTGGTATTCCGTCTACCATTTGAACTAAATCAGGCCATTTTTGTTTCAAGTCGGTTTCTAAATCTGGATGATTCAATCCAGTGGCAAAGCGGTCACGTAATTGTCGTTCCAGGAAGTCATTAGTGTAGCCACAATCCCGACTAAGACCTTTTAATCTGTTTGCATAGTGTTCCATCGTTTCATTTTGTTCTCTAGTGCAATTCCAGAATTCTGTTAAGGCTCTATACCTCGTCGTTTTTATGCGATAGAGGTCTAATAAGTTGTTACAAATTTCGCTGTATGTAGCTATATCGAAATCAGGCGTTAAAGCTACTTTTAATTCGTGGAATATCTCTGGTGTTAGTAAATTCAGAAGCAAATCTTTCTGTAAGTTGCTGTTATCGATATCAAGAATTTTGCATTTGTTTTCGAAAAAATCAATGTAATCGTCAATTCTGAATATATCTGGATTGTATTTATCCATATTGAAATGTTTGATTATACTTATCTTGTTATCTACAACTATGTATTATGGAATGTAAAAAAGAAGGTTACAATAGAAACGGTAAAATTAGTTTTAATTTTGTCTACGCCTCGGGAAACCGATGAAAATACTATGCCAAGGAAAACTAGGCAAACTCCATACACTCAGGTTCACCATACAGACCTATACCAGGTGACTGTTCATAGATTAAAAGCATTCTTAATGGATCCAGCAGACATACTCTGTAAAAACTAAACCAACAGCTAGATTACAGCGACATCTACGGGGTCCAATTTTTCATTGATTTACTACAAAATACATATAAAATTTGCTGGGATCTAATAAGAAGCTACGAGAAAATCAGAAAAACCAAACAAGCCGTTTATGTAGTAGTTTCATTTTTGAACTGGACAGGCGAAAGCATCACCATACAGCTTGATCTTTATATAATTTATGAAAAATGATTTTGTAAGTTCAAGTTCAAGACATTTAGATAAATCAATCAACTACGTCCAGCGGCTTTGTTTCAATTTCTCACATTTAAACAGTTAATAAACCATCATTATTACACATTTAAACCCGAACAAAAACTAAATTAACAAAATAAAATAATTCACACAAGTTCGCACTTCGCGTTCCTACCAAAAAGTCGGTCACACAAGTCGTACCTATACTACTGAAGTAATGACCTATACAAACTGGTCATAATTATTATTGTCAAAATATTGTAATCTCCAAAAAGGAATAAAGCAAATATACATTTTTTCATAATATAGCTTTTTTTTCTGCAAATATTAAGTATCTATGTACTTTTGAAACTAGTACTTACTAGTTCAGTGTTACATACCTACAGACAACTTCAAAATACCTTAATTAGAGATTAAGCTGTACTATCCTGCAAATAATGTTTATTATTGAAAACTTCCCTTGTCAAGGATTGAAAGAGGTAATTTTAGTAATGAAAGATTAATGGTGACCTGGGCGTGTTTCCTGTTTCACCAGGACAATTGTCAGCTCAACGGCAGCTGCTTCGTGAATATATCTACTACCGGATCGCAATCGCGACCCGCTGAGAAGATCCGGTGAAAAACTCAGTGAGCTGATGTATAGGTTAATTGCACCTCGAACTCTTTGACGAGTTTGATAAGTATACTTACCAGGGTTCCTATGCCTGCTTCTAGTACTAAAGCTAGCGTCTAATAGTAAAGTCAGTGGATCGGACGGATCCGTAGGGATGTATCTGCAGCGTCGACCATGGGTGGCTCTTTGTTGAGCCCGAGTCGGGGAATAGTCAGAGTCTGCAACAATGAGACGATTATCATGACATATGGACTTATCGTAATATTGTTCCGACGGTGACCTAGGTGTTTTCAGATGATGCTACTGATTCATTGCTTTTAACCCAAAAAATAATAATAAATTGATCAAAGAGTTGATCGTTGATAATCAGAGTTGTCCTTTTTTTTTTTGATTTTTGAAGCTCTCAAATTTTTTACTTACCTGTTTTAGTGACAGAGTACAAAATACATAGTAGCAAAGTAAAACTTTGTTCACAATCCACAGGCATAAGATTGTATCGAATCATTCTGGGAATAAAAGAACTGCTTGTAATGTATGTAATTTATGCTATTAACAGACCTATAGTTGTAAATATCTAAAGGGTATTCTTTTTCAGAATGTAAGAAACATTTTACGAGTGTACTTCACTTGACAATCGCAGGAGAGCGGTTTTTTCTGTTTTACAGGAAAGTGGGTTTTTGCTTTGTTCTACAGAATAGTGTTAGATTCACAAGGATTTCGTAGATAATTTCGCACAAAACGGTTAAAAAAATAAGGATTTTGAACATTTGTGGATTGAAAATTCCGAATTCGTGATCTTTTTTTCTTCCTATGGCAATACCGTTCTGTGTGTCATCTGTGGTAAGAAATAGTAAGAATACTAAGAATCGACTGTCGGTAGAAAAAAGAGAGTCTCTGTTATGAATATTGTTAGACGCAATAATTTACGATTTAACATAAACTAAGAGCAAAAATAATATTATTGTATAATAATTTCGTCTGACTAATATTCGAAATGACTTGGGGGTTCGTCACATGTGGCCCTAACGAAGCACTCGTGATTTCAGGTATAGTATATTCAACCTTGTTTTCGTGATTTTACTATTTTATTTCCATCATCTTCTCTGAAGTAATTTTAGAAATGCCATGAATTATAAAGTTAAAATTTGCACATGCGAACGAGCCTCCGTTATAAACAAAACAAACTTTAGTTTCCAACTAATTTTCCTTGTTTTCGTTGGGAAGCATAAAAGGTAATTAGTGTTCGGTTCTTCTTAATGCGAATTTCATCAATATTTCTTATTATGAGAAGCAGATAAAAACTCATATTCGATTATTTTTGTAGTATTTATAGAATGAAAAAACAACTATTTAATAAATATTTTTAATATATATTCAATAGATAATTATTTGGGTTTTTAATAAAATTTCAGATAGTAAAATGACTAAATTCATACCTACTTTATAATTCACCAAATAATAACAAAGGTACAATTATTTTATTACCATAATATTGAACTACAGCACCAATATGATATTAATCAGAAGACTAAAGCAAATTCAATATTATAATTTTATGTTGAATTATATTGAGTATTATTAGACTACATCCGAACCAATAATAATAACTGCCACCCTGAAAACAACGCTCATAAATTCTTATCTTCTCTTAGTATTATACATAATCTGATGTCAGGTAGAAAATTTCTTGTATTCCCCGTGTTCTGTATCACCCTAAGTATTTCTTACTCAGCGCCCTTTTACCCATATGCCAGTGAAGTGATTTGTGTGCCTCTCAACCCTCCCTCCTATAAAATTTCCTATTGTCAATACTTTCAATCTAGCCTTTAGTGGGCTCTAAGTTCCCTCCATAGCCTATCAAATCGCTATCCCAGAAATAGTTCTAGTTATGTTTGTTATTCTTGTCATGTAGTCCGCTCTGCCATGGAATACGCTCCTTTTCGTTATCAGGACCATTATTACTAACTCGTGCACATTAAAGTTAAGGGTTCTGAGAATGCTGTTGGGGAAATTAGTGGAATCATCATTAATTTATTAAAATTATGTTAATATATTCCTTTAATACATTTACACTTACATTATGGTAAGTATGCATACTACTGTATTTGTCTATGTCTAGGGCATTTACTTTCTTTATTATTGTATCTGTATATATTTATATTCATTTGTGTGTTAAATTTGTATTACAATGATCCTACTAATATTTACTCTGCACTACCTTTGGTTGATTGGCAGAGAATGGCTTAGGCTTTAAGTCCACCAATGTAGTTAAACATGTAGATGAAGTGTAATAAGTAAATAAATAAATAATCGCAATTTTCTAACCTCATAGTCAAAATGAAGGCACCCACTCCCTCCAGCTTCTGATGACAGATGATGCTATCACCAAATTCTGTTATTACTTTCCTTTATTTGTATCTTGAGTACTAATAAAACTTGGAATTAATCCTGTGGCTTTAGCAGGATGTAATGATCATAATTTTATTGGAACTAATATTTTGTCTTACGGCATAATTAGAATTGACTCCTGTGTTAAAAAAAAAACAATTATTTAATTAATTACATTGATTTAGTAAAACTTTATATCAGGGATTCCCAAACTATTTTGAACAAGAGACCCCCTTTCCAAAATAAGCTAATAACTCGGCTAATAAAATAAATTACTTTAAAAATCCCATCTCTTGTTATTGATATAAAATACTTACAAATTTAAATACTTTGTGGTTTGTTAAGTTATTGCAGTGTGCAGGTATTGGCCCTTTTGGGAATTCTTGCTTTATATAGAATTATTTTTTGTATTCATAACATAATACTGTCATTTTCTTTCAATGTAACAAACAGGCACTATTTTTTCTAAGCAAAAACGTCTCGAACACTTGCACACCAGTGACTTCATGATGAAGGACAGGAAAATGAGTAATAAATGGTGATGGGCATTCTGTGTCTCTTGATCAGCAAGCCTCACTGTCCTGTCTATTTTTATTGCGACCATTTTACCAATATCGGTGAGCCCTCAGACTTGTTGGTAGCATGCACACAATATCTATGGGTTTCAGAAACAACTTAACACCATGAAATCATCTACCCATCTAATATAATTTACTACCATTAATATAATTTAATTTACTATATAATTTACTACCCATCTAGTATAATAGAAAAATATATAAAAATTTTAACTCCCAAATATAATCTATAAAACAATGAATAGTTAACTGCATATGAACCTTACTGTGAAGGTTAAATTTCGAATTAGACTGTCCTTTTGGGAAGCTTCAAATTTGGTGTAAGCTTTATGATTGACTTAATGTGATATTCATGTTCATAGTCACGTGCATACTTAAGCACTATGATTAATCCGGTATGCTGGAAAATATGGAACTCATTAATAAAAGTTTAATTTCATAAAAACAAATTCATCGTCATCAAATTACTTTTCGGCATGTATGTTATTTTCTTTTATTTCATGTCATTGTCCTTCCACTTCGACTTCTAATTCACTTTGTATCAAAGTCCAACGAGATGTTAAACCAATAAGAGTAGCTCGGCTCCAATCATTTCAAAATTAATATTGATGTATGACGTTCACAGATTTCAGAATATTTTTCCTAAATTGATTTTGTACTGCATTACAAGTTTTTGCAGACGTTACGGATTTATTTTATCACGACTCAATAAAAACTTGTCTGTTTAAGTAGTGGCTATACACCTAAAATTAGTTGTTGAAAATGTGTTTTAATTATTTTAAATTCAATTCTCGTTACACTGACGTTCAATTTTCATCTAACGTTCATTCGTTTTATCGCAGATACAGAGGATAATTGAGTTGGTGCTGATGACTCACACCAATAGACCTAATTGAGTTGTGACGTCAACATCTGCTAATCACTATTTTACTATAGTATGTTTGTGCGGGCGTGGTCTTGTTGTGTTTGAGTATGGTTTACGCTTTTGATTCTATTAATTGTATAATGTTTAATAATTTCATATGAAAAACAGTAAAAAAATGTCTTTAAAGTTTATTCAAGACCTGTGTGCAACGAACGGGGCGTTGGCAAAATATACAGCTAATATTTTTACACCATACGATCTATGGTGTAATACCATACAGCCGTTGAATCTTTATGTACAAATCTTTATAAAAAATTTATTTTATTTTTATTTATTTCCTTTTTTTTTATTAAGACATAGTCTTGCCAAAGCGAAAAAGCGACCGCCACACATTTGATAATTAATCTCGAAATCATAGTGGCATTAGTTGATTACGTTGGCAGTGTCGCGAAGATAAACGCGGCTATGGACAAGAAATTCTCTTTTAAATGCAAAATTACTGATGAGGCAACTTAACTGTAAACCTAAAATTTCGCCCAGGATGCTGCTATTCCAAGCCACTCCTGGTCCCTGGTGGTCGAGCCTTTGTATGGCCAGCGATCCAGAGCGTACAACGGATATCTCTAAACACCATGACCCTTCAAGTGGAGTCACCAACTGTCTATACCAGTCAGGGTGTGCCCATTTCGGTTACTGGAATCGCTCAGGTTTGTAAGCATTAATTATTTAACTGGACGTGCTCCTCAATTTTACCTACATTATACATATTTGTAATTCAGAGTAAATGAAAAACGTTGCATTTTCCCGGATAAAGAGATGCTTGTTTCACCCTATACATATCTTTACCAAGTACCTACCACACTTTCTTATTTATTGTAGCACATATAAACTAGTCTAGTCTAGATCAAGGCTTAAAAACGATTTAGCAGCAGTCGTTATTTTTCTGCAATTAAGTAACTTCGAAATCGATCGATCGATTTACTAACTACTAACTTACGCATTTAATTCTCTCACTTTTTAAATGAATGCTAACGGATTTAGATATACTCAATCTCCAAGAGATAATATTAGAGATAATATTAGTATTAAGACAAAATGGCCCTTAAAATATTGACGCATCGCGTTGTGGCGGACGTGCAGCAAAGAGACTCGTGATTTCTTATACGCATTAATATTCCCTTATTTTGCATAACATTATATTGTAACTATTTAAAAAAAAAAACCTTTGTATTATATCCCAATAATCATCTCACTACATCGATGGCAACCACTTACAAATTGTTGCAGTTTTAATGGAAATTAGTAAATTCTCACAAACGTAAAAATAATAAGTTTGTTCATATCAATCTAATGCCGGTGCGTAAAGATAACATTCAACTTTCATCACTTCGCAAACAATACATTGATATAAAATTCCTTTTTTGCTATTTTTTATACTTATCAGGAGTGTAGCGAGGTTATTGTCAATGTCGATTTTACTATCGTATTAACTGACAATTGACTATCTTTATCAGAAAGATGTTGTAGGGCAAACACGAATGGATACGTTCGCGTGTATACGCATGTCGATAACGTTATTTCGGTTTTCTTTAGAAAATGTTTGTTATGTATCAAGCCTATCCTTATATTTTTATATGTAGAGAGATCCGAAGCAGTGACTAAGTATTATTTTTTTAAATGAAAAGAAATATATTTGCCCACCGTAAAAAAGATAGTAATCTTGAAAATTAAACAACGCGAACAGTGAATAATATTGAGAAAAAGGATTTTAAATAATGTAGAATACACATCTTTCGTTTCTTAAATATTATTATAATTTACTTTTCAATAGCAATCTTTGTAGTGACTTCTGCTAAATAACTCTAAACGTGTTTCATTTTCTTATCACACTTATCAGCTTTTTTTAAATTAAGATAAAACATCTAATTACCTTTGTAATTTCAAATTACGCAATGATTAGATATATCGTCGTATATAGGTATAGTATTTACTAGTTTTTCATTACTACTATTTACTCGTTTTTTTTTTGTTAGTTTCATTTTCTAATTTAGATTATTTCAACGGGCCAGTATTAATTTCATTCATCGAATACTTCTTTGGTTAGTCTCGATGCCTGCGAAATATCGTAGTCGTCTTGTGAATATTTATGAACATTTCTAGTAAATTGACTCATTGCAGAATGTAATAGCTTTATACCTACATGTGATTCAAACAACAGTACCATCGTGAGATTAGCTAATGGATCCTCTAAAATTTCACCTTTTGAACGCCAAAATTCCAGGTCAAAATTCAAGGTCAGAATTCCGAGATGCTGCTCTCCGCGTGTGAGCAGTTTCTCGGTAAAACGGAGCAAGAGATTCAGCACATAGCCCTGGTGACGCTGGAGGGTCACCAACGTGCTATAATGGGATCTATGACGGTCGAGGAAATATACAAAGACAGAAAAATATTCTCGAAAAAGGTTCGTTGTATTGTTTATTTGACGAAATTAAAAGAAGAATACGTATAGCAATTTATAATAAAACATATGTGGAACCATCATCATGCGTACCGGGGTTAATGAACACAACGTGAATACTGGTAATTTTTATTACACGATATTATTCCCTTATAGTGGGAACCGTTCGTAAGCACGTAGCGGTATCAGGTATTTTATGATTTGAACCTTTTTTTGTATCACTATACTATGCAACCGATGTTCTTACTTTTGTAGTTCAGCGTTGTCCAGACTAGAAATGTATGTGGGTTAAAAAAAATACGCCATCAACTATTTATTGGCCCGTAAATGATAAATGTTGCCAGTGTTAAAAAAATATATATTACATTTATACATTTTGTATTGAAAATGAACTTTTTTAACATAAGTTTTGCAGGCCTTTGTTTGAACCATCCTGTTTTGCACAAATACTTCAAGCTGTTCTCGTACTCATATAATGTGTAGTATGGCAGTTCAAAACACTGGAGTTCACATTAAGATGTCGTTTGCCTTAGTCATACACAGAAATTCTTGAACAAAAAAAAACACATTTTAATATTTATTTATTCATTCCAGGTGTTCGAAGTTGCGTCGAGTGATCTAATCAACATGGGAATCACAGTTGTGTCGTATACTTTGAAGGACATCAGAGACGAGGAGGTAGGTTTCCTAGTAGATAACATAACGTAGTCGACAGACAACAGTAATTCATACAATATTGTTCTCCTAGCCTAGTGGTATAGTGAGTTTTTTATTATATGTATATTTGCAGTTTTTCTAAGAGACATCACATAAACTATCATTTCTTTATTTGGAACGTAATCGTTAGACGTTTTAGGCGGGTATCGTACAATGGGATAAGGGGAGCTACGTAATTCAATTAGGTCTGTCTTAGGTTTATCTATGTTAAATTTGTGAAAGTCGTGGAGAAAGTGAAATGTGAGTTAGTTTTATTATCACCATGGCAACACAGCTACATAATATGCATATTAAATAATATAACGTTTTTTTTGTATATCTATTCAAATGTACAGACTCATTTCTGTTGCTGTTTTATTGTATTTTATTTAACGTTGTTTATAAATTTGGGCTAAATAAAATAACCTTTTCGACATCGTATGGATAACAATGTAACGATTGTTAATTAAAGGTATACTTTTTGTTTGTTTAAACGTATATTTAGCTGGGCCAAGGTAACGTAGCCCATAAGGCCTAGTCTTGTATTACTGGAACCATTTGACTAAAAGTGAAATGCAATGAAATAACTTTCAAGATTTTGTTGAGACTTCAATGAACTTTTCGGCAATAAATCCAGTAGTTGTTGTTGTGTGTTGCGACACTTGTGCACGCTGCAACCATTGCGAGTTCCAATGACGTTTAAAGAATACATTATGTACGTTAGTAAATCATTAAGGATTTCTCTAGCCCGGCGACGCTGATATGATCTCTCTAGAGACTAGACTATCAGCTTAGGTAGAAAAAAAAAGGATTTCATTTTAAAAGTAAAACTACCATTTACGCTGTGAAAAAATTCGCTATTGCGCTGATTTAAAGCTATAGGATATTAAACTCTAAGTACTTTGTGGATAAAAATAGATTACGCGTATCTATGGAAGGTGCTTCACAAACATACTAATAAAAGTACCAAATAGTAGATGCGGAAATAAAACGGAGAGAAAGAAAAGTCATAAAGCGATAATTAATATGTACGGAGAGCGACACTATCTGTATTCTTTTATTTGTTAAAGAAGTCGTCGTGGCCTAACGTCTAAGACGTCCGGTGCATTCGTGTTGAGCGATGCACCAGTGTTCAAATCTCAGGCGGGTACCAATTTTTCTAATGAAATACGTACTCAACAAATGTTCACGATTGATTTTGGTTCGATTTAATCACTCGGTCACGAATGATTGGTAAGATCTCTTGTGAGTCCGCGCGGGTGGGTACCACCTCCCTGCCTATTTCTGCCGTGAAGCAGTAATGCTATTCGGTTTGAAGGGTGGGGCAGCCGTTGCAACTATACTTGAGACCTTAGAACTTATATCTCAAGATGGGTGGCGCATTTACGTTGTGGATGTCTATGGGCTCCAGTAACCACCAGTTAACAACAGTTAACACCAGGTGGGCTGTGAGCTCGTCCATCCATCAAAGCAATAAAAAAAATATTGTAAAAAAAATATTTTCCTAAAGACTTATCGCAAGTTATATTCATAGTTTTATTACAGTTAGTCTATCGTTATCTGTCGGCCACAATAGATGACATAGAATAGAACGTTGAATACTTTATTTCGCAGATTAGAATGACACACGGCCACGGAAATTGCCTTTGAAGAGTCTGAAATTATAAAATCAATACATAATGATACATAATATGAATACAGGTCACATTATAATTTTTAAAGAGTTATGTTAAACTAGAAAATCAAATGAAGTTGTTGAATATTGTTGAAATATATTTAGTTCGAATACTTGTTAATATTGATGCTTCCCGTTAACTAATCGTTATTAGGCTAAGGGGCTACTCCAATTACGCGCCGATACGTAGGTGAGCTCACGGGTTCAACCTAAGAGAACTTGCTAATACTTCACTGGGGGTAGGACCTCTTGTGAGTCCGCGCGGGTAGGCACCACCACCCTACCTATTTCTGCCGTGAAGCAGTAATGCGTTTCGGTTTTAAGGGTGGGGCAGCCGTTGTAACTATACTGGAGATCTTAGAACTTATATCTCAAGGTGGGTGGCGCATTTACGTTGTAGATGTCTATGGGCTCCAGTAACAACTTAACACCAGGCGGGCTGTGAGCTCGTCCAGCCATCTAAGCTATAAATAAAGTAAAAACTAGCCGCAGCAAGAGCAGTGCTTCGCAGAATCTACCACCGGATCCGAATCGGGACTCACTGAGAAGATCCGGCGAGAAACTCAGTGGGCTGTGTCCACTGTGTGGATGGTCTAGGTTTTACGTCAAATTCTTCTACCTAACGACCTACATTCCTTGCTCCGACGGTTATGCTTGATTATGACAAATTCTTCGGATTTGCCTAGCACGTGATCTTGTAAAGTTTTGCAACGATCGCCCAACAAAGGGCATCGGGCTTGAAAAATAAAATATAAAATATAAATAAGCCGTTAAATCGAGAAAAGAAAAATATTAGTTTTAATTTAGTCGTATTATTAAAAAATATATGTATTTATATACGCTCAAGATATTTATACAACATAAAGATATCGCGGGTTGTTTTTTTCTCAAATATGTAGTTGAAATATCGTCCGAGATCACTGTTGAATTTAGCGAAATTATCTTAGTAATTTTTAGTTAGCATTAAGTAGTAATACGTCAGATGATTTTGTAGAATAAATTTTTATTTTTCCTTATGCGTGATGGGCATTAGGGAGCCAAGGTATGTTTTGTTGTGAGTGATAATGTGGTAGAAGATGCTTCAATAAATTGTTTGAAAAAAAAAGCTTGCATGAATGAATTATATTAAGATAGTACTTACATATTTTTGTTGCTTTTGTGAAAGACGGCTACCTCGCCCTTGGACATCGACGAAAGTAAGAGACACAGACGAGCTGCCATTCACTGCTGAGGGTAGTTTTCAGGTTAATATCAGAACTTTTTGGAACTCTTTGGAAACGTTTCTAGACACGCACTTCGGGCGAATGCCTAGTTCCAGGTTATATCGATGAATTCCATATTGTTGTTGGGTATTCTGATTAAAAAAAAAAACTGATTTGAGCAACATATCACATCACGGCATAACCAAACGCTCTCTACAGAGTAAATAGAGAAAGCAGTGCCTCTCCGTAGAGATTCTAAACGACCCTGGCTAGGTTACCACTTTAAACCACTATCGACTGACGCTGAACTATTTTGTATTTTACGAATTGTGAATAAATGTACATCAAATATTGTAAAGGCAATGTAAAAATTTAATGTAATCAGTATTTAGAATGAAGTATTAATACAGTGCACTTGTTTACTTGGTGGGTGTTTTTTCCACAGCATTACATTTAAATGTAAGTTGTAATATTAAAATAAAAAGCTATCTGTGTTCAATGCACTCGTGAAATAGAGGTGTCATGCAAATCTGTGTTTGCTTATAATCTAAACTTCATTATACCAACGAAGTCTTCTTAAATAGCGTACACAAGTTGAATTTTTTTGTTGTTTAGATAGTAACGCTTTAGATGTATACATGTTGTTCTCATTCCATCGCTGACTGACTTCAATAGTGGCGCAATTTAAAATCCATTGCGGGCCATCAGCCATAACATCTAAGAACGGTTATCTTGTAACCTCTTATCCGGTTCGTCGGCGATACAATTTTTTATTTGTACACAGCAGCAACATTTTCTTTTGTGATAATACTTGGATTGATAAAATAAACAGTCTAAATTTATAAAGCATTTAGGGGTTTGTTCATAAACGTTGCAAGATATTTTATGAATAGCAACTCGAAAGTTTCACTCTGACAGCTATATAGATCGTAAATTAGAAGTCACGTCTTGGGAGTGGAAATCTTCCAAATTACATTTGCGCGTATTTTCATTTGTAATGTTAACCGCGCACAAAAACGAAATATTTGGCTTGTGCCACTATTGAATTGATTTCGCTAAACCGAACGGGGTATTGGGAAAGTTCTCGAAAATAAACGAGTCGACCTATATATATATCTGACACGTTATCACGAAACTGTTTATTTCACAAGAATTTATGTAAAAATAAATCCGCTGACACATGGAATTTACGAAATATGAATCTAATGAAACTACACTTGCTTGTGCTTCGCTTACGTTTGGATGCACGTTACACCAGTATGTCATTCCTGATTCAGCTACGGAAAAAGTCTCTTTACGCTTTGTATGTATGTTACCAGTGACTTAAAAAAAGTAAACTTCCTAATATGGCATTCGATTGAAAACCCTTTTACGGTGTAATCCGGTCTGTTGCCGTCTGTGATATTAGAACGTTCAAAATAGTGAACAAAACATACATGAGATTAAACCGTGAAGGGTATTTTTAATTAAGAGTCATATGTCTCGAAATCCACAGACAATACTTAATCATTCTGATATTTTGTTTTTTTTTTCAACAGGGCTACTTGAAAGCTCTAGGTATGGCTCGTACAGCCGAAGTGAAGCGCGACGCACGTATAGGCGAAGCTGAAGCTCAGGCCGAAGCCAAGATTAAGGAGGCGATGGCTGAGGAGCAACGCATGGCCGCCAGGTTCCTGAACGATACGGAGATCGCTAAGTCTCAGCGGGACTTTGAGCTAAAGAAGGCCGCTTACGACGTAGAAGTTCACACCAAAAAGGTGACACTATATTAATATGATTGTGAATATTAAACCATGGTGCAGCGAATCTTAAATAAGTGATGTTGAGTTAACAATTCATATTTTTTGTCTTCAGAAAACTGTTAATTAATGTTTACGTTTGGCCTTATCTTATAGACTTCATCAGAAATTCGTTATTTTAGAATTGGTTTAAAATAAAATATTGATATTTAATCAAATGAATTGAATTAGATTGACATGTAGCAGTTTGGTACTGATTTGTCGATATATACACATATATGAATTACACATGCCTGAATTTTGTAAGATTGATAGAGTACACAATTCTTTGTAATCTATACTTCTATACTAATATTATACAGAGGAAAGATTTGTTTGTTTGTTTGTATTGAATAGACTCTGAAACTACTGAACAGATTTGAAAAATTCTTTCACTGTTTGGAAGCTACACTATTGCCGAGTAACATAGGCTATAGGTAATCTTTTTTGAAAAACATTAGGGATCTTTACTAAAATTCCAATAACGTAACCCAAGGTGTAAAAAAAATACCTAAAATATTATTTACATCGCGTGTCCTGCGAAAACTATTGATGATAGAACAAAACAATGTACTACGACTTTGTAGAACACATTATTAATTACAAAAAGTGTCGCGACAGCATATGTCTAACTATTGTAGTTATGCCGCAATTAGTGTTGTTTTATTTTTAAATATAAAACTACGTCAAATATCGTTGAAATTTTTGTTAAAGACTCGAGCTGAGCTGGAGCGGGCCGCTAGTATCTTATAAAACGGGACGTACGTGTTTGGTTACAATAGAACTCGATTATAATAGTTTAAAAAAATAAAATAATGTTTGCATAGGCCGAAGCCGAGATGGCCTACGAACTACAAGCTGCCAAGACGAAACAGCGTATCAAAGAGGAACAGATGCAGATAGCGGTCGTGGAGCGAACCCAGGAGATCGCCGTACAGAAGTGGGAAGTACAAAGACGCGAGAAGGAACTGGAAGCCACAATACGCAGGTGATTAATTCCTTATTTGAACCAAAAAAAAAATGTCAGCGTAATGTCTGAGGGTTGTCAGACTTTTTTTTCCACAGGAGAAAATCGCCGGATCCCCAATTTATAATCTATAAATATCCTAAATTTATTTAATATAATCTGTGTAAATTCTAATATTACTAGTGCTTGCGGACTTTTTGGCGGGAACGCGAGGAGTGAAGTTGTGTGATTTGTTTTATTTTGTCTATTTAGTGTTTCTTCGGGTTTAAATGTGTAATGATGGTGGTTTATTAACTGTTTAATAACTGTGAAAGTGCACAAATGTGGGAAAATGAAACAAAGCCGCTGGACCTAACTTCTCGGGATCCTCCAAAAGTAAAAAATCTTAGTAAATGAGCACCATTTTACTGAGATTATATTTCATCCCATATCATCTCATTTTATTTCATCCTAGTTGATTAATGTCTCAAATTAATCAACTTCATTTCATTTCACTCCATAATATCATTTTTCATAAAAATATGAATATAAATTAAAATAAGACATGACTTAAAGGTCTCAATTACCAGGTCATAAAATCCCTTAAAAAAAAGTAGTGCTTGCCCACTGATTATCATAATTCGACCATAATCACTGTTTTTATTGATACTAAACTAGCTACTAGAGCTACTAAACTAAAAAAATACAGTCGAATTGATGACCTTGTTCCTTTTTTTATATTGGTTAAAAAAAAGAAAATCTCAATTACCTTTCAACTACCTTTGTTTATTTACAATGAATAAATAAAATCACTATCGTCCCAAAACAAATAACTTCGCATCTCTTTACGTCTAAAACAAATACAGTAGCTTTTAATTTTCGAAATCCTCTGCACAGCTTATTAGTTTTAAGGCTATACTACTTATACATATACTACCCTACATATATATAATAATTAATTTGGAAGTATTTTTTGACAGACCCGCCGAAGCTGAGAAGTTCAGACTAGAGAAGATAGCGGAAGCGCACAGGCAGAAGACAGTGCTCGAAGCCGAAGCTGAGGCGGAAGCGGTTAAAGTACGAGGAGAGGTGAGTAATATTTTAAATAATAATATGTACATCGTGAAATATTTAATGTATAAATATGTAAGAACATGACCGTGATTCATATGCCCCTGTTTATCGGAATTTGCTATGCTCGAAAGATGTATTGAAAGGTTTGCAATTGTTGGGAAACCCGTCTCGGTATATTTTAATCAGGGCCCTGAAACTGCGATACTTTAAGACAAAAAAAATTTTTGTATGGAAACTATCGACATCTTGTAGCGGATGCCCCTAAACTTATATGTTGTTAAAGTTAAGACATTTAATTATTGTGTAACTAAACATAGAAAACAAAAAAATAATAAATCATACAAGTCTTTATTTGTTATAGACAAATTGATTTAATTTTATCAATTAGTAGTTTGTGAAAACTTTACAAAATCCTTAAAAATAAAAAATTGGATAGGTAATTTGTTACTGCCATGAACAGGGCAATAAGAAATTGACAGAAGCGAAGCCATCTAGTGGCCGACGCCCGTAAACATTTAGTTTTGAGTGCTTGAGTTGCTCATCTGTAAATAATTTATGTGTATTATCTATGATTTTAATTGCATTTAATTAGGGAACTAGCCCACGCTTAAGCTGGTGCTACGTGGCCACCGAAGACCATAGATAGACACAACAGTGTGCATACCACGATGGGTGGTGCTTAACCAAATTTTTATTATGATTGCTGGAAACTGAAAGAATTTTTTTAACCTTTTAACGCTAGATATTTTAAAATTTAGGCGGAAGCATACGCTATAAAAGCAAAGGCCGTTGCTGATGCCGAGCAGATGGCGAAAAAGGCAGAAGCGTGGAAGGAATATGGATCTGCCGCTATGGTGGACATGATGCTGGAAACTCTACCCAAGGTAAAACTAGTTAATACTCTGGTTGTGACCATATTACTAACTTTTAAAGTTAATTTCCTTGTGTAGATCCAACTTTTTCACTTAAAATTTGATTAGAAAATTTCTTAAATCAACAAGCTTTTGAAGTAATAGGTATTGCATCTCTTACTACATACGATCATCAGATAGTTTACACAATCCTTAACAAAACAGAGTCCATAGGCATCAAACATAAAGGTCAATTTATCCATCAGACAGCGCATACGAATGGTTCGCACAAATAAGTAAGATGGTGTTATCCACCTTTGGGGAAAATTTGGTGAAGATTAGAAACGGGTCTGGCAAATTTTGGAGCGAAAAGGATTTCTGCTACTATTATTATAGACAGAGGATAGCTTCTCAAAGCGGAGTCTTCGTGGCCTAAAGGATAAGATGCCCGGTGTTAACGAGGCGACTAGACCGCTGGTCGAATCCCGCAGACAGTTACCATTTTTCTGTTTTAAATGAACCGTACTGTACGTGTTCACGAAAATAAAAAATTAATTAAATACTTGCGCAATTTGTGAAAGTAGGGGGTGTATTTTAAGTTCGCAGGATTAGGTACTACCAGTCTGTTTCCTATTTCTGCCGTAAAATAGTCATGCATTCCAGTGTGCAGGGTGGGGCATAGCCTTATACAATTGAGACGTATACCTCATAACTCGAGGTTTTTTTTTCTTATACGGGTGGTGGTTACCGGAGCCCATAGACGTCTACAACATAAATGCCGCTTTTAATAGTACAACGGCTGCGCCGCTATTCAAACCGAAACGCATTACTGCTTCACAGCAGAAATAGGCAGTGTGGTGGTACCTATCCGTGCGGACTCATAAGACGTTCTGCCACCAGTAAGCAGGTGGTGAAAGAGCATTCACACTGCGCTGAGCATACCCACTTACGGACTTACTGAAGATCTTCTGGCCACTTAATGTATCTGTTGTCAATTTACCACAGGTTGCAGCAGAAGTGGCTGCCCCCCTGTCCCAAGCCAGGAAGGTAACTATGGTGTCGTGCGGAGGCGGCGAGGTCGGTGCGGCCAAACTCACCGGTGAAGTATTGAGCATTGTACAGTGCTTACCTGAACTCGTGAAGGGAGTCACCGGAGTCGATATATCCAAGGTATTTTAATATTAAGCTTTCCAACTTGAATTTAGTATGCCCAAGATATCGATTGGCACTTTAGTTGTTATTATTGGAATAAAGAAAATGTTTTAGTAAGGTAAGTTTGAAAATAATCTATCGTGTCTTGTCGTTGCTTGATGCTTGTGTATATATATGTATATATATTGTGCAGTGCATTTAAACCCATCCATATATCACATATTTAATTTTTAATTGCTTTATTTTTTTAATTACTAATTGAAGTAGAAAACATTCAGATGGCTATGGTTACATAAACAATAGTTCACTAAAACACGTTCTCATGAGGTACAGACAAAGAGACAAGATGTATTCCATCAATAAAATCTATGACAGAGTTACCTAATCTATATATATATAAAAATGAATTGCTGTTCGTTAGTCTCGCTAAAACTCGAGAACGACTGGACCGATTTGGCTAATTTTGGTCTTGAATTATTTGTGGAAGTCCAGAGAAGGTTTAAAAGGTAGATAAATATGATTAGATGTTCGGAATTAAATAAAAATAACAATTTTGTTTTCCCTTTGATGTGTTCCCCGTCGGAGGGATTCCTTTTGTTTGTTTTAAGTTTATTTTATACAAAATTTTACGTATTTTATTTATCGATTGAGGCACTACGAAGTCTGCCGGGTCAGCTAGTATGTAATAATAATCACTTTGAAAAAAAAAAAAGCAATACACCTCTGTCTCCTTGTCTGTACCTCTGAGAATGTGAATGCAAAATTTCATGATGCTCAGTCGAGTAGGTTAAGACGTGAAACCGTAACGAATATACAAACACAATATCGCCTATAATAATAATAATATTAAGTATGGACGTTGAGATATTCGAACCGAATTACACAAGCCGTGGTAAACACCCGATAACCTTCAAGGTCCTTCACCTTGTTTACATTTTAATCTCCTAGAATTCACTTTCGGATAATTGTAAAACTTTAATGTGTTCGATTAACAATAAATAAATTAGAAAATTTAATGAATTGAATATACTTGTTTCGATTAAAAATGTAGTCTTACATATTTTCTACCTATTCTTAATGGTGGTAGGTCCTAGTATCACCACCCTACCTATTTCAGCCGTGAAGCAGTAATGCGTTTCGGTTTGAAGGATGGGGCAGCCGTTATAACTATACTGAGATCTTAGAACTTATATCTCAAGGTGGGTGGCGCATTTACGTTGTAGATATCTATGGGCTCCAGTAACCACTTAACACCAGGTGGGCCGTGAGCTAGTCCACCCATCTAAGCAATAAAAAAAATATTGCTGGTAGCTCAAGGGTCTATATCCAGCTACGCGAGCATGATGCTCATGGGGCTCAACCTAATACAATTTGCCAACACTAGCCGTAGCAAGAGTAGTGCTTCGTATAGAATCTACCATTGGATAGGAACCGCTACCCACTGAGCTGAGATCCGGCGAGAAACTGGGTAGCGTCTATGGGCTAGTTTTCACGTCGAACTTTTAGGACGGTGACTGGTGCTTAAAGAGCCTAAAAGCACCGAGAGGGGATCCGGGGGATTCGACAAGACATCCTTCGGGCGATTGCAGCGTTGCGTTACCTCGTTACCTGAGTCGGGTGTCTTTAATATAAAGTCGTAGTAGATGTATGGTTGAAATGTCTATGTCGCTTATTTTTTAATCTCTATTAAAATGCCACAGATAAAAAATATGTAGATAATAACATCAGAGGTTATTATAGAAATCGATAAGGAACTTATAACGAAACCATAGTTCTTGTAATATTTTGTTGTTATATTTCAACTTTACAATGAAACGACGTAGCAGAAAACAATCACGACTGATAGATAATGTTAAATTTTATTTGAGATTTATCTCATAGTTCAATATTATTTTTATAATTCGTTTCTCAATGTTTTTCTTTATCAGCAATGGCTTGGCCGATCCGAACTATTTTTACCGCAGTCCGTAGATATTACAATGCGGATTCCGCTGCCCACATTGAAACTTAAGGTCTACGTCTCTTTTCTATCTTCACTCATATAATACGAGCGGACCTGACAGAGGTTGTCCTGCAAAAATTCATTCAAGTCGATTCAGCCATTTAGTTGTCTGTATAGATAAATAACCTAGATAGCGACTGCAGCGCCTTAAGCCGGGCTGATTTGTGAATGTAAACCATCCAGGGCGCTACCCAAATGCATACAAAAAGTTCATTAAAATCAGTCCAGCTGTTTAGGAGGAGTTCAGTGACATACACACGTACAGTAGAATTATTTAAACAAAGATTTAGATTATAGCCGTATAGTAAATTTTGCACGATTTTACGATTTTCATACAGACATCTTTATATTAGGGAATAGAGCATACTGCGTTATGTACCAGTAAGAATACATTGCAATAACAGATGCAATCTGTTAAACATTGACCTTAAACTGTTTTTTTTTTAATAAAATAATAAATCCGTTATCTGTGACCAATGCAATTTAACTTGTACTTTTGGAGGGTAGACGTAAGGGGAATGAACTATGTATATGAAAAGTGTCTGTCGAACTGCGGCGCCGCATTAGCATGAGGGTAAATTTTAAAGAAAGCGCCAAATATTATTAGAGTAATGTTAATAAATCTATAATCGTACCATTCATGGTTTACGAAATAAAATTACTCTGAGTGCGCGTTTTGTTGTAATAATTCTTTAAGATTATATTTTTTGCATTATTTTGTACAAAGTAAGTTGAAATGTTGATTGAATGTTGTAATTTTCAATAAATAACTACTTTAATCGAAATGATATTAATTTTTTAACTCTGCATACTTCAGTTCGTCTATATCTATAATTTCTACATTCACTAGCGCGATCGTAAGAGGTTTTTGAATTGTTATTATATATTTATAGCATACAGCTAGAAACTTTAACTCAATCATGTAACTTTAACATGATTCTCCTTACCTCTACCCTCCATATTTATACTGGCAACAAATTATCAATTTGCTCGGAGTAGTTTGAAGCGCTAATAATTGAAACAAATATCAAATACACAGAGTGAAGGCTAATATTTAAATTTACTATAAATTCTCTGTCTACAATCTAAACAGCGACAGCTGAGTCTATAACAAAGTCAACTTGGGTACTTAGTACGATCTAGTATTACCTCGTATTACTCTATACGACCTGTTTACACCTGTGCCCCAAGCAGGTCAAGGACTCGTTTGCATATGTACAGTAATTAAAAAAAAAAACATGAAACTAAAAACCTTCCAAATAGCGAGTAGGAATTAATAATGTACCGAATTTGGGTTATTCAAATAAAATGTGTTCTCATGTTCTTAATACATATAATTAAGCTATACCAATTGCGCTTATATCAAGCAATCGCTAGTGTCAAATGCAATCTTCTATAAATTTATGGAAAATTGACCAAAACTAATGTTTCGCTGTAGGTAAATAATTATCTGTACAGGGCGTCGGTTAATTAATGATAATGATGTTATTTTACGCAGAACTTTATCGATGTATGCCACTGTATGTATGAAGTAGTTTACGTTAGCAAAAGTTAGTCCTAATGTAACTAGATGCAACACTTTAAAAAAAAATTGCGCATGTTCGGATTCGGTGTAATTTTTCAAATTGTTTTCTTACCTCAAATAGAAGTTTTAGGTTGTTGGATCAGATCGTATGTGTAAAGAAATATTACCCTAAATATGTAATATTTATTTATATAATTATTTATATTTATTTATTTATAGTATTTATATTTATTTATTTATAGTATTTATTTATATATTTGAAGTCGTCGTGGCCTAACGGATAAGATGTCTGGCGCATTCGTGTTGAGCGATGCACCGATGCCCGAATCTCAGGCAGGTGCCAATTTTTCTAATGAAATACGTACTCGACAAATGTTCACGATTGACTTCCAGGGTGAAGGAATAACATTGTGTAATAAAAATGAAACCCGCAAAATTATAATTTGCGTAATTACTGGTGGTAGGACCTCTTGTGAGTCCGCGTGGGTGGGTACCACCACCCTGCCTATTTCTACCGTGAAGCAGTAATGCGGTTCGGCTTGAAGGGTGAGGCAGCCGTTGTAACTATACTTGAGGCCTTAGAACTTATATCTCAAGATGGGTGGCGCATTTACGTTGTAGATGTCTATGGGCTCCAGTAACCACTTAACACCAGGTGGGCTGAGAGCTCGTCCAATCATCTAAGCAATAAAAAAAACAATTATTCTTGTTGCACGTTCTTTAGATTATATAATTAATCTTATGAATATCGTTCAATGTGTTGTACTTCGCCGGCTAAACATCGTAGGGTTGTTTACGTATAACTTATAATACAATATTATCCATCGTTTACTGTTCCGATAGCAATAATAAGGGATATTTTGTCATGTATTATAAAAAAATGTGGAGTAAACGCGCGACGTTAGTAGTAATAATTGTATGCATAGCTGTATACCAGGGGTGGACGGACGACTACGTATTTCTTTAACTTTGGCTACAACATTTCAAAGAATGCAGCCAACCTAATGCGCGTGCTCGATATTTATGTGTATCTATCTGTTCTATGACTTCACTAACCGATGACATAATAATTGACCTCACTTGAGATTAATATAACGACGATAATTAGTCAAATATAACATCGTTGTTGTGGTGATAATAAAATGCAAATTGATACAGAGTGATCTTAAATTTGTAATAGCGCTATCAAAAATTGTTACACGAAAAGCATTTCAAAAAATAATCTGTTTATACATTATCAATTACTTGCTTACAATCCGAAGTAGTCGAATTGGAGCTGTAAAAGTAAAATTTTAGATGTGCTGTTTTAATAATAAACTTAGAAAAAACATTGTCAATGTCATTTTATTGGCGGTTTGTATAAGTCATTAAGAAACCCTTTCACTTGAATTGTGGAATGAAATAGGTAACTAGTTTAACATCGTTTATCGATTGAATTAAATGCAATCTTATTTGTAATGACAGAGACCAGGTTGAATGAAAGATAAAGTACTGAAACATCAAAAAGTCGAGGGTATCAATCCTGACATATCGAAATTTTATTAAATAATATTCAAACAGTTATTTTTATCGACTTCGAGATAAGTATCTCCACATTAAATACCGGTTTCTAAAAGGTTATACCAATTTGGGCACAATACTTGTGCAATGTGCATGTCTTTAAATTATTAAGGAAAACTAAAACTGGTTCCTTAAAAATTAAAATACTACAAGTGTGACACAAAAAAGCTTAAAAACAAAAATGAACCAAAATTATTATTATAATTTACGGCACCGTAAATTATATTTAGAAATATTAAGACCGTCACCATCTTCTCGAAATAATGTCAAAGCGGTAGTTCACAAAATGGCGACGCGTTGCTTTTATTGCCAGCTGTCAGACGAGCTAATGACTCGTTCGAAAGCGATCACTGTCGCCATGTCGGTCGCGGCTACTAAACGTAGTGTTACATACTCTTTGGCGGCTACTAGTAACGGACAACAATGTGCCCTGTTGTCTTACTCCAAACCCGTTTCAATAATACGTCTCATTAACATGACTTATTTAATAGTTATGATTTTGGTCACGGGCAAAACGAGCATCGTCTAAAAAGTCGGTGAAGACCAAATTTTTTTTGTACACGATTGCAATGTAATTTAAATTCCAAAATATAAAAATCAAAAAACTAAGACCTACAAAATAAAAACAGAATATTTTAAATATCATAGATCAAAAAGTTTTTAAATACCAAAGCTAAAGCTTACATACTGCGTTTTATTAATAGATAAATCTGTAATCTATTAACCAATTACTTATTGTTAATGATTCTGTTAATGTGTACCTTGTCTTTCACAATAAATGAAGTTTTTTCTGTTCTATTTTGGTATAAATATAGAAACATTGTAATATTTATGAGAGAGCATCATTTACATTTGCACTAATTTGTATGATTTCTTATTCAACTTCGAAGTTTCCAGAAAAAAGTTTTTAAGAAAATTATCACATTTTTATTTAAATACATCGTATTTTTTCATATAATTAGCGATGATAGCTACATCGGAACGCGACCGGGTTTCACTAGTAACGTATAATAATAAAATTTATACCGCCTCTATTCAAGGTTTTGGTTTTCGAGCAATAATTGTTGCTTTTAGTTTTATTAAGGTTACGTGAATTTTACTTTCGGATATCTGTGTGCTTAGTGCGAGTTGTTTAACGTTCTTGATAGGGTAAAAGTTCGCTCATATTTGTATTTTTTTTTATTGCTTAGTTGGGTGGACGAGCTCACAGCCCACCTGGCGTTAAGTGGTAACTGGAGCCCATAGAATCTACAAAGTAAATGCGCCACCCACCTTGAGATATGTTCTAAGGTCTCAGTATAGTTACAACGGCTGCCCCACCCTTCAGACCGAAACGCATTATTGCTTTACGGCAGAAATAGGCAGGGTGGTGATACCTACCCGTGCGGACTCACAAGAGGTATTACCACCAGTAATATTGTATGGACTGGGATCGTTCGCCTACGTTTGCCGCTAGGGGCGCTGTTCCAACTGCATACAAAATTGGGTTAACTTTTACGCTATCGAGAACGTTAAGAAATTAGCTCTAAGCACTCTGCATTCCGACTATCGTAGTTTACGGAGACTGTGCGATCGAAAAGTACATTTTTCAAATTCACCACAACGTTGCAGCTTTCTACAACGTTGCGATTTTTGCCTTGATTAAATCTATTATCTATATATTAATACGTGAAGCAAACACTTTGTGTCCCTTTTTACGAAAATTGCGCGGACGGAGGAGTATGAAATTTTCCACACTTATAGAGAATATAGAGAAGAAGTGCACAAGGCTAATTTTTTTTTTAAATAATGCATAAAATATACATTCAATCAATAAAGAAAACGTTACACACACTACATACCATGTATTTGACGCACACACGCATGCATACTATTTATTGTCAAACTTTTGTTCTCGACGTCTGTTGTCAAATTGAGAATAAATTAAATATTGTTTGTCTTTGTTAATATTTTTTATAGTATAGTCTTGGCGAAATTTGTGATTATAAAAGTATAAAATACAATCATAATAGTGTACAAACTTACAATTCTAATTAATTATAGTCGAATTTCGACTACTGCGGGACCTCTAGTTTATTTTGTTACGTCATCTACGTAATCCTTATAAAGCGTCGTTAGTAAATCGGTAATTAGGAAATTTAGCCGCTATTGCTGGTACGATTCAACACAACAGTAGCCATGTTGACATTTAAGTTTATTTTATAACTTTTTCATCGCGAATTCTGCTTGTAGTTGATTTTTAAACGATAGTCATTTTTTTCTGTTGATAAATATTGGTTAGTTCCAGTTTTTCTTACCTCATATTAACTAATAAACACTAGCAATATATTAATTTGCAAACACATACATAACCAATCATCTGTTCTCATTTTAGCATGCTTTTTGTTTTTTAATTCATGTGCTTTTATGTACAAATATGGATCAAACAAAATTATGTCTATTTCAGTATTTTTTTAAAGCTTCATATAACTAAAAACATAAATTTAGTCACGTTATGAAATATGTTTTTATTTTAATTATGCTTGGTCTATTATTTGCACGTTATTTAATAACCATTGCTATTCTAACATTGTCTCGTAACCATGGTAACGGCAGTCTGTGGTAGACACCCCTATCGTACCGACGGGGGCACCGAACATAGCAGGTGATACGGCGAGGAAGGCGCGATAACTGGAGAACGTCTAAACATTTACTCACGAGGTAAATCCTCTATCAACATAAATTGTAGTCTTAAGGAAAATTAACGCAAATTGTTGTACATACTAATTGTTTATTACGCATATTTGTTTGTCTGTAGCTTTTTTATGTTGTCCACGTAAATCGCTTTGTCTATGTACGTATTTAGTTTTCATTAAATTTCATAAAAATAATATTCATCGCCTGTATATATATACGTATGTTTTATGTGTTAGTATGCAAAATCATAATGCGACCGTAACGATTAGTTTCAATCATATTGAAATCAATTTTCTTAACATAGCTTTTATCGGTCGACGTTTATAAATAACTTGCACGCTCTCCCATGGTAGATCTAATCTTCATTCTTCAACAAAATCCTTATTATTTATTTTGAGTTTTTTTTTTTTATAAAAATGTACATATAAACAGGAGTCGCTTGTAATAAAGTAATGAATGATGAATTGTTTTTCACAGGGTGTTCGCGCACTGTAAATCTGTTCCGTGGATCTTACAATAAATTATTGTATGAGTACATCACAATTGTAACGAACTATCTATATATTATTATTATATACACTATCTATTAATTTATGTAACGTTAAATTAATATCTTCAACCTAAAGTGCCACTAAGTGAATTTATTTATTCTACATATTGTAAACTGTTTATAAAAATATTGTGGCATACGTTAAAACACTAGCACAAAATGTACTGGACGTAGCATGTAACAGAATATATTGTATAAACATTTCCTCAGTACCCATTAAAGGAAATAACAGGAAGCTTTCAATCAATTGAAAGCGGGTTTTGTCCTCTGACTCGAGGATATGAAGAACGGAGGTACCCCCACGAAACGAACGTATGCAACTCTTCCCGTAATGAAACTGCATAGATATTTTTACCCAATGAACTCAAATTATGACTTAGAATACATTCAACCTGAGTACTTCGATTCCTGTCAATAACATTGACGATTCGAGGTTGCCAATGAGCAATACATCGATTTTTTATTATTACTATTAGAATACGTTCGAACTGTTAGTTGGTGTCACAGGTGACACAGGACAGTAGATGCAACAGGCGAGCGTATTTTACGACACATTAATATCTAAATACCACGTACAATCTAGCATTGAAATGAGCTCCCCTCCACGGTGTTTTCCGAGCGCTGTGACATGTCCTTCTTCAAACGAGGCTTGTGGAGAGTACTTAACGGTAGGCAGCAGCTTGGTTCTGCCCCTGGCATTGCTGAAGTCCATGGGCGACGGTAACTACTGATCATCAGGTCGGCCGTATGCTTGTCTGCCTACAAGGGCAATAGAAAAAAAAAACAAAAATAACTTATTGTTTTTGTTTGTTTCGACAATGGTCCAAATATCATTGTTTACTGTAATTCGTTGCATACTTTATGTAGCAAATATACTGATTAAATACACCGTCCTTTCGACAATTTGACCTTGACAGTTAAGTTCCCCAAAATGCCTCGTATGAACTTAATATTAATTGATTTTATTCTGAAATCGGTTTGATCTAAGGCTTTGGATATCAGACAACAAGACATGTCAGAATCAGATGTCTGCTTCTCAAGCGTTCGTACTACATTATAAAATCTTCACTGATTGACTCAATTTTTGCTGCATAATTTATCCCGGTAATAGCGTTACTAACCCCGTTAATAAGCCGGTAATGTTACTTTTGGGTTTTATTTACCCTGTATATGTACAGACTAAAGTAAATGTAATAAAATAATCCATTTAAACCGTGAATCTCCAATGAAGAAAAGTAACAATAATTAGAACCGTTTGCCATTAAAATATTGTGAATTCCCTCGAATGGAATCGTAAGTACTTTGGTTTTCTGTGTAGTGCTACTTTTATAATAACGATCTATTTTACAATGTGTAATATTGTAGACATTGTAATGCTTAGTACATTTTTAACGACCAAACTGTTAAATTTTGTTCAAAGGTAGTAAAAGAAATCTATATTTTTTTATTTATAGGTAAAATGATCTTTAGGGTAAATGATAAATATTTGGTGTTCAAGTGCAGTTTGGTGTTGTTTGTTTATCTGTAAAACGATCGCAAAGTATATAAGAGTGAGTAATTATAGTAATTCGATGTTTAGTAATATTTTTCGTTAGCTGCGAAATCTCCGAAAGTGTACTGGTACAAATTATTATACACATCATATGTTCGTTTTGAAGCATATTTTTTTGTTTTAATTTATAATGTTATTTATTTTTAAACCGTCACAATTTTGTTTTATTTCCTGGAGATAAAACTATAATATAATTATAGTTCTATATTGCAAGTCATCAATTTTTGTATACTTACATAATATGATTAATATTTAATTTTAATAAGCTTTGGATTGGAAGAATTTTAGCATCGCTTAGAATTATATCTGAGGCATGTTAACACTGCTTTTGTATTTGCTCCAATTATATCGTTGACTAAAAGCTTCGATGGCAGATAAACGAATCTTTCGAATTGTTTCAAGGGAGCATTGTGTTTGATTTTATTTTTAATTTCTAAATATGTTTCTTCTGTTATTATTAACGGTGTATTCGTATATGTACTCTAACTTATATTCTTATTGTTAGCATTTGTTCACTTATTTAATTATTTGGCATAATAAAATAATACTTTAAATTATGACAGCACATCACATTTGTATCTAATAACTTCGGTGCCATTTATTTAAGTGCCAGTAATATAATAGTTTTAAGTTTTTTTTTTTGTTCATTGTGATGAACAAATTCTTTTTGTTTGTACCACCGTTTCTTATCAATAATCTATGAAATCTCCAACTAATTTTAACGTGTTATTAACTAGATTATCTTGTTTTATATTCAGTTTCAAATATTAATAATGATATGGCGAGTTAGTTCTGCGGCTTGAGCCTCTCACTTTAAAGTTCATATAAGAAGCTCACGAGGTTAAAGTCCTTAAATTTAATCTCCAAGAACAAGAACAAAGGTCAATAACAAAACATTTTGTAGTTTTGATGGTCCTGTGATATTATAGATTTTATACAGTTGACAACGCAGAATTTTTAGTTGCGTAAATAAAAATATTCACGTTTTATTCGGATTGTTCACAGTTTAGCTATCTACATTTGAATGAATTTTGTCACTTCTTGCACTACATTTACTTTGTGTGAAGAATTTTTTTTTTGTTCTTCTGCGTGGCACTAAATAATGATCTGTGTGGCTTTTTTTATTACAGTGTATGTGTACCGTGGTTTTATTACGTAATAATATATTCAATAAATTAATACCTAAAATATTTGCTTTTTGTTTTTATTAAACCCCTTTATGCTCCGATGATGTTACAATAAAATCAAATTATAGTTCCCACATATATTTATTGACAATCAACAAAATAATGTAGCTTAAATTATTATATAACATAATTATGTATATATTTTTATCACAATAGGCCTGTTGTTTAACTGAGACGCTGTACAGTACACTACTTTGCGGAGTGGTGACGAAGTGTATGTAACCTTGAAACGCACATGCAAACATTTAATGCATAATAAATTATATTTAAAAAAAATATGTTACTTTTATTTTTTATTACTGTCACAAGATTAACAATAAGGTTATGTGATGCAGTCATAAGAAATCGCAAGATTGTGGATAAAACCATGATAACTATTCAAAACATTTAGGGTTGCTGGTAAGTGTCTAAGAAATATTGATGAAACCGTATCGTTTACAATGAAAGCCAAAGTTCACATCCTCCGTGAAAGAGGTTCCTTTCTTAGCGGATCTTTAGCGGTAGACCTATATATTAGTAACAATGTTATAGATTTAAATAAAATAGATTTACGTTAGCGGTTTTAGATATTTGGCTTTTACGGAAATTAGTATTGCGTTAAACAGATGAAAAAAGCTAATGTAATAGGTAGGGAAATTAATTCGCTCAGCGTCTTATTTGAAATGCAAACTATGAGCCTATTTTCATTTCGTTATAAAATTATAATGAGTCTGTGATGAAAGCGAAAGACCGTGATCTTAAAAGTAGTCATCTTGGCGACCTGCGTATTTTAAGAGTCACGTCGTTGACCTGCAAGAAGATAAAAAAAATTATACTTTTTGTTCAAAGAAAAAGAGAAGATATTCGATTAAATTCCATGCGTCATTACTAAAATACTCGTACATATTCATGAAATTTCACTATTCGCAGCCTTTCGGTGTAACGCATTCATGCGGCAATGTGACAAACCCGATAAGTAGCTACATGCAAAATAATTCAACCTTGAAACAGCTAAGCAGGCAACAACTGTTTCACTATTTAAGAAATGTACGGACATCGCTCGAACGTTTACCTCAGAAATCAAAATATAATTGAGGCAATTAAACAATTACAAATGTTAATTTAAAGAGATATCGTTTATTGGGTATTGCTGCGTCTTCACGAACCATAACACCATCGTTCGGTGAGTTAGGATATGAAGGAATGAATATTCGTTATGTCAATGCAATTTGAGACTTTGATCGTGTATTTCGAAGTGGGTGGCGATCGTAGCGATCACGTTAAGATTTCTATGGGCTTTAATAACTCCGATCAACTGTAACTTCTCACCTATGACCGGTGAGCTATTCCTTAGCCGATTGAGTTGTTAATCAATTGTTTTGTTAAACAAGAGATCCTAACTTTTAGAATTATGTATCAAGTACCAGATGCTAATTTAGACCTAAAATTCATTGCGTATGAACGAAATACAAATATGACGGTACAAAAATTTTAAAATCTACTGAACTGATAAACTAACCAAAACATAATAGTTATCCCAGACCACAAAGTGCTTCTAGGTTGTTTCTTTCCAGTTAGCTCAAGTTGATAATGATGTAACTCGCAATCCTTAGAATAAAAATTTACGCTTTAGGTAACCTATATATGAAATATTTCTAAACTAATTAAAAGTAGCGCTGTAGACATGAATGTGCCTATATCTATTTAGTATTTGGTAGTGCCGACATTGAGATTCATTTTCATTAGTATTAAAAGGCGTATCCACAATTAACATAGTTGACTCTGTTAATAATATGGTAAATGGAAAGATATGATCAAGCTAGTTTGCCCAACAGACACAAAAGGCTGCATTTTGTGTATTTTCAGACTAAATAGCTAAACGTTCTATGTAGGTATATCTAAAGGAAAACGTAATTATCCTGAATCTTCAAGCGTAAATTTTTACATACTTGGAGACGCTGAAGACCTTTGGAGCCCAGCAAGAGCATGGGAAACATAATTGGCTTATTGAGGTAGTTAATAATAATTTAACCTTTCACAAATTCGAATTTCTCTCCGAGGACGACTTCCGAGTTCTACAGCTTCAACGACTTTTATATATAAAAAATATATATAAAAAAACATCGTAATTACACACGGTTACGATTATAGGTAATAAGATAATACTACTACTCTTACTAAATATTTAGTACAAATGGGTTTTTTTACATTTAGTCACTGTTACGAACACTGCTAGGACATCGACACAAGAAAAAAAAAAAGAAATACCGTCTTGCTTCAACAACGTGCACCCATTTCTTAAAATGTTTTTTTTGTTAATTTGATACCAAAACCCAGCCACGCATGCAAGCAACCTAATTATTGTTTTAGTGAGGCTTAATTTTAGAGCGAATAATTACGATGAACGTTTCAATGGCTATGTCGGTTGTTTTTTATTTAACGCGTTTATCTGTATAGTTAGTTCTATAGCCGTGCTATTCATGTTAGATGTGTAGGATTAAATGGGGCTATAATATATATTTATAGCGATTTTGGTGGACACAGTTTTGGCGAAAGAATATCTATTGTTGACACATTTTTATCTTCAACGGGTGTTTGGTTAAATTCAACATGCATTGCTGAAGATAATATCGCGACATAATTATACATTAAATTAAAGTAATCCGACATGAAACATGTAAAGGCATCGAGAATAGTAATTACCTAATTATCTGATGCTTCATATCTTAAATACAAAGCTACTGCCGTTTTTATTTAATTATCTAGATCGGATTCCTATTTACAGATAAGTTTTTTAAATAACGTATATATATAAAGAAACAAAAATTTCGGATATAACAAAAAATATTCCAATACTTTTTAATAGAAATAGTTATTACCCACCACCAATTTAAATTCAAGTTAAACTAACTAACCTAACCCTTTTTAAAACTCCCTTTAACACTGGAAAGTAGTATGTTGCAAATAAACAAATAAATATTAATAGATAGCGAAGAGAGGATTATTTACAAAACTTTAAATAAAAATTCAACAGATCTCTTAAATCAACGGTGATCAATCTACTTTATTTAATTCAAGTATAATTTAATACATTAAGTTTTTTGTATAAAGTTTAACCGAATAAATGTTGTATAAAATTGATCAATTCTCCATAAAAGTAGATGTGTACTTATTTTCATATTAACATACAATTAATTTCATTCGTTAATGTTGTAATTAACGGTAACGGAAATTTATATAAATATTATTAAATTCGTAAAAATACATTTTTACATTTATCAATATACGTTTATAAAAATTAACAACAATTAGAAAGTATATCGCACATATGTGACCACGTAAATAACATTTAATCAAAATTGGTTGGTTTGTTGTGCGCGTCTTTCTATATAACATTGGACTTACAATGCATAACTCTTACTTACGTTAGTAATAAAAATTGTCTTTTAGAAGTTGGATGAAAAAAGGTATGTGCATGATTGTAATAACAATTTGATTACTATTACAACAGCTCTTGCTAGGGCTAGTGTTAGCAAATCCTACCAGGTTGAGCCCCGTGAGCTCATCTACCTAACCGCACTTAGCTGGAATAGCCCCTTAGGCTACCAGTGATTAGGCAGAGAAGATTACAACGTCCACGTACCACTTAGTGAACAACAAATGAGTTTGGAGTCAATGTCATGTGTCATCGCATAATAGAACAATGTTTTTTCCGTCTACAGCGTCATCTTATTTTTAATTACTTAAACGCCGGTTTACAACCATAATTTCATTAAACGTACCTAACAGCGAAACTTGTGTTTTCAATTCCTTTTGCAAGATTTAAATAAGTTTTTTTTTTATAAAATACATTAACATTTTGGGATGGTATGGACATGTGATGAGACGAAATGAAAATGAGGTTGTTAAGAGAGTGTTAACTATGAATGTGGAAGGATTTAGAGGAAGAGGTAGACCTAAGAAGAAATGGATGGATTTTGTGAAAGACGATATGGGTAGGAGGGGAGTGAGCGAAGAAATGGTATATGATAGAAGAGTATGGAAGGAGAAAACATGTTGCGCCGACCCCAGGTGACTGGGAGAAGGGCAGGATAATGATGATTAACATTTTGTACTAACACAGATAACAACTGGAATGTTTAAGGTTAGGTACGTACGTACGTACCTGAAATCAGAGCTTGTTTCTCCTTTACTGTAAATTATTAGTTTAAGGTATTTAGACATCCTATTCGACTTGTCATGTCGAGCAAGCTCAGTTACACTATCTATCGTGCAGCTGGAGAGCAGAATAATCAAGGGTATCTTTGTTCATTGCCCAAATATATTAAAGATGTGTTGGCTGAGAATTGTAGAGCAGTCTTCGGATCTTCCTTCAGTTTATTAACTTAGATGGACAGAAGTTCACAGGTGTGGTGAACAATCGTTTGAGATTTCGTTTCTCCCATTCCCTAGCACCTGAGTGAAGGGAGGCTAAGGCGATTGTGCTCGCACAAAATTTATATGCAATGTGGTGTATTTTGAAATGTTTTACTTTTTATTTTTCGTCCAACGGCTGCGTTACAGTAATGATTCAATCAACTAGCGGGTTATACCGAAAACTTCCAGAAATATGTACTTCCACTATGCTTATTATTAATTATAATTCAATGGCTTAGTTCCAAATAGTAACAATTCAAAAGGATATTCTTTCAAGTAAAATGGTACATTTTACCCCTTTATTTTTCAATGGGTAATCAATCCAAAAGTTTTGAAAAATACCAATTGTATTAAATTAGTGACTCGGTCGTAATTTTAGATTTTAAACTCTTTGGAACTAAGATGTAATTAACATAAATTTGAATAGTTGTCACGAAAAAAAAAACAATTCGTATCCGTATCGTATCGTATTTCTTCCAGTAAATTCAACAGGGATGATGTTTTTTTTTTTTCAAGTCTGTATTTAGTTGGTTACTATCACAAACAATGATACAATGCTTGACATCACCGCTGTTACAATTCTTGCGTGTGAGGGAGATAGCGAGCCCCACTCTTCTTTATCTTTGAAATATGTCATTTTAAAACTAATTTCAACACTTTTCATGTAAATAGTACTTAATGTAAATAATTGTAACAGACTAAATTAAACCTTGTATGTAACTATTAACATGTAGTATATAAGATTATTACTTTAGGCACTTGTAAGCGTAAGGCATTGAATTATTTGGGTACATTTACATTTTCTTTTGTAATGGCGGTCCTTTTTGATTTCGCCAAAGTCAAGTTTTATAGTCTGTGGTTTTGATTATGCTCAGCTGATGTCTTTTGGTGAAGTTTGGATTCTTTTTTGTTGGGTGGGCTTCGTGATTGCACAAGGTCACATCAATTTTAATTATTATTATTTTACAAAGTAATCAACTGTTGAATTACTAACCTAAAACAGGACAAACAATATATGTATATATACATATACATACATATATATATATATGTTACAGAAAAGATTGTCAGAAGATTAGTAAGGACAAACAACTTATAGTCTAATGTTATTCTGGTGAACATATTCACATAAAATATTTACAAAAGTTGTATGTACAAGGCTCAACAAAGATTTGAAATTCGTCGGTCTGGGGATAATGTCCGGTAGAACTTCGTAAATTATATATTTGGGTATGATTGAACATTTGAAACTAAATAGTCAAATATTCAACTGTGTATGTTTTATGAAATATTAATTATAACATTTAAATTTATAGGTACATACTTATTTAGCTTTTCATAGAGTGCAGAATTATTTTATAGAAGTATTGTATAAATAATCTTATAATTGCAATAACAAATATTATTCCTATTATATTCAATAATTATTATGGAAGCAAATTGAGCAGAATCAGTATGATTGTATTTTTATACTGAATTTACAATTGACATTAAATATAATTACCTATTAATTACTTAATTAAACAGTTTTGTATCTATACCTATAGATATATTACACTAAAACATAATTTCGAATATTAAAAATATTATAAAATTTGTAATATTATTATACTCTACATTGCATTAAAACAATAGGTAATCGAAATTCATAAAACAAAACTGTCCATCTGTTACTGAACTATTGTTGTATTACAATAGTCTATTAATTTGTTTGTCAAACTAGAGTACACATACATGCCTAATATTATAACATAAATTGTATAGTTATAATATATAAGGCGAATATTCCCATATTTAAACTGTGATGTTGTGTATAATAACTTTTTTTTAAATTTAATAGAACTCAGATGTGCTATACTTATAAAATAAATTGAAATTCTGTTTAGTGATTAGATCTAGTTCATTATTCATTTTATAAGGTATATATCATTGTAATAGTCTTCCGCGAATTATTAAATTAACATAATTTTATTACTAAAATAGGTTTTTAGGATTTCAGCTAGTAAGTTACTAATAATTACATTGATTACCCTGTTTCCTTTACATTTTGTACGAAGTTATCTTTTATAAAAATGCTAAAAATTCTTTGCTTTAATCATTATATTCAATTCCCTGTTTAAAATTGTTTTCATTGCAAATAGATTTTGAAATAAACCAATTCATTATTTTTGGCCATGAATGAATGATATGGACATTTATATTAAATATGAGTTTTATAATCTCAATTGTTAACTGGAATATAATAAGTCTGCAGCAGTCACAACTTCATGCAGTGAAAGACAAAATTGTTAGTTTACATAATACTTAGTTAAAAAACACATATACACAAATGAAGCATGCAGAATGACAAGAGTAAATAAAGAGTAGTTCTGACAATATTAATTCACAATGATATTTAAACATATAAACATATCATTATAGATTATATCGTAATGCAGTCTCAATAACTGATTAATTTGATTTCAGTGCAGCAATTAAACATGTTCCAACTTAAAGTTTTTGAATTTTTTGTACTATACTTTGCCCATTCCCATTTTATAATGTCTTTTTCTATAGAAACGTTTAGACCAAAAGTATTTTATAACCAAAATAATGAAAATAAAAGATAATATGTACAAAAGACTTAACATCCCGATGTCCAAATTGGAGAAGGTGCTGGAAGCAGATGACACTTGTGCTCTTCTTACATCTTTGATGTTGTTGGCACCATACATCTTTTGAAGATAGTCATACACTGCTACTAGATTCCATGCTCCTTGAGCTAGTCTGCATTCAGGGCATTTAGTGGCACTGGGAAACTGAATTTTCGGATGTTCAGGGTCTTCTGTGACATCACCCGCAAGTCTAAGGTTTACTTCATTATGAGAAATCCAAAGCCACAAAACCGCTTTATTATTCTCTTTGACATCAAATATTCTGTTACGTGCTGCCATTGCTTGAAAATGTGAAGCACATTCAGTACACCCAAAGAAGTTTTTGACATATCCATGCATTGCTTTAAGAACTTTAGGTCCTTCAGAACCTGGTTTTTGTGCTGCGTTGACTGTCAGAGTATGGAACAATGTCCACAGTCCACATGTATAACCTCTGTATTTAGGTTCACTTCCTTTGCATCCAACATACTCTAAATTAGTAATATAAACTGGTTCATGAGCAGTTTCTAGTCTTTTTACTAAATCATAGACTTCACCACCTGTCCAGCTGTTTCTTGCTGCTAAAGTAGCATGTAAGTCCATTATATATTCTCCAAGATTGGCTCTAAATGGAAACGAAGTTTTAATAACATCCAAGTAGTCTAATAAAGCCTGCAATGGTTCACCTGTTAATGTTTTGTGCCTTGTGATTTCAGTGTGCAAGCTTGCCTTTAAAGTTTTTTCTAGATCATTATAGTATGCAACATCAGAGGTTGGCACAAATGTTCTCTGTTGAGAACTATCACTGATATCATTCATGTTGGCATATTTCGGAGGAAAGACATAATTTTTTGATTTCAAAAATCTATCTATCTCTTCTAATATATTTTGTGCAGTGGGCTGTTTGGGTGTTAGTAATGTGGCTTGTAAATTATTTTCTAGAGCAACTACACTTGGAATTTTTTTAACTCCAGCAACTTGAGCTAATTCACTATTTTCATATACTCTCTTAACTCTCACTTTTTTATAGTCAACAACATCTAAAGCTATTTGTGATCCAATAGTTGAATTATCATTTTCAAATACTAAAAATATGTAGTCAATGTCACCAGGTACACTTTGTAATGCAGATGCATAGGATGTATATGATTCAATCTTAAATGATGGAGCAATTATTAGACGTCCCATAGATTGTTCTGCCTGTAATTTTATAATCAATTGATTTTTAAGTCTTTCTGCGGTATCCGCAATGTTCATTTTTTCTCCAACATTTGAGTTGCTCTTCATATAATTTTCGTGGAAGTATCGTATGGAAGGGTATGCCATTACTTCAAATTGTCTACATATTTCACTATTTTCTTCAACAAAACAATCAATAACAGCTAACTTAATAACTTTTTTCCAACGAGCTATGTCAGATGCGAGTGCTTTATATTTCGGTGAAAACGCTCGGCAATGACCGCAGTAACTATTATAAAACTGAACCAACAGAGCATTATTTTGGCCGTATAATTTCTTTTCGAAATTTTTATTAGTCAAGATTTCGACTTGATCTGACTTACGGTACAATCCTTGTTCGTCTACATCGTCGGTTGTGGGCACAACTGCTCCCGTAACGAGAGCTATCAAAAATATTTCAAAAATAGACGTATACCAGAAATTCATGTTTCTTTTACTCTAAACAGATTTTGGGAAAAATCAAGCAATTTATATGCAACTAAATTTAACTACTTGCAAATTTAGTTTTTCGTTGCCAAGAAAATTTCAATTAATTTAGCTACCTTCAAAATCTGCATCTTATTAGAACATCAATTACATAAATAAGTAGGTACCTACGCTACGTACAAAAAGTAAAATGAAATGTTTAATGAAAACTTGATTGTCGCTTCACTTGTCTTTTAATCATGACATACCGTAATATTTTTTATTAAATTCGTCTATTAGACAGGCAAGGAAAACATAGCTCATACAATCGTATTTTTTTAATGAAGATAGACGGCATTTCTGTTGTATGAAATGTGAAATAATACCTTTAAACTCGCAGTTTTTCAATTTTGAAACGGTTTCGACTTTTTCAAATTTGTTTCAATAATTTTAAGTCCCTGGTTTATCAGATTGTCTATAATGCCAGTCAGGCGTAAATGTTTTTGGTATGAATTAGAAACACAAACCATTTATGGCGACTTGCGAATTGTTTCGTATGAAACTAGATAATTATTGTGAATTTTACATTGTAATAAAGTTGCTGAACATTACCACTCAAATTCTTCCAAAATAATTAAAAAAAGACTTTCTAAATTCGCGTCAGGTCCCATTAATTGAGCGGTTTTTTTTATTGCATTTTTCGCATAAAATATGATACCCTAAGATACAGCCCATTGAGTTTCTCGGCGGATCTTATCAGTGGGTCGCGTTTCCCATCCGGTGGTAGATTCAGCAAAGTGCTGCTCTTACTAGGGCTAGTGTTAGCAAACGTCAAGTTAGAGCCTCGTAAACTCAACTACTTGCCCGGTGAATATAATATGACCTCTCGAGGTCCCTAGAATAAGAAGTAAATAAAAAAAAAACATGACATGGCTTCTATAGCCATTACCAAGTTTTTTTGATTTACTGAAGTAAATTTAATAAAAGTAAAACAGTCATAGTAATGTTTTAATAATACAGAAAATAGTAAAAATCATAGCACAAAGTGATGATTAACGTCTGTAAAAGTTTGGCTATATAGACGTTGATGCTTTTGTCAAACCAAGAGCTCTTTGTGTTGTCTATGGACTTGACAGAACAGTTTTTGTGACATCCTCACCTGTGTCATAGTTTGTGTTTCCATTCTGCTAAGTAAAAATAATAGTTAAAATTCAATTAATACGTGTTTTTGTGACTATAATGAAAAATACATTTCCGTTAACCACACAATGTATTTTTTTTTAATTCAGTTAAGTAAAAAAATAAGGTCAAGATAACTTTGTGGTAAGTTAAAATTCACAGATATAATGTTTAGATTTGGCGTTTGACGCATGTGAATATGGAGCGTTTCTGTTGGATGGTTACGTTTGAAGGGATTGGGTTCTGTAGGTGATGAAGGGCTATTTAAAAACACAACTGCTTCATTATAATTATATTGCAGATTGCTCGAACACTTTTACACCATTATACAATTATTATCTTTATATTTTTTATAAAACTATTACATGTTTGTCTTGCCGTGTCTAGATGAGAAGTCCTAACATTTTCTTACGAGAATACAATGATCTGTTTTTTAAAACATTTAAAATAATTCCAATATTCGAAATCTAATCAAGTGTCAAGTGTTGCCTGCCATTACATTTAATATACAAACTCCAACACACCCCCTCAACACTTGCACACATTTTTCTCCATCTATAATTTAATACCAAAAAAGAATAACGCTAACCTGACCTTCATAAATTAATTATTTCCATACATACCTAAAAAACCTCACAACCACTTACATTCCGTTACTTCTACATAATCCCTCTCAATTCAACAACAACTATTCATTCAACCTTTCAAACTTAATACTATCTTTAATGTCGCTACCTTTAATCCTTTCTTACTTCTCCAACTCCAATTCGATCAAAAATGTACTTTCATTCAACCATACAACCATTCAACCTTAACTTCCCTCTTGACTCACTATATAAAACCTTAACTATAATAGTCTAACTCCTTCTCGACTTCCTACATAAACTCTTCAAGTTTATTTAAAACTTTTAACGCCTTCTCAACCTCTTTACTTTAATAACCTTAAACGCCTTCTCAACCTCTTTACTTTAATAACCTTAAACTCCTTCTCGACCTCTATAACCTTAAACTCCTTCTCGACTCTTTTACCTTTAAACTCCTACTCGACTCTTTTACCTTTAAACTCCTACTCGACTCTTTTACCTTTAAACTCCTACTCGACTCTTTTACCTTTAAACTCCTACTCGACTCTTTTACCTTTAAACTCCTACTCGACTCTTTTACCTTTAAACTCCTACTCGACTCTTTTACTAGACTCTTTTACCTTTAAAACTCCTACTCGACTCTTTTACCTTTAAACTCCTTTATCTCCTTCTCGACTTATTTAACGTTAATCTCCCTCTCAACTTCTTTAACCTTAATCACCTTCAACTCCACTCACAAACCACATAACTCATAACAAATAACCTCGCACAACTTCAACAAACTCAACATTTCAATTCACATAACACATACAACCTTACATTATTCATACAACCTTCCATTATCTTTTATATTTTTCTCACTTCCTAAATTTTCCCACTTTTTGCACATATCCGTTCAATTATTTTAATATAACACAAAAACAAGAATTCCAAACTGCCATAAAAAAAAAACAAAACAACAATAATACAAAACTATAAAAGAGATTCAAAAGGATTTTAAAAAACGACTGTAAATATGTTTGTATCAAATAATGTGTACTTCCTCCACGGCTAGACTATCTATTGTATTTATAGTATAATTAATAAAAAAATATATTTTTATGATCACCCCTTAATTGTTTGTGTGTTGAATAATATCACCCCCTTAATTTTTGAATTCATTCTTGTCTCTTTTTAGATAAATCTATGGTTGTATAATACAACATTTAAATTCCCAAAGAACTTATTAAACTAACCCATTTATCCCGAAACACAAGTTCACTTTTTTTTTTTTTTTTTTTTTTAAATGAATACACTTAACGTCTCAAAGTTTTCCATGACCAGATTTTCATTTGTTAATCTGAAATCATTTGTTCCACTTTCATTTGTTTCTCTATATTTCGCCTTTTAACAACATCTTCTCGAACTTTACGGCATTTCTACTTCATTACACTCAATTACTATTATTTCCTCTAATATCACCTTCTCGAACTCCACTAACTCTTCATTTCTTCCTAGTTCACCTTCTCGAACTTCATTAACTGCATTTCTTCCTCTAACACCGTCTCGAACTTCATTACCTCCATTACTATTATTCCCTCTAAAATCACCTTCTCGAACTCCATTAACTCAATTTCTTCCTCTAGCACCTTCTCGAACTTCGTCGACTTCGTCTTCACGATTATTTTTTATTTGTTGTTCTCCCTTCCATTACCTTATATCTCTTGTCTTCCAGCCAAGTTTTACAACATTTTCTATGTTTTTGACTGGTTTTATTTTATTAAATTCGTTACAAATTGGTTGCTATGAAAAATTTTTACAAACAGTTTGGTTTCCATGGTGATGTCGGCTTTTTTTAATTAGCAAACTATAATAAATATTACCTTATAAATTCTGGTCTGGGCCCATAACCTGTTGGATGGTTACGTTTGAAGGGATTGGGTTCTGTAGGTGATGAAGGGCTATTTAAAAACACAACTGCTTCATTATAATTATATTGCAGATTGCTCGAACACTTTTACACCATTATACAATTATTATCTTTATATTTTTTATAAAACTATTACATGTTTGTCTTGCCGTGTCTAGATGAGAAGTCCTAACATTTTCTTACGAGAATACAATGATCTGTTTTTTAAAACATTTAAAATAATTCCAATATTCGAAATCTAATCAAGTGTCAAGTGTTGCCTGCCATTACATTTAATATACAAACTCCAACAGTTTCATCGCTGTGATTTAATAAAATCGCTATGTATTTTAAACCAATATCCTTATATATACTATAAGTCGATAAGCTCATGCGATAGACCGACGTTCAGTTATTTGAACAATTACAAAATCTACAAATTATCAACATTCAAAATTAAACATTTTCATCCAGTTCAAGTATTGCATGCTGCTTGAAGTGTGGTAGTTGATGTTAACGATTGCCGAGTCAACTTATGTGTACTGTAAAAACAAATTATTTAATATACATTTAGTGTTGTAGATGAGAACTTTAAATAGTAAAGATTTTTCATCTAGCTATCTCAAGCTAGCTAAGCGAATCACACAGGTTCTTTTCATATCCAAAATCTTGACTTTGCTAACAGCTGCCTGGAGCATTTAGCAAAACATTTACACAACCAAGATTGACATACATGCCAAGGTAGTTTTAGTTTACTGAATATTCAAATCACTGTGTGAAATAGTAATGGTCATTGCAATTGCTGTCCAATATCAGACTGTATTGTAATATTTGTTAAAAAGCACAGCTGATAATTGACTCACTGTAAGTTATTTTAAACTTCTGTCAATACATACACAAGTTGCACTAAAGTTGTGTGGATGTTGAGCTGCATATAGTAGCTACTTCTCTAGTATCAAGTATCAACACAAAGAAGTTTACAGTTTATAGAATCTTTTTATTTATTTTTATTGAACACTAATTGTTTTTTAAGTGTAGAAAAAGCACTGACCAATATTAGGGAGAAACAAAAATCTTGTGCTTACCTGTGCATATTGTTACTGTAATTGCCAACTAACCATCTAGGTGCATTTGAATGATGTAACAGAACTAAGTTTGTACAAAAATATCTTTATATAAGGCCAGGAAGCACACTGCAAGCATAATATTATTTACAAATTCTATTTATAGGGGTGTAAAGGTTAGCTTGAAAACACTTAGCAATTTTAAAAGAATATATACTTCACATTGTATTGAAACGAATGATTGAACAAAAACACACATGAGATTTCAAGATAAAAATTCAATTTGTGTGTATTTTTCTATATTTATTTTGCATTTTATAATTTACTAGCGATCCGCCCTTGCTTCGCTTCAGAAACTGTAATTTAATATTGATTTCTCCACTATTTAATGGATGTTATTATACATATAAACCTTCTTCTTCAATCACTCTGTCTATTAAAAAAAACCACATAAAAATCTGTTGCGTAGTTTTAAAGATTTAAGCATACATAGGGATATAGGGACAGAGAAAGCGACTTTGTTTTTTAGACTATGTAGTGCCTTTCCATGATTGTGTGTTTTTAATTTGTCACATTTGTCTGCAGAGGAACTTTGGTTCTCTCTATATTGTGTACAGTATGTTCCATGGGGAGCTCTCTTAGGAATTGTTTGAGGTGATCCCATCATCTCGTTTTTACCTTTGCACCACCAGCAACGGGAGTAGAGTTCATCCATACTACCTGGAGCCATTGTGTTCATCCACAGTGCGTTTTCAGATACCTTTTTTTGCCATATACCTTTCGGCTTTGAACTGAACTCCTCTCCACGGTATTTCACGAGTGCTTTGACATGTTTTTCTTCAAATGAGGCTTGTGGAGAATACTTTATGGTAGGCAGTGGCTTGACTCTGCCCCTGGCATTTCTGCAATTCATGGGCAATAGTAACCACTCACCATCAGGTGGGCCGTATGATGCACGTCTGCCTAAAAGGGCAATAAAAAAAACATGTTTAATTTAATTTCCATTAGTATTGTAAGTCGTAAAGTTTTATCTATGTTATATTTGTGGATCATCCATTAGAATGTTGGAATATAATACTACTATTGCTAACATAAAATATTAACATGCATCCTTTTACCTGTAGTTGAAGAGAATGTTTTCATTGATATTTATTTGACAGAGACATTGCCGTTAATGACATTTTTCTGATAAGGAGGTCTTAAATTAGAGGAAACTGGTCACACTGGTGCCATCCTTGATTATATTAACACAAATTTTATATTGCATTGCACTATTCACTTCATTTTCAGCGAACAATAGTGAATGCATTGCTGTTACTATAGCTTAAAATTGATACAAAACCATTAATTATTCAATTATTTTCAGTAACTTTTTGATCACTGTTCCAGCTATTTAAATAACCTAATTAAAATTAGTGTTTGGTAGAAGACTTATTGTTCCTGTCAAAAAAAAATATTTTATGTTTACATGCTCGTATGACTTTGCTTGCATATCTGGTCATGTGGATATAACGGGGAAGGAGATAAGAGATGAAAAGGTCAAAGAAGCTACAAAAAATAGTGATAACACTTGCTCGGCTAACTTTACTTAGACTTTGAACACATAGCGAGGTGAAAGGCTATGTGGTATAAGCAACATTTTTGCCACTTCATAGGAGAACCACTTACAGTGTAAAATTTAGAAAAATATCGTAACAATAAACTTCTTCAACTATTTGATTCAAGTAAACTTAATTGAATTTCGATTAAAACATCGAACTGTTGATGCTAATACCTAATAAAATGCACTTTTCAAATTACAAAGATAAGTGCTGCGTATTAAGCAAAATCGCTTAAACCAAATGCTCTTTCACCCCTTGACATGTTACCGAATTGGCAGAAGTAATCGAGAACTTAAAAATAGTAATTTTCTAAAATATTGTATAATGTAAAATGTTCTGTAAACTTGGTATCTCAATAATATTATTGTAGTTAAAATAGTAAGTAGTAGGTATTGCTTTTTTAAATTTACTTTCATCGAGTGCCACAATGTGTGATGTCCACAACCTCATTCTCTGCTGTCTGATTCTACCACTCTTTGCCTAATTTGTATCAGCTCTACTCTAACATTTCCCAGTAACAGAATTGTGTGTCACTTTTCTTCTATGTATCAAATGTTAAATTATAAATTCTTAGAATTTTCTAATCTTTTACCATTATTATTTTATTATACATATTATGTGGTTCTCTTTTCTATGATATACATATCTAAGTATAAGGCATAATTTTCCTTTTTTTTTGTAACATTATTTGACCCAGGTCTAAAACTAAACACAAGGTTCACTGTTCAGGCCGTACGCTTGTTTTAGACACTACTAGCATGATGGATGGATGGCAGCATTGCTTATTAATGCTAATATTTAACAAAAATGTCTCTATTTCTGTATATTATAACTAAAAGTATACTGGACTACACCATATTTTTTTTTGATAATTGGGGAGAGCAGGATGTGGACAGCTTTCAGCAGTAGGCAGAGGCTTAGCTTTGTCTCTGGAATGGCTGATGTCCATGAACAACGGTAACTACTCACCATCGGGTGAGCCATAAGCTCTTTACAATGACAACTAAAAAACAATGAATACATTGTTACTGCAAACCTATATTACTTCAGCAGACAAAACTATTGTCAGCATTTATATCTTGCATCCTTTGGTATATATGTATTGTAAACAATATTTAATAAGCATTAGAGTTTATTTGGACCAATTTTTTTTATTACCACCGTTGTTTATTTCGCTTTATATTTTCGGTGAAACCAGGAAGGTATTAAAAAAAATTAAGGAATACGATCTCGGTTGGGTAAAAAAACGTAGCCCTATTCGTTGAACCTCACAGTTGTAGAGCCCTTCCGATATAAACTTCTTAATTGCCTTCATGGAGTGTGGAAATTTACGCTTACGACAGCGACTACGTCCCGATTGTTATAGGTATAACATTTAGCGCTTTCTGAATATCATTAATTAGTATGTACTCGATTTATAAGTAGCATTATTATATGACGATCGTTGTTGAACAATATCTATATTCAGGTATTAATGTCCATCCATCTATATCTTGTCTTATAGTATATATCTTAGTACCTATAGGTATATCTTGTAGTCCATCTTTTCATAAAATATTTTTCTAAATGCAGGTATAGAAGGGAGGTCTGTTTTAAATGATTTGATGGCTTATAATTTAACCTAGGTTAGTTTTATAATATTCTCAATTCTCTTAAGAAGTTTCTTCCTCAATGTGTGCTAACTTCCTTTTGGCATTTTGTTTTTTATTTTTTCTGGTGGCCAGTATTATTCAAGGGTGGGGCGTTTCGAGTCTATTTCTATTTTTAAATAATGGTCGAATCAGGCCAGCGGATGCTGCGCAGCGTCCGTTTCTAGGTAGTACTCGTTTGACAACTTATCCAGGGTTTCTGCGCATTCCTCTCGCCCGCCTATATCCACCATCGATCAATATTTCTGCGCAAAGGACCCTCTCGCGGAATGGCTTTTTGATCAGAAGATGGCAATCCCTCGACCAGGAAACTCGCGTGTTTGTACCAAGTGAAATATTGCAGTTTTATTTCATATTTAAAGTTATGTGATTTTTGCCGGTGCTTCAAGCCTCTTCCAGCTTCTAATTGTATAGAAAGGTAGGTGTAATTACATTTTAATTATGTCCTTGGTAGGCATATGGTCATTCTTTGTTAGTCCTTGAGGTAGAATGTCAAGACGGCTGCTTTCTTCAATGTTCCAAGGTAACTTTTCCAGAATTACGTCTTGTTTGTATAGGTGGTTTATGAGATTTGGAATAGACAGTGCACTGTTTGTCCAGTGCGGAACATGACTAAGTTCAACAAAGATTTCTAGAAAGAGCGGTTCGAAGCGGCTTACTTTTAGCGTCATTTTGCAACTTCTTGCCGTCATTTAGGAGGTGGACGGAGAAGAACTACAGGGGTACCGTTTCTGCAGTCGTATCTAATTTTAAGACCTAATTATAAACTTATTGTCCGAGGATCATACATCCTTTTGGTTTTGCTGTCTTAATGTTTGTTGTTTAATGTTGATAGAAACGTTCAAAAGTGATGAGATCATATAAAAACGATATGTGATTCCAAGAATTACGAGTTCGAAACAAGCAACAGATATATAAGTATCATAGTAGGTTAGGTGCACATACCTACGCATATTACATACACATTTACCTTTTAGTATTTATTGTAAATGATAAAAATAGGTTCTAGAGTTTGTACTTTTGATGTGAACGAGATCATGGGATGCATCCTAAAAAAATCTCGACAAAATGGCGAAACGAACCTGAAATGTAATTATAGTTCGATGGCAAATTGATCGGGTATAAGGAGACAGAGCGCATGCGCGATGAACTCATGCCGGCCTCACCCCGGGGTAGCCGCCATTTTGTATTTGGTTTGTCACGTACCATACATTACCTACTTTAAAATAATTTAAAGTCAACTTTCTTTCTGATTTCCTTTTTAATAGAGATTTGTGAAGTACACTTATGATAGACAAATCCTAACACGATCGATTGCAGTCAAATAAAATACCTACTACTGCTCGAGATATCAGTTTTTTTTTATTGCTTAGATGGGTGGGCGAGCTCACAGTCCACCTGGTGTTAAGTGGTTACTGGAGCCCATAGACATCTTCAACGTAAATGCGCCACCCACCTTGAGATATAAGTTCTAAGGCCTCAAGTATAGTTACAACGGCTGCCCTATCCTTCAAACCGAAACGCATTACTGCTTCACGGCAGAAGTAGGCAGGGCGGTGGTACCTACCCGTGCGGATTCACAAGAGGTCCTACCACCAGTACCGATAATAATCAATCAAAATGCGCGTCTATCTTTCTAAAGTAGTCATATACGAACGTCGTTTATTACATTTAATAAAAGATTTTTCGACTAGTGAGCTCCACCTCCAACGTCAGATGTAACACCGATATTATTTTGCAAGCTTATCGAAATTTTGTAGACAAACTAAATTTATAAATAAATCTATTTTTTAAATAAAAACAAAGACCTTGCCGTTACGGGGTGGTGTTGTGTATATGAGTACCAATTAATTGTAAATTATTGCTAATGATAATTTATTATTTTTGTTTATTATAAACATCAAGGTTGTACTTTCGTGATCCACGAAATATTTTAGTATAACGTGGCTAATTTTTTTATGACTCTAGTGATGTATATTATATTAAATGGTTTATCTATTAGTCGTATTCAGTATGATAGGCTGACCTATCTATCGTTTTTGAACCTTTGTTTTAATTAAATAGATGTTTAATTCCATTTTGAAACGAGTCGAATACCACCGGATGTTATTGGATAGATTTCGGGTGCAGTGTTTTCGTGTATCAACCACTTCGTATATCATACGGTATTGGTTGATTATTAAGACGTAGTTTTAATATTGGCGCGTAGTAACCTCAAGCAAATTATGTATATCTAACAAATAAGCGTAAATTAATCTAGGTACCTGTTTAAGTACCTAGGTATCCGTCGCCTAGGTGGGAAAACGATCTCAGCACATTGCTTTCTCACAGCGATAATGTTCAACGGTGCTAACTCAGCAAAGATAAAGAAAAGGTACCTGGCGTTCGATCCGTTGCAGTGTCATGTTGAATTCGAAGTACGTAATATTGAATTTCCATTACCTGCGGAGCTTTGTAAAGAAAGCATTCTATCCACATCTGTCTCAGGACTAGCTCGTGTTTAGATCCTAAAACATTATTTCGACTCTTGTTCGAGATATCTGTTTCTCTTCAACTAATTAATTCGAAATCAAAATGTTACGCGTCACTTTTGTTCAGTACGGTCGGGTTGCATTGTTCCACAACGATAATTTAATTTATAGCGATGAAAAGCTTTCGTTTTTCAGTTTGTAAGTTTTATGTTTATTTCTTTATATGTAGATAATTTTGGAAAACGTTTTTTTTTTTTTAAATCTTTTTTGTTTTTTTTTTGCAGCACCATGTCGAACCGAAATATGCGTAAATTGTGCGGCGGGAACACGCTGCCGCCTCCCGATGATGACGACTCCGATAATGACTTCCAACCAAAGTGCGTCCAGAACTCCGTCAAATCGAAATACGAGGGGGTATGTTTTAAGTTTTTTTTTTAACTAACCACATAAATCAACTTTTGATTTTCATTTCAAGAAGGCGGCGTGAGAGTTTGTTGTTCCATTAGGCAGCGAGACTATAGCTCAGCGAACGGATGCCTGAACAAAAAATAATTTAAATATGAAAATACTAACATTTTAGCTCCGCACTTTGAAATTTATTGTATTCATTTCATGAATGACTATTATTGTCTACTAACATTATGATATCAGTTGCTGGCGACTAACTGCAGAGCTTATGGTCTATGCTGGATCCGCTGCCGATGCGAAAGGACCAACAATAAGCTTTCAAAGTGAAAAAAAAGCGATGCGATACATGTCACCTATTGTTACCCATTCAGTTGGGTTCCTATCGCTTTTAAACTTGCTGACTTTTGCGAATACCAACCTATTTTGTTCTTAAATAAGTTAAATATATTAGCGTCATCGACAATTGTTTGATGTAAGCGCTCCTTGTGTGGTAGTTGGAGATTAGCGACCATTCCGAGCCTCAATCTGAAATGGAGCAGGAGTCCAGTGATGCAGCAGTCCACGAAGAGATTGTCCAGCCCTCAACTTCATTCGATAATCCGCCCTCGACGTCATCCGACAACCAGCCTGCAACCTCGTCGGGCAATCAACCCTCATCCAAAAATAAAAAGAATAAAGAAAAGAAGAGGTTAAAGAAATTGAGGAAGAGTGGACAGGGCGTTGAATTCAAACCCGGCGTAAGTTACCGTTGAAACACATATATATTTTCGAACATGATATTTAGGGCTCTTGGCTCATCTGGGTCAAGGCTGGATTGAAATATTTAACATACGACATTTGTTCTACGACGGTGACGTATTTTCAGATGGACGAAATAGATCGTTCGGTTCTAGAAGTGAACGCTATGTTCGGCGAACCGGAGCCAGCTAACGAGAAGCCCCCAGAGAAAATGTCCGATTTCATGACCGTGCAAACGAAATATCTCAGTGCGGCCAACGAGTATCGAAGGCTGTTCGGTCCCGACGAAGACGAAAGAAGGTATATTGTAACAGATATAAAAAAGTCCGACTGACTGAACTAACACGAGAACGATGGAAAAAAAACCACATAGTATTCTGGAGGTGGACGTTGTATTTATATGCGTATATTACATTATAGTTTAACTTAAAAGTCGATAATGTTGTTATTTTGAATCTCGATGTCCAATTGGTATTAAATGGCTACCCTAAAACCCTAGATGATATAATATTAGTCGTTACCCCATTAGATATGAGGTCGTAATTTGTATATCGTCGCTGTCAAACTAAAATCTGCTTAGTGCAAAAACTCTATTTTGAATTAACGAGTAAAACATTTTCGTATAAAATTTTATATGAAGGTGATTTTTTAAGAACTATATCAAATGAAAGCTATAGACACATAACAGTTTTTTTTATACAGCAGATTTTGGTTTGACAACGACGATATGTATAAATATATGTATATTCGTATTGAATTGACTAAAATACTTTTAATGTTCTCATAATTATTGATAGATGATTATGTACGGCCGTTCACAGATACCAACCAGGTCACGGTGCGAAATTGCGTCGTTCTATAATCGTTCCATTCACAGAAGATGCTTTCAAGAATTATAAGAACGGTAAAGGGTGCTTCATTTAGTTATATTATACAATCTGTCAATCTTGACGTGTGACATGTATGACACTACGAATTATCTTCTGAAATATGTGTTTTATTAAAATAAAATATATGTCTTGAAATAGTTAAGTTAATTTGACGGAAATCAAAATGTACTATTTTATCGCTGTTGTTGTCAAGATATTATTGCCTTAATGATTTAAAAAAAAATAGATATCACAGAATGTTATTTAAAATTTTCCTACAATTTCGTGATCTTTTTTAGTTTAAACCCACTGAGAGTTTTTTCTAATAGAATAACTGACACTTTTTCTGACGCTTAATCTGACGCTTTAAACTTTTCGATTTATCAAATGAAATGTAAACGCAAGATACAATGGTAAGTGTTTGAACTGCGTCTACAGTATTATAAAAAACAAACCATTTTTTCTAATGCGATTGAGACTTATCTCATGCCTCAAAGTGTCGATGGTGTTCATTAAGACCAGTAGAACTAAACACAAGTAAAAAATAAAAAGAAATAAGATATTTCCAATTAAAAACGAGTAAGTAAGTAACTTCTACTTTTCTTATGTAAAGATTTTTTCATGCACTGCACTACTTTCGACTCATCAACATTTCTTTAATACAACCTTGTATAGCGGTTCGTATACATCACCGACCTTACAAATTTTATTTATCCAGAGTCAGTAGTCTTCGAAGAGTAAAATACCTACTTCGATAAACTATAAAAATCGCCTCATCGTGGCCGCCGCCTACGCTGCCTGTACTATTCTTTTTGTTATGATTTTTTTTGATGAATGGGGCATGATTATATGTGGTCCAGAGACCTTTACAGTTTCACCAGGACAGGTGGGCGAGCAAAGGCTCAGCCAGGAGACCTAACAACTCAGGAGCAACCGCTTCGCGAATGAATCTACTACCGGATGGGAATCGCTTTATATTATTCTCCGACCTACGCTAACGCAAGGGCCAGTCACCGTCGACGCCTTAGACACGTCATTACGGATTCTATCCACTAAACACAACTGTTAGACAGTTAGGGATCCTGGTAACCTTACTCGTCGAACTAGTTGACGAATTCGACGTGCAACATAACCCATATAGCATTAGCCAGCTGAGTTTCTTGTCGCATCTTCTCAGCGGGTCGCGATTCCGATCCGGTAATAGATGTATTCGTAAATCAGCTGCCTTCGAGTAGTCAGGTCTCCTTCGGGGGCGCTCTACGCTCTGAGTCTTTACTCGTCCGCCTGTCCCGGCGAAATTGGAATGGCCTTCAGTCCATCAGCAACCTCTTTCCCTTAAAAAGAGAAAGTAAAATATTGGGACACGTGGAAGCTCTAAGTGCACCATCTTATAAGAATTAGTAGATGAAAATTAAAAGTGAGCCATACAAAGTTCTAATTAGGCGTTAATGTTTCCATATTGATCTCCAATAGATGGTGTTACATAGTATCACATCAACATATATACGAGAGGTGCGCAAGCGCATGTGCAGGAGCTTTGTAAAGAAATAGCGTAGCTGACTTATTAAAGACTAATAACCTGCATGATAACAAAGTGACAAACATTTAGATATGTCTGATTATTTGCATCAACTCAGAAAAATGTTATTTTGAACAAGAGAAAATATTTCAACAAAGTAAACGGACGTATATTGAGACCGGCCTCAGGAATAACACTACGTGCATTCGTCGAATCACTTTGCAGATAAATGTATGTTCTCTAGATGAAAATATCATCATAAAACTAAAACTTTTGGGACTTGTAGCTCTTAGGTGCCTTGTGAGGCGGTGATATTCCGAATTGAAAACTGTATGGTGTGTGCCTGCGATTCTCATATGCGAGGAACGCATGAAACACGCTTTGTACAAATGCCAACAACGCTCAGAGAAAATAAATTCAGTTTACATGAAAATAATTCTACGCATATAGAGCCGAATCATAATAACGTGCATGCTTTATATATATTTTTTTAATTAATCTAATGATTCATATCATGCCTAAGGGAACCGTTTTCGAAGAAGCGCCTAGGTTAAAATGATAGCTCTTTTCACGATAAAATATAAGACTGGGAATCACGCTTTGATATAAATAAAAATTCCGAGAAAGACCACAACAATCACGCTCCTATTTTCCTACGATTTTGTTAGTGTCTCGATCTGTAGATAAATACTTTTGGATTAATCATTTAACGTCGCATATAAATATACAATTTATTTATCAGTGTTCAATTTGTAACGTTAAAACAGTCGAGGTACATTGACGGTCCCCTGTGACGTGGGAGGGCGAACCATTCGCTGTCGTTGCGAATTGTGCACAAAATGTGGACTTGTCAAACTTTAAGTATTTATAGCTTAGCGTTATTAATACAACGTCGTGGTAGTTTTATTATTCGTTTAAAATTCAGAAACGGTTCCCTTTGAGCTTAATGTCGAGGGATTGTAGGCTATTTTAGCGGCATATTGTCAATTTTACAGGAGAGTGCATCAATACGATCACGCGTCCCAGTTCGAAGCGTAGAATAGAAATTGTTCCGATAACATTGAAGCTTCGACTTCATATTCGAAGGAGGGCGGCCGCCTTCTTATTGTGGTGTCTATGGGCCATAAGAAAAGGTGGGCCCAGAGCGCATCAGCCCAAAGCTTCAAATTTCCGTGAAAATAAATAGATACTGTTGTAAACATATGATTTCTTTTTCGTTTATTTAGTATTTGATTTATTTTTGACTCTGAAAGTCTCTCCTAAATTTCCAGAATTTGGCTTAAGTCGAATAGCCTGTTTTCTCTCGACTTGATTGGTCAGAAATGAAATTTCTCTGCATATTCTCATTTTCAATAGACTGACTCGTTCATTCGTTGAAGTCACCTCGTTTAAGAATAAATTTTTATTATAATTTATGCCATAGAACTGATCATTATGCACTTTTCTTTATTATCATTAAGTTTTGCTATTCAGGTTTTTTGTTTCTATTTTAATATTTTAAACATTCATTTTAGAGGGAAACGATTATTTAGTTCGATGTGCCTGCGCATTTGTCAGTGTCGTCAAGGGTTAAATAGCTTCCCCCCTTGTAGCTTGAATGATTTGTTTTGATGATTGGCTCACTAGATAGTGCACTTGCGAGCACATGTTCTATTAATTTCTATGATTTCGAACGAATACTTTTTTTGTTGTTACTAATTCGTATTTTTTGATAGCGCTAACTTAAAAAAACAGATCTTAATCTCAAGGGTTTGTGAAAAATTTATATATTATCTTTATAGGTCTCTCGATGTCCATTCTTGAACGCAAGGAAGATATAACGTACTTCGTATTTAATCACAATGATTATTACCAGAAGATGCAGCGAATGTTTTTGTTCGTTTTACACAACCGAGTCGGCAACATGTTTCTTCCAATCGATAGAGCGTCAAAAGATATGCATGTTGATTTCATGCTGGAGGTCAGAGCGTTAAAACATTTTGAATTTTATTTCTAATAAAATAGGTGTGATATTTATGAAAACAATTTTAACTGTCCCTTTAGGTGTTGGATAACTATTTCCGCGTTGAAGAATATACAGGAGCCGCTACAATAATGAACATCATAATATCATTCCTGCAATACTGTTCTCATCCACTGTTCGATCTGACAGACGTACGTATTTGATTTAAGTTGAAAACCCATAATAACTCAACTACCTATCATTTGTTAATTATTAGTTTTTTGGTTTTTATAGTCACACGTCCGCCTCGAGTACAAATATGTTGAGAACAGGCCATTCCACGTTGCAATTCTGAAATATATCTACATGCTGACAAATAAGGCATGTCATCGCACCGCCCTCGAGCTGGCCAAAGTAATGCTGAACATCGATCCGTCTGACCCATGCGGTGTGATGCTCATTGTGGATGTCCTAGCCTTGCGTGCCCGGGAGCATCTCTGGCTAGTCCAGGCCTACGAGGCGTGGGCTGTCGAGAAAGACGCGAGCAGCCTCTTCAACATGCAGTACTCTTACCCGTTAGCGCTGTTCCACATCGCTGTTAAGCATAAAGGTGGGTTTTATGTTTCTTCCACAGGCAAAGTGACTAATTTTATTATCATCCCAAAAAACACAATTCTACGTCCGGTAAACGAAATTAAAATAAAGATATGTATTCGGTAGCTTAAAAAAAAGTTGATCCGCGTTTTAATGTATTTTCAAGTTCATGTTAGATTCAAATTATACATCCGATATTACTTCGTCCAGTGTACAAAGAACCTTGGTTGTAATAAAAAAAGTCTTAAACAAGAACTTGGCCAAGTTATTTCATTTAATATTATCCATAGAACTTTGATGTTATTGTTTAATAAACAGTATGAACTAGTCTATAGAAACAGCCCACTGAGTTTCTCGCTTGATCTTCGCAGTGGGTCGCGATTCCACTCCGATGGTAGATTCAGCGAAGCACTGCTCTCACTAGGGTTAGTGCTAGCATGTTTTCTCAGGTTGAGCCCCGTAAGCTTATCTAACAGTTAGCGAGTAGTTTGAATAAACAGCCCCTTAGGCTAACAGCGAATAGGTAGGGAAAGAAAAATATAAATATGTAATGTAAAATTCTAAGAGGGACAATTTCGTTATAGCTCATGAACCGGCTATACCTTTGTTTTTTTTATTTTTTTATTATGTCTTATGGTTCGATTTTATCATTTGAGTTCCTAATTGAACGTGTTTTGTTTAAGCTAATTTATATCCAGATCAATTGCTAAAACAAGCCATAATGGGCTACCCGACCGTGATGCTGAAGATTCTCGAAAACTGCAACCAGCTCACTCCTCGCATTTCCGAGCACCCGATCTTCACTACTTTCGGAACGATGACGTAATTATATATTGTTACTAAATCTACTTTCAGAAATTGTAGTATAATGTGTTTTTTTTTAACTAACGGTTTGTTTTTTTTTTTGGACAGTACCGCAAACGATCTTCAAGAGCTTATCAATTTCTATGCCAAGATGGCGTACGGGAAATGGCGCGAACCGCCAGTGATGGATTGGCTGATGACGGTTTTGAACGAATTGCTTGATGAATACGAGACCCAGCCCCACATTCAGGTCAGTATGGAAAAATCGCAGAATTAATTTTGTTAATAATGAATTGGAGCAACGTTCACGACACCGGAGCCGGAAGCATCGCTATGAATTCAGCATCTCAAATATCCCTGTCGGTAGCTTCTCTCGGTCAGTAATAAAGTAAACGAAAATCTATCTGTCTTCATGTATAAAAGAGAACGTGTGTGTATGTACGTTCACTTAAAACTCGAGAACCGTTAGTCAAACTTTGTACACATAAAGGGCGACATGACCACTCCGACGAAGATTCGTTTGTACCGGATAGGTGGCGCTGTTGGTAGTGATTTTTATCTTTTGAATCATATATAGGTCGAATTCATATGAAATCTATATATGTAACTATCTATGTACATAATATATTCACCTAAAATTGTCTTATGTAGTTAGATTACATTTAAAAATAAAATGAGCCATCGCGGGAAGGCTGGAAGATGTGAACCATTGATATTATTTTGTACAGGCATAGATGCATAAAAGGTTAGTTTACAACAGGGATTCATTTGGCATAATAAATAAAAAAATTAATATTAAGAAAATGTCACTTGCGCATGGCCACACGTCGCCATACGTTACACACTACTACGTTTTAGTCTATATATATTATCGTACAGCCAGCAAACGGTTTTATGTGCGGCTATAGATGTTTTGTTACGGGCGCAGCCGCGTGCGCAGCTAGTTATTAATGAATATTATAAAAGGTCTTATAGCCTAAAAGGCCTTAGGCGACGCATTGATGCTGAAATTGACATAAGGCTGTTATGATGCCCGATATTGAAATAACGATGAAGGTATTGAACAGGTTCGCTGCAGGATCTTCTCCAATGAGCGCATGAACATCTACAGAGGGTACCCGTTGCAAGTCATCCGCCACTTGGCCATCATCTCGCCCCTATGGAAGTTCATCATCGACGAGGTAAGTCATTTTTTAAACGTCTTTACGAATGTCAGACCAAAGTTATTATAAGTGTGCATATTTAAAAAACAATTCTGTAATATTTGAATAATATCAATTTTTTTTATTTTTATTTATTGCCTTTGTAGGCAGACGGGCATACGGCCCACCTGATGGTGAGTGGTTACCGTCGCCCATGGACTTCAGCAATGCCAGGGGCAGAGCCAAGCCGCTGCCTACCGCTTAATACTCTCCACAAGCCTCGTTTGAAGAAGGACATGTCATAGCGCACGGGAAACACCGTGGAGGGGAGCACACTCCATAGCCGGATGGTACGTGGCAAAAAGATCTCTGGAAACGCACTGTGGATGACCGCAGCGGCTCCAGGTAGTATGGATGAACTCTATTCCGGTGGCGGGCGGTGCGATGGTAAAAACGAGATGCTGGTATTATCTCGAACAATTCCTCAGAGCACTCCCCATGGAACATACGGTATAAAATACAGAGGGAACCGAAGTCACTCCGCAGACCCAGAGGCTCCAAACGATCCGAGAGAATGGGATTATCGACAATCCGAACGGCCCTCCTCTGTATGGAGTCAAATGGAAGAAGCTGGTATTTGGGAGCCCCGGCCCAGAGATGGGAGCAGTACTCCATGCGAGGCCGGACTTGTGCTTTATAAAGCAAAAGTCTTTGTCCAGGCGTGAAGTACCGCTTCGCTCTGTTGNACGGCCCTCCTCTGTATGGAGTCAAATGGAAGAAGCTGGTATTTGGGAGCCCCGGCCCAGAGATGGGAGCAGTACTCCATGCGAGGCCGGACTTGTGCTTTATAAAGCAAAAGTCTTTGTCCAGGCGTGAAGTACCGCTTCGCTCTGTTGAGGACTCCCAGCATTTTGGACGCCAACTTGGCTTTGCCTTCCAAATGACTAAAATTATTTAGTTGCCTTATACCAGCCTTTCCCAAAGTGGGCGATAACGCCGCTTTGTAGGCGCTGCAACCCTAAACGGGGGTGGTAAGAGATCCAGAAAAAAAGAGGGCGTTGTGTAGAGGCTTGGGAAGCGATTTGTAACTTCATCTAGGAGGACTCTTAGATACCGACTGAGCTCCCGCTTTAGTATTTTTTAAGTAGATGAAAAAATGGGGGCGCTAAAAAATTCTTTATTCTCAAAGTGGGCAGTAGACAAAATAAGTTTGGAAACCCCTGCCTTATATGATAGTTCAATGGACTTGGACCTCAAGTTTCGAGGTATTAACGGATATCAATAACAGAAACGACCATAACTGATCAGGATTGTGGTGGTCTCGTTATCTATCTTAATATATTCATGGTAAACGTCTATTGAATCCGCACGGGTAGGTACGAGCACCCTGCTTATTTTTGCTGCAAAGCAATAATGCATTTCGGTTTGAAGTGTGGAACCGCCGCTGCACTGTTAGACGGAGACTTCCAATTCGCGTCTCAAGGGGCAATAACCAATAACCATTCAACAACAGGTTGGCCGTGAATTCCTCTACGCTACGAAGAAAAAAAAATCTCATCGTACCAGTTAAAGATATTTTTTTTGGCTTTAAAACATACTCCGGTGCTTAGTGAGCTCCTTATCATGTCATTCTCCAAATAAGATTCCTTTAAGCAAATGGCTCTGCCTGGGCCAGGCATTGCTAGTCGTTCCCGACACACCGTATTTAAATGAGTCGTCTATTATCAAAGGTGGCAATCTGTGCATTTGGACAAAAAAATGTTATTGATATGTCAATACAGATTGATTTGAATATAATCGTCTCCTTCAAAGAATACGGTTCAAAACCTGCATTAAATAAAGGTTAATAGTTAACCTGTTATTTATCTAAGATGTCGTTCCGAAGAGTTTTGTGACTGCCAATGGAATACAAANGAATATAATCGTCTCCTTCAAAGAATACGGTTCAAAACCTGCATTAAATAAAGGTTAATAGTTAACCTGTTATTTATCTAAGATGTCGTTCCGAAGAGTTTTGTGACTGCCAATGGAATACAAAGTCAATAATTCGTTTTTCTGATTTACCAATAATTTTCCTAAAGTCAGATTGCCGGCTTTGATAATAGTCGACTCAAATACCGTAAAATGGAGGGAATCAGACACTTTTTAAGTTCGACATTGTTTTTTATCGTACTCCGATCGTAATGGTTCCGTAGGCTTAAATTTTTTTAAATGATGCGTTATTATACATAACTCATTACAAATTATACACAAAAACTGAAAAAAACTAGCTTGACCTAATTCACCTTGGTCTTGGGGTGAATCAGGATATGTATGGGGACAATAGTTTTTCGATAGGGCTGGCACTATTTAGTTGTTAGGTACCTAATCTAGCTTTAGGTAATTAACTTTTTAATATCTTTAGTGAGTTACAAAACTTTGATGACTAAATTAAACTATTTTATATTCTTGAACACTAAATAAAAGTCATTTTTCAATTCATTCAATTTGTCCCTATTCTACCTCTAGTCCTTATTGCCCCCAATATACTGTACAATCCATGCGGTGGAAAACAAAATAAAGTAGTTCGCTGTGATTTTGTGCGTCCAAAAATGTACCTAAACAAATAGGGGTTTGATTTCGTTTTTGATTGTAAAGGAACCGCCTCGTATGATCCAAGGCGTCGCTTCGAATCCAATACCGCCCGTCGAGTCCATCGATCGCTATGAATACGAACAGACAGACAGACGAATTTTCAACGGTACCCGTAGCATTTGGTACAGCTTCTTCTCATCAATAAATCCGAACCACAGAATGTAGTAAGTATAACCACTATAAAAATGTAGCTCTTTTATATTTGTGTGGAATAACTGTGACATTAAAAGTTGGTGGGATAAACCACGGTAGACTTGACTTATATTTTCAATGTGGTGACTATTTTGCGAGATAAGATCGCATAATTTTTAAATTTTTAATGAATTAAATACATAATAATGAATTATTTAGCATAACTTAGCTTCGAACGATCTTGCTCAGACATTGCGCTCGCGCATAACTTCGATATGTTTGGTTTCAAAATTAGTTTCGTAATAATTTGCTGTCGAACTTATCCATGGTTGTGAAAAGTTCTTGGATACGACTGATTTTGATCGTGTTGAAACATAAATAACAAAGACATCCCGTTTCAAGAGAACAATAATTTCAAAATATAACAATAACGAGATAAAGATTTATTTAGATTTTCGTATTTAAAAAAAAAACATTAAATTTGCACTGGTTTGTGCTGATTCGTGCGTCCAGTCAAGGAATAAGCCTAGACGACGTAGAGAATTTTCTAGAAATATCACTATAAAAAGCTTCGGTCACTAGCGGACCAATTGCAATGACGTTTTAAAATAAAACTTAAGAGAAACATAACATAATTTCTAGTGGGTCACGTTTGCCCTTGGTTTATATGTCCAACGAAACAATATGCCCCCCAACTTTAGCATTGTTGTTATTATGTTGTTTGTCTATGGGGATGCGTGATAAAATTACAGCCTTATTATCATTGGGCGGCTGTACGTGTGCGAGTTTAAACGGGAGGTCGTAGTGTTACATTGTACATTTGTACAACATACACTTTAAGGTTCCATTGTCGTACGTCCAATTAACACGTATGTGTTGCCTTCGCATGTATCCGTTGTCCGTAGGTCAATGTCACTCGCTAGCCTCAGGTGACATTTTCAATAATACTAAAGTGTGAATCAGAAAAAATCTAATGTCCTTTCAAAGAACATGAATACAAGTACTGCAAGATAAATATAGGAAATACAGAAGGCATGTTAGTGTTGCACCACTGATGACATCATTCGACATTTGTATAGATATTAAAATTGGTTCTGATGAATTCAACTGATGGGACCTCTAAGTGTTGTCGTACTGTACATTGTTATCGGGGAGCTCGTCGTTTTAGGCACTTTAGTACGTTAATTAAATTAAAGTGGAATAAATAGAATTTTATATATAAATAAAAAAATACCAGAATAAAACTAAATGTGTTTGCTTTTAATTAATTGTATTTTGAATAATCATGCATCCCCATACATACAATCACGTGCTTGTATTTTGATTTTATTATTGTTTCATTTTGTTTTATTAAATAAAAACGATTTATTTTTCCTTTTACAATTTGTTTCATAAATTCATCGCCCTTGACAAAATAATTATTTATATATTTTTAAGTTGATTTTAAATTTTTAATTGTGAATTTTAAGTATAATTATAATATATATGAAATAGTTATATTGTTTCTTATAAATAAATCATTATAGTTAGATTATTATATGGTTTGTTACAATTTAAGTACACGAATTCCAGCTTCGGTGTTTTGAGAGATTAATATATTATAAAAGCAAAATCGCTTTAGTACATTGTATCGACTTGTCACTAAATATGATTGTTAAAACTGACATCTATCCAATAAATAAGATAAAATTGTGCACTAAAGATTAAATACTGTGCCAATAAATTCCAATACATTTATTCATTTATTTAGCTTAAGTTGAAACATAGTTTACAAAGTAAATGAATAGGCGGGCTGGTTCCATATTTTTTCTATAGCCGATTTATTGACACGGAAATTTTTGAAAAGTAGATATATGTTGAACTTTTTTTAAATGGTTGCACACCTTTTAACTTTTGTTCAAACCTCATTTAGAATTTTGAAAGAGTACGCTTAGTGAAAAGTAAAATTTAGTCAACTCAAGCCGCTGGTTTAATTTCTATTGAAACACTAAAACTCACATCTTCATGAACCACACTTAATTTTCGGTGTTTCAAGTTTCTGTGACTTAAGTGACTTTGCTTATCACTCGTTTTATGAATTTATCATGATATTGACAATGACGAAGCTAGAACTCGACTAGTAGATTAATTAAATAAATCTGTTGTGTTTTATTGTGAAGCATGTTTTTTTTTCTACCCTTCTGTGTCTGCAGTAAGTATAAGTGATCGCTATTGTAGCATAATTTCTTATACATATATATAAATGGCCTACAATTTAACACTCCTTAATTAATTTTATATCCCTTAAACCTTAAATTTATTTGCAATCGTTTCTCCTTTAAACTTTAGAAAGAATACCCCACAGCGAGCTTTTCTATTTATGCTTTTATTTTCGTAACGTATTTCGTAACGGTTAATGGGTTCGCTAGAAAATCGACTGGCAGAACATATAATTATGACTTCATTTAGATCTCAATAGATTTAAAAAATATATATACATAATAATATGTGTTATTGGAAAACTACGTACAGCTTTAGGCGAAAGTGGGCTGACGGTGATGCATGATACTATGTTGTTGCTTACATTGAAATATCACTGCTGTCCAAAAACATGTTCACTGTTGTTCACTACATGATCATTTGCAATATAACCCTCGAATACTACGCCAAAATGTGGTAATGCAAATATTATTTTACATACCGATATCACGGCTATGTTGAAATATTGTCATTTAATATTCATATTAAAAAACAGAATAGTATAATAAAATGAGTAACAGTGAATATGCAACGTATTGCACTGTGTAAATTAGTTTCAATGAACACCGCCGATATTTATTTTATGAATCACGAACATATCACCTAAAAAGTAAAAAATACTAGATGCAAGCAGCGGAGGACCAGTCACTGTGATATATCTTGAAAGTGGGTGGCTGAGATACAGCAGGGGCTGTCTATAGGCCAAAGATAATATAACAATAAAAAAAAACAAATTAAGACGCACATACATACATCGTTATATCACACAAAATGAATATACTGAGAATTAAAAATAATCCCAGGATTATTTGTAACAGCTGCCAACAGAATTTATAGTGGGATACAAATCCAAAATACATGATGTTAGAAAACTTTATAAAATTTTAACTTGCATAATACAGTTCATAGATATTTTTTCAGTAGTAAAAAAAATACTAATTTCATGTGTAAATGAATACAAAATAAAAATTAGGCCTTAGTAAGAAAGAAGCATGTAATTAGAATTTTCATGTTTGAGTTAGGATAAATTGCTTTTTTTTGTATGTTTATCAATATAGAAACGATAGTCAACGTTTGATTACTTACAGTAATGGAACTCGTCGGTCAGAAAGAATGTGGACAGGACTATTCGACGATATCAGTCCATCATATCGCAGAACTTGCATTGGGCACGAGCTCAATCGGAAGCGACAAGCCGAAGATCGTTATCAGGAATCTTTGCTTCGGGCTATATCAGTTACTCATGATAATAATTTAAACAATTTCACGAAACTTCTGCTGAAAATTTATGCGAAATTCGCATCTCAATGTGGACGATCGGAACAATCTTTAAGTATCCGTCCACCTTACGTAGTTCCTCGGGATCAATTACCGTCTTTCATTCAACGGTCAGTGGAAATCGAACAAGCCGAATTCCATCCAAGTGGAACAGGAAAAGAACCGCAACCCGGTTCTGTTCCTGCACCAGGTCCATCATCTGTACCAAAAGTAATAACCGACCCTGAACTCGGAACTGTAACTTTAACTTTGCCAGAATCTAATTTGATCTTTAATTCATCTGAAGTATTACGTGTCTCATCTACTGATTTGGTACCGGGGTCCTCATCAGAATCAGTAGTTGAGCCTGCTCCTGAAGTAGCACCTGGATCGTCATCTGAAATTTTGCCAGAGTCACCACCGGAATTTGTACCCGGGTTTTCAAATGAAATCGAACCTGGGTCTTCATCGGAAGTGGTACCTGAATTTACATCTGAAATTATACCTGGCAATACAATTCAATTCGCACTTGAGGTGTTACCAGAAGCAGTACCGGGGATTTCATCAGAAAAGCTACCAGGCATTGAAAATGAATATGTACCATATGCAACCGGCGTTGCATCTAATATTGAAGACGATTCTGACGAAGAGATCGATTTTACTGCGGAAAAACCCGTAATTACCCGTGAACAAAAGACTTTAATTGTTGATGAGATTAAGCCTTTCCAAATTGAGGGTTTTAAGCCATTACACTTTGACCTTCTCCATAGACCAGATCATACGGCTGATTTTGATCCTCGTCGAGATAATATACTTTTCGGGATAGAGGAAGAGCTAGAGGAACCTGATCTTGGGCGTGAGCGAATCGATCGCATTCATAACTTGCTTGCGTTGGAAGATCTGGATGATGATTCTGAGGATAGCGATGATGAAATCGATGATGATGATGAAGACGAAGACGATGACGATGATGAGGACGTATCGGAGGTGCCTCAAGACCAGACTGAACAGGCAGAAGGACAAAACAACGAGGACCGCAACAATCAAACTCAGCAGCTCGAAGAACAGGCACAAGCTAATCAAGAACCTACTAATAAGGAAGCAGACGCGAATGAACAAAAATCGGAAGCCGACAACGAAGGTTCCGATAACAATCAGGCTAACGAATAATTGTGCCGTAAAAAGAAATAGAAGCATTCTACCGCAATCATTTATGGATCTTTTAGAAGAATTTATATATAATATCTTTATCGAAAACTGTATTAAAATTTGTGTTACCTACAGATATTATTTGGTCATAGTTTGTGGGAGGGTGGTCACGCATTTCATTCCTTATCATCATTTGTGGAATTTTAATACGGTTAAGGATATTAAAATCAAAACGTACGGTCGGTATCTTTACTACTGATGGAGATATGTTACTGAGTTAATAGAGGACTTAATAGATGGATAGGATGACTGAAATGACTACTGACTGAATAGTAACGATTCTTCTTCTCTTATTTTTTTGAAGAAGTTTGTAGTTCTGTAAATATTGACTTATTTAAAACAGTTAATTCGGTATCTTAGAAACTCACAGCATGAAACATATTTTCGTTTCATCAAAAAACAGAGTTAAGCTTAAGAAAAAAAGTAATTACTATCCAGAAGCTTTTATTTTACAAGTTCATAAAATAGGAATTGGACTTTTTTAGAATTTCAAACTTGATGATGTTTTCCCCATATGCTGCGATTTTACTGCGAATACACATTCTAATTTTTGTGAATTAGCCGCTATGTCTATTTGAATGGTATTAATAATTACTATTCTCTTTAGAATATATATTAGTTAATAAGATAATTAACTCTTAATAATCAGTTAGGTTCAAATTTAAAATTTCTCGGTTGTATATGTGGCTTATAAATTTAATTTAAATTTATTGTTCATAAATTAATTTACAAATTTTAATAAAATTCACTTACCTTAAGTCCGTTTAAATTTAAATTCATTTATGATCTAATTTAATAGATACTAATTTTAATTAAATTTTACATAAAGCAATTTGAATTAAAAAAGTAAAGTATTAAATATTTTATAATTTTATTAAATTTAATTATTTCACTCAAAATACGTAATTAGGTTATTATCTTATTTTTATCTTATAAATTAATCCATTCCATTTTCATCGTAATTTATAATGTTTACGTAAAATTAGTCTTTGTGGTAATTTTTTTGTGATAGTATTAAATTGATTCATTATATTTCAGTATTCGATTAATTATAAAGGTGTCAAACAAGTATGTAACTGAAAACGTCCTGAATGAATAAGCGTGCCGATGTGAACTTACAAAAAAAAAGTAATTAACATTGCCCTTTTTTTGTATCTAATAAAGTCTGTTCCAAATGCAGAGTGAAGAAGGTCATTGAACTTGGGTTAACCGAATCAATTACCCTCCTGTATTGGTTTTAAATGCAATTCTTACTGGCTTTGGTTGATAAACTGAATTCACCTTTATGTCTTCAATGGGTTCCTGAAATTAAATAATAAAGTCTTCACGTCGGTACATTCTAGAACAGTCCACGACCGAATCAAATTGGCAGCCGCTGCCTGTCCACGCTGTAAAACGTATATGCGGTAGATGTTTAAAAGTCAGGGAAGCCTAGTGCTTCAGTTTTGCAACTGGTACCAACAATAATTTGGGTTAGTGACAGTTTTTGCTCTGCGTTTGCAATGCACTTATTTAATAATATGGGCTAGGCCGTGTATAACCGTCTACTAAAATAATAATAAATAATAATAAAGCCCTTTATTTCCGAACTACAACCATGAAATTTAATTTTTTTTTTTTTTACATGTTATTTCTTATAGTATATCTCGGAGTTCGGCGTGCCTCGTGGCATAGGCCTCCTCCAGCTCTCTCCATTGGGCTCGGTCCTCTGCAACTCTGGTCCAGTATGGTCCTAGGGTTAGGCGTATATCATCGCTCCATCTCGTTTTTGGTCGCCCCTGTCTTCTGGTGTCCCCTCTTGGATACCATAAAGTAACCTGTTTACTCGTCTACTAGCGTTAGTTATATGTACGAGAGAGAGCCCAAAGGAAATCAGTACTTAATACGCGAAATAACCCGTCCGCGCGTAGTCTAAATAGTCCTTAGGCTACAAACGAATAAGTCGTTACTTTATCTGCGTTTCACGCGAAGATCATGTTTGACGCCGTTTATACTAATCGATTGATCTCTAAAATATATACTATAATTAAACATAAATTTAGGTGTCCAGAAAGTAAGTGGTTTAAAACAAGACTTTGTAGAAAACGCTTATGCTATCTCGCTGCAGTACATTGCTTTTAGAACATTTTAATACTATTACATCAATACTATTAGCACGTAGATCATTGAAACGATTCTTAATATAAGTTACTTGGTGTCATTCAAAACAATTATTAATAATTAAAAAAAAAACAAAAATATGTGTTGTCGACATAGAATATGTTATTAGATTATAATTATTACTAATACTTGTATCTTAAAAACCAATGCATGAGTCAGGCCCAAGTCTAATTTTGTTTTACAATGATATGTCTGAACTATTTAGATATTATTTGTTGATTCTAGGCAGTGTGTTACTGTGTAAATTGCTTGTATTTATAATTACTTTTAATTGACTTCGACGCTCAAATTCGCCTTACAAATTCTATACCAGAACTTGATATACAGGTCTGTGTTTGAGAACCCCAGTTAATCCCCAACAAAAACTTAAAAAACTTATATCTCGGACCTTTATGAGTCAAATCACTCAATTTTCCCATTAAAATCACGGAGTAATAGTAGGCAATGCATGATATAAAACTCGTACTTAAATTTATAATGCAGAGGGTTCGTCGTTGGGAGCGTGTTATGAAAAACTGAAGCTATTTGAAGTATAAGCCAAATAGCATTGTTAAGTTACTATTTAGTTTTGGGTCCGGTCATTGGTTATGGCTCATGCATAAAATTATTCAATAACCACGATTAGTCTCTTCTTATCGCTACTAAAATATGAGGAAAAGTTTGATAAAAAGAGGAAAATGCAATTGAAACAGACGAAAAACCGTCAAAATAGAGCTCTTTGCTGAACTCCGCGTACTTTTCAAACAGGGATGCAATGCATATCGGGAAAAGATCGGATTATAAAATCGATGGTTTAACATAAGTGTTGGTTGGGGTTTAGCAAATCTTTAATATAAGCTCGAAATAAGCAACTGGCGAGAAAACGTACAGATTTGAGAAAGGTGGACGATTGTTGACGCAGCGGCTAACACGTATTTTGATCGCTGATCCGAGGCAAATTTCTAGTTGCACGGGAAAGGGATGAGATTTTTTTGTAAGAAGTGGACGAGGTTAAAATGCTTCGTAAAGGATTTTAAATATGGTTAGAAGTCTAGCGTACACCTTAAGGACTCAAAAAGATACTGTTCTGGCTCGCCATAATTGGTCGTCTAAAATGGGGATGCTATCTACATTTTCTTCAAATGGTTGGTCGATTGGTCTTTTGGATTGTCTTCATCTCCCCACGAAACGGACACGCATAAAGTATATTTACTGGTTATCGTCTGGTCTTCTGGCTCGCCTTTACCAGCCGGCCTATGTAGAGGAATGAGCTTACATTGTCAGAATGTACTAGTGACTTTCATTAATTGAGTGTCCGATGTTAGAATGCAAGTAGGATTGCCTTAATTGACTGTCCGATGTTAGAATGCAAGTAGGATTGCCTTAATTGACTGTCCGATGTTAGAATGCAAGTAGGATTGCCTTAATTGACTGTCCGATGTTAGAATGCAAGTAGGATTGCCTTAATTGACTGTCCGAAGTTAGAATGCAAGTAGGATTGCCTTAATTGACTGTCCGATGTTAGAATGCAAGAAGGATTGCCTTAATTGACTGTCCGAAGTTAGAATGCAAGAAGGATTGCCTTAATTGACTGTCCGATGTTAGAATGCAAGTAGGATTGCCTTAATTGACTGTCCGAAGTTAGAATGCAAGAAGGATTGCCTTAATTGACTGTTCGAAGTTAGAATGCAAGAAGGATTGCCTTATTTGATTTTCCGATTTTAGAATACAAGTAAGATTGCCTTAATTGGCCATCTAGCGCAAGGAAGAACGAGCAATTTGCTTCAAGCGCAGAAATGTTGAAGACATTAACAGACATATGAGAGTTATGGTAAAGTTATGATTGATGCTACTTCTTATGGTTATTGAATAATTAAGGTTTCAATATAATAGTCAACGTCATTGGTGTTACTTTATCGCATAGTAATTATATAATAATCGAATGTATTTAGTCATCAATGTTTGTAGTCATCCATGAAAGGACTTGTGGATAATAGCAAAAAAAGAATAGGCGCGGTAAGAAAAGAAATAATCACCTACATATGGAGTATTACATTGCAGCATTTGTTTCTATGAAAATTACGCATTAGTAAGAAAATACTAGAGGTGTTTAGTATGCTTCTGTCAAACTCTTTTAAATGATGGAAATTTACCAATGACGCTTAATATGTTCTTAGTATTATAAGGTAAACTTATTGTAAATTTGAGAAATATGCAGTAATGGAATCTACTGGGTACATGATATGCCAAATGTATTAACTTCGTTCGTCTTCGAAAAAGTTATTAAAGTAAAAAATTCACTAACTTTATAACAGGTTAAATACAGACAAATAATATCTGAGAGTCCATACAAACCTTCTTGACACTATTTAATTTAATACTGTTCCAAATGAAAATTAATTTGAACAAATAACTAATATCTGAATTTTGCTGTCCGAGTACCAAGCGTGTCAGTTGTTTATTGTACGGTTTACCTCATCTATTTATTTTTATTTATTGCTAAGAGGAGTGAACGAGCTCTCGGCCCACCTGGTGCGAAGTTAACGGAGCCCATAGAATTCAACCACGTTAATGTCGCCAACTAATTTGAGGGTCCACTTTGAGTTTTTAAGGACCGAAAAACAAACGAAAGACAAACCGAAACGCATTACTGTTTCGCGGCAGAAATAGACAGGGTGGTGGTACATACCCGTGTGGGCACACAAGACGCCATATCATCAGTATAGATGCCCAAACATGAGTATCACCACCTTCACCATACAGAAGAGTAAGAAAATTGAGAAGGGTCAAAAAAGTAAATGTAAACAAACTATACGGCAACAATCTTCAATTTATTTGATTGATTGCATTCCTCGTATCTTTTTACATTTGCGAAATTTCATGGTTCTCCATTATAATGTGTGTAGTTTATATTTATCCACAAGTTCTGTTCATTGTGAAGGCCATTTAATGTAGAGGAATAGACAAATATATTCGTGTATGTTATTCATACTTTAAATAGTATTTATCTTACTTTGATATTTTTTTACACTAAGTCATCTTTATTCATTATTCATACAATTTCATATCTTTATCGATAAGGTCAATCGTTATTTTTTTCAATTTATAAATAAACTTGGACATTTTTTTTGTGATCGGCGAAGTGACAAGGGCTCTCAAATGTACCAGTTAGTTTTATGGCGTTTACTTTATGTTTCTCCTAAATATTGATTTCCTTGTCACGATGGCCTAACTAGTAATGGTATGTAAATATGTAAAAGTCGGAATAATTAACAAGTTTTTGTTACAAAAACTAGGTTAATGGGAGTGTGAATATAGCCCTTTGTTTAAATAACAAAAAAAACGTGATTTTCAAAATGGCGCTAAATTTATTTGTAGTAATAGCATTTATATAATTTTGTCAAAAAAAAGCAACAAGTTTCATTTCTGAAATAAAAACTAGATAGGGTTTTTTTGTAAAATGTAATTTCTTAGAATTATGTTTAAAAAACAAGGGCATAGCTTTAAGAAAGGGTAAGAATTAAAGAGGTAAAAATAACAAAAAATTGTAATAAAATTAAAAAAAAATGTTACGTAAACGTACTTATACAGTATACGTACGGGAAAAAAGATCCCAATTTTTATATCTTTTGTAATTGCCTAATATGGTTTCAAACCTATTCATCTGTGATATTTTATATCTATCTTTTACTATAGTGTATTTTCTATAATTTATGATTGCATCTCTGGATTTTTTTCCTCATTTGTCTATCGATGATTGTCAAACTGTTTATTGAAGTTTATCTCTGGATGTCTATTATACTCATTATAATAATACGTGATCAAATGTGCATTTTGATATGATTCATAATCACCCTGCCTCTATATTTTGTATAATAGCAACCGAATTTTGTGAGAGATTTTCATTTTGCGGCTTACGGAGTAAGTATGGCATTTGCATTTGCAATGGTTATGTAAAATTTCCGGTCTGTTGGTTGCTTAATAAAAGGCCGGTGGGGTTGTACATTTTCTCACACAAATACATTCAGATAAATTTTCCTTGAGAGTTTGTACATGGTTTTTGTTTGCTAGCAGGAGAAATAATATTTTATGAAAATGCCATGAACACAACTTTCCAGTCATCTCCAAACAAAATTAGTTCGGTGAAAATATACGCTTCGATTCTGGTGATACACGAGTGTAGGTTTTTGAAATTATTATAGTACAGTGTGACTAGCAATGATCAACCTAAAGCTTGGTAAAGGATCTTCACAATTTTTATTGGAGAACCAATATATAAATTAAGACCAGACCAGACGTGTCTCATGTTTCTACACGTAGCGCATTGAATTTCGACACAGGCACAACACATCGAGTTTCTCGTGGGATCTCACGGGGTCGCGATTCCGATCCGGTGGTAGATTCAGCGAAGCAAAACTCTTGTTAGAGCTAATATTAGCGTGTCCTACAAGGTTGATCCTCGTGAGCCCGCCTAACAAACGGGGCATACTTTAAATAACTCCTTTAGGTTACTAGCTATTAGGTACTTAAGGAATGATACTGCTCCTCCAGTCTACCCGTTTTTTAAAATTGGTGGACGTGATCAAGGCCCATCTAGTGTTAAGTGGACACTGGAGCTCATAAATCAACAATTTAAATGCCGCCGCCCACCTTGAGATACGAGTTGTAAGTCTTAGTTTCTCAATACAACGGCTGCCCTTTAAACCGAAATGCATTACTGATTCACGGCAGAAATAGACATGGAGTTTTATCTGCCTGGTGCAGGCCCACAAGACGCCCTGCTACCAGTTAAATCGTGCTAATAGCACTTAAATGTTGCGTCGAAGCCTTGTTCGGACTAGGCGAGTATTAGTCGAGTACCGAGTAATTTAGTGGCTAAACTACTCGCTACTGCACAGAAATTATCGCATTACGGTCCAGTAGGGTACACAAGTGAGTGGTGTTTTGCAAGATGAACAGGCTGCAACGCAATAGAGTGAATAAACTGATTAAGCTAATCGTAATGGCTATTTTAGAAGAGGTGGATGAGGAAACTTCTGTGATTAAGAAAAATAAGGTATGGGTACGAAAATGGATCGATAGAAGTGATAAACTAGGAGCTACTAAATGTCTTCTGAAGGAATTAGCATTGGAAGAGATCCCAAAGAATACTTCGATAGGACTTGTTTAGTCAGTGAGCCAGTGAGCAAGGACGCGTGATTGGAGGCGCTACTCGCCCGTAAAAATAGAACAAAATGATTGACTTGACTAAATTATTTACTAACCTACTCGACTAAATTTTTGGTGTTCAGATACATTTAGCTATTAAATTACTCGGTACTCGACTAAAATACTCGCCTAGTCCGAACAAGGCTTTAGAGAAGAGCACTACTACAACTGTACCGTAATTAGTTTGTGAATATTAAAATGGCCTGTCCAAATCTTCAATTGCGATTTAAATAAAACATTTTCTAGGGTACTACATAGTTAAACACAAAATGTTTTTTTTTCTGTTGTTTTATTTCAAATATATTTTTATACAAGTGCATGTTTATATCCTTATTGACGAGTAGCTGAATTTTCGGTAGGTACTAATGCGAGAAATATCTGTTGTTCGCGTTCTGAGAACTGAATGTTTTGACAAACTATAGGGCAATATTTTACTATGCTATTACTTTTAAGCTATCGATATTACGTGGCAAAACCTTTAGATATGAGGTAAAAGTCTCAATTATAGTGGTGTGTCGAATAAGCCGCCCCTCAAATTGAAACTCGTGAATGCGTCGGGCAAAGTGGTAACCGTGCATTGTTTTTCACTCATGTAAAACAGTAGAAGATAAAAAAATCCCTTCAGCAGAATCCTTGACGGACTCCATGATGAGTTCGTTCGGTTACCAGGGTCCCTATGCTGGCTCCTGTAGCTTATAGTATTTTCTCTTGTTAACAATCATAACGTGCACCTGAGAGTGAGTCGGCGCCGCTTCTCATAGACGCCCACTAATGCTAGGGCCACAGCCTAACTGCTGCGCTATACGATATATATAATATACATATATATTTTTTTCCTACCTATGCTGATAGCCTTGAGAGGCTAGATCAGCGTTACCCTAGCGTGTAGGTGAGTTCTCGGGCCTCAAACCGGAGGTGTTGCTAACACTGGCCCTAGCAAGAGCAGTGCTTCGCAGAATCTACCACCGGATCGGATACGCCGCCCACTGAGAAGATCCGGCAAGAAACTGAGTGAGCTGTGTCTGTGGGTTAAACTGCGCTATACCAACCCAATTGAATTATCGAATTCATGTGTCAATGTGGAAGGTAACGTCGACCCATGACGATTATTAAGAGTGAGGAAACCGTTCAGCATCGGGCCAATTGAGCTTCTATTAAGTCTTATTGTGACGCAATTAGACTTAATTAGAGCGTTGAATGATGATCACATCCAATGCGAGGAAAATTGTTCAGAAAAGATTTAAATCGAAATGAAACCACTCATTAATTTATTCATATTTCAGCCATATTATCCTTATACCTGAGAAATGTGTTATGCCTCCATGAAAATGCTGCGACCGTTGTTTATCACGTATTTATAATGATGTGCTATGCAATGCCCATACTAGGGGCCGTGTTGGCTGATAACTTCATTGGGCGATACAAGTTAGTATGAGTTACCTGCATTTTTTAAAGTACTTATTCGTTACAAAGTTAAATTACTAACTGAAGACAGTAATATGGTAGATTTTGTTCCTTGCCAAACTTCTCAGAAGTTCCTGCGCCTAAGTGGGCACGCGAAACATGAGGGCTCAGTGACTGAACATGGTAGAGTTTGCAAGTAAAGTCAATACCATAGCTGAACTCTAGTACAAAGATAGACAAAATAAGTACTCAAAATAACTGAATCTCACAGTAGTACTAAAAGGCATAAATAAATTATTTTTAATGAATAATAAAAAGCCAATTATTTCTTTCACTTTGCACTATTAACCCACAGGTCCTGCTCTTCACAGGCTGAGAATAACTATTAGAATATTCTAAAATTTACTATTGCAAAATTTTCAGGGTCATATTATATTTTTCAATAATATATTTAGTTGGAACATTACTTACTTGTTGTTCTGCAATACCACCGCTGATGTTGCCACCTATGTAAGTATAAATACGAAAGCGAGTCAAAAATTAAAAGTGACATCTACCTAATACTATGGAATACTAAAAGCAAACTCTAAATTTCTTTAATCATTTAGTTATGCGTAGGCTAGATGGCGTTAGTCGTTCAACTTTGGAGAGAGGTTTATTTTATTGAAGCTAGATGTCGCAACTCTACGCGTTATAGTCTCTGAACAGAGATACATGGTTATTATATAAACACCAAGATATTAAATGTATAATCTATGATAAACACGTCATTACGGATCCTCCTGATCCATTAACGGTGCTTTTAGGTACCACAAGCACCGGTCACCGTCCTAGTCGAACCCGTCGCTTGCGACGAAGGGCTCGACGAGCGAATTAATCCACAGACACAGCCCACTGAGTTTCTCGCCGGATCTTTTCAGTGGGTCGCGTTTCCGATCCGGTGGTAGATTCTGCGAAGCACTGCTCTTGCTAGGGCCAGTGTTAGCACGACTCCGGTTTGAGCCCCGTGAGTTCACCCACACCTTAGGGCGAAGCTGATATAGCCTCTCAAGGCTATCAGCATAAGTAGGAAAAAAAACTAATTAACCTTTGTTCTAATGTATCACACAGCAGGCCGCAGTAATTATGTATCTGACCCAGGCAAGGCGGGAACGCAAAGCTGCCGTAGCCCTAGCATGTCTTTTAGGATCCCCCGGATCCACTCTCGATGGTTTTAGGCTCATCATGCACCGGTCACCGGTCAATAGTTCGATAACCGGACTAGCCCATAAACCCATTAAGTTTCAGACTCAATTCACTAAGTTTCTCCCTAGATGTACTCAGTGGATCGCGATTCCGATCCGGTGATAGATTCTGCGTAGCACTGCTCTTGCTAGGGCCTGTGTTAGTAAGCTCTGTCAGGTTGAGCCCTGTGATCTCATCTACTACACAGAGTGTAGTTGGAATAGCTCATTAGGCTACCGGCGAATAGGTAGAGAAAAAATGCCGTCTATGCAATTCATAATTGCGTACATTTAAAATCAGTACGTACACACAAAAGCGGTTTTTTATATGAACTTTGTACATTTCAGTGCAACATCAATGATTGGTTTAGCTTTAATTGCAACAGGAACTGGAGGTATTAAACCATGTGTTGCTGCTTTTGGTGGTGATCAGGTAAAGGTGACCAAAATTTATTTGTCTGTTTAGATTAGTGGACTGCTGGACATTGTGATAGTTATTTTATTGACGGAAATGGCTTGCAAGACTATCATGCCACAAAGTGAGTGAGACGCACTTTACTGGGATGTGTAATCTAAGTTTGAGTTACACGTGGAAGGTGCTCCTGCTTATTGTCACTAGCTAACATATTTCATAATTGAAATTATGCTGTAAATAGCTATATAGTTATAGATCGCAATCTATATCTATATCGGCGAACTATTCGTTGAAAATGCGTTGGAAAAGTGTGCATTAAATAGGTATTTGAGTAAGGGCGTCTTGCAAGAGTTTTTCGCGAGACGCACCATTTTTCTCAGCTACAAGATTAAATTATAATATTATGTAGGTTTAATCTGAAATATGTTACATAGTATGTTTTTCGGTTTCCTTCATTGACTTACAAGTGGAAAATCCGGTCATCGGTCTTTCAAATAAATATAAATGCCAACTCCCTCTAGCAACGTTAATATCGTCCATTTCTTAATAGCGTTATTTGCGTTGTCTTTGGTTCCTAAACTAGTTTAGGCCACTCATTCGAATCGTGGTCGAGGCGGTTGGCCAACCCCACGTGGGGTCTACGGATCGTCGAGGCGGTTTACCCAGTCTTTGATGACTGGGTGAATCGTGGCCGAGGACGCCTCACCTTCCGTCTGGTGCAGGTGCTGACTGGGCACGGATGCTTCGGAAAGTATCTGCACCGGATAGGAGCTGAGCCGACGACGAGGTGCCATCATTGTGGACACGACCTGGACTCGGCGGAGCATACGCTCGCTGTCTGCCCCGCTTGGGAGGTGCAGCGCCGTGTCCTGGTCGCAAAGATAGGACCGAACTTGTCGCTGCCTGGCGTCGTGGCGTCGATGCTTGGCGGTGACGAGTCCTGGAAGGCTATGCTCGACTTCTGCGAGTGCACCATCTCGCAGAAGGAGGCGGCGGGGCGAGTGAGGCAAAGCTCTCCTCACTACGCAGAAATCCGCCGCCGCCGAGCAGGGGGTCGGGACCGGGGTCTCGTCCGTAACCCGGGCCCCTAAGAGCTTCGGGCTCCACCCGTTTTATGCGGGAAGGAGCCTAGGCGTGGGGCGGCGTGGTAAGCCGCGTTCCCTCGACCGCTCCGGGGGAAGGTGTAGCGCGGCGCCATCAATGCGGGCTCTTGGCCCGTCGACCGAAGGAACCGGCGGTCGTGTCCCTGGCGGCCGCCGGTCCGGCGTCTGGGGGACGGCGGGATGGATGTAATATGCTCTGCGTAAACCCTGTCCCGCCGTCTCAATAGCTCCGACTGGGTTCCCACCCGGTCCGGGGTAGGGCGCCGGCTGTGAGCGGCAGGAGTGTATAGTGAGGTTCAACTCCCATATACCGGCGATTTTCTCTGGTGGAAAAAAAAAAGGCCACTCACTGCTCGCGTATTTATATAAACTAACAAAAAGGTACACATCTGTTTATATTTAGTGTTACGTTAATACTGTTTACCAACTTTGAACAAAAACACCTTAATTCTCAAGCCACCTTATTAGCAGTTGGCAAGCAATTACGTTTCGGCTTAAAGGAGGCCCTATCTGATGAACTCTCTATCTTACGATTCAAGCTTCGACCTTATGTCTTAGGGTTTAAGTCTCAAGATCTATGTACTATATTTACAGGCTACAGATAAAAAAATGTGTATTAAAAAACATGACAAATCCCTGAGAGGTGTTTCTGTCATAAATTTAGTAATTAATAGGATTAATTCACGAGCGAAGCTGGACGAAGCGAGCGAAAACTTGGGTTTATACATTAAACACGCATGTAATACACAAAAAGAAATGTTAACCCCCTAATACATTTAATTTGATCATCAGTTCCGACTTCCCGAAGAGAATCAACGCTTACAAAGGTTCTTCTCCACTTTCTACTGTACCGTGAACCTTGGCGGCTTTATGGGAATGATTGTGACACCGGCTTTACGTAAAAGCGTCATGTGCTTCGGTGATGACACGTGCTACGCCCTTGGCTTTGGTTTTCCAGCATTCTTGGTTCTCGTTTCTATAAGTGAGTTCTTATAATGTTCTATATATATTGCAAATTCAATATAAATATTACTGTTGCGTTGTGGTAATTGAGCGTGGACGGACTATATTTATTGTTTTGAGAAATTTATTTTACCCTTATATGTCTTTATTACTGGCGGTAGGACCTCTTGTGAGTCCGCACTGGTGGGTACCACCACCCTGCCTATTTCTGCCGTGAAGGAGCAATGCGTTTCAGTTCGAAGGGTGGGGTAGCCGTTGTAACTATATTGAGATCTTAGAACTTATATCTCAAGGTGGGTGGCGTATTTACGTTGTAGATGTCTATGGGCTCCAGTGACCACTTAACACCAGGTGGGCTGTGAGCTCGTTCACCCCTCAAAGCAATAAAAAAAAATTAAATTAAAGACTTAATTTAAGAGAAATATAAAATTGATGCGTTGCTCTTTGCGGCTGGAATTGAAAGAGATTTGGTGTCAATGGCGGACGTCGCTCGCTGTTATTTTGAAATTCAAAAACTGAACAATAGCTTTTAATTTTAACTAATCCGTGAAACTTATTTTAAAAGGGCTCACATATGTCATCCACGATGAAGGCTTGACCGTTTTGGTTTGGCAGTCTAATAAGCCACTTGCGTGTGCTTTTGGGTACGAATTTATTAAATACCAATAATCCTTTTTTTTTTATTGCTTAGATGGGTGGATGAGCTCACAGCCCACCTGGTGTAAAGTGGTTACTGGAGCCCATAGACATCCGCAACGTAAATGCGCCACCCACCTTGAGATATAAGTTCTAAGGTCTCAAGTATAGTTACAACGGCTGCCCACCCTTCAAACCGAAACGCAGTACTGCTTCACGGCAGAAATAGGCAGTCCACCCACGCGGACTCACAAGAGGTCCTACCACCAGTAATTACGCAATTCATAATTTTGCGGGTTTCATTTTTATTACACGATGTTATTCCTTCACCGTGGAAATCAATCGTGAACATTTGTTGAGTACGTATTTCATTAGAAAAATTGGTACCCGCCTGAGATTCGAACACCGGTGCCTCGCTCAACACGAATGCACCGGACTTCTTATCTGTTAGGCCACGACGACTTCTAACGCATTACGATTCGTAAGCTTAGGATAACCTGACGTGAGGGGTGGCAATGTGAATTCTGAAATGAAAAAGGGGAGAGAAGGGTATAGACAATAGCATACATATGTTGATAATTATTTCATAAAGCATTAAGTGATGGAAACCATAAGCAATAATATCATGCAATAATAAATAGGGATCCGTCACATAAAAAAATTGAGTTTTGTGACCACGGAATCGGATTTAAGTACATATCATATCGTCTCCTCGCATTAAAACTGTATAATATCAAAACTTACTAATTTTACAGATGAGTGTTTTAAAGGTTTAACATGTGATATTTTTAATATTAACATTATGTATATGTCTTTTAAAGTAAGATAAAATTATGTATTAATTTTGTTAATAGTAGTCAAAACATAGGTAAACTAAAAAAAATTATTAAATCTAAGCTATGCTCTTTTGACAGTATTTATGAGAAAAATACTGCTGATAGATACTAAATGATTCCGCATATTAGCTGAATTTCGAATATTTTTGGAAATTGTACACTTTGAATGCGAAAAGACGATATATTATAATATACTCGTAATATTAACCCGATCAACGATAGTACGTAATTGCATCATATGGGTTTTTTATTTATTTCCAGAGCTAATGTTTTTCACTTTTTAAAGGCATTTTAAATCGTCTAAAGCGTAGTTGGACTTTTATTGCGAAGGCATTCGTTCTATTTTAATGGATAGAACTGCCGTTGAGTCTTCGTCTTCGGATCTCGAGAGCCGCTACATCATTGATCGAAATAAATGCAAAAAAATCGAACGTTCAAAATTGAAAAACGCGATTATGCATTTCAGTTGTAGTAACTCATCGCGTTCAAGTTGAAACATTGTAATATTTAAGAGTTCAAAATAGCTATTGTTTTTTTTTACCAGTAATATTCGTGACCGGCAAGCCTTGGTACAGAATGAAAGAGCCCAGAGACAATGTTACATTGAAATTTGTTTCTTGCGCTTGGGTGAGTCCGGAAAATACAAACAATAATTTTTGTTTAAATAAAAATTGTGTAATTATCCAAATTTAAGTGTAAAAGTTACGAAGCAGATGGGAGTCGGTTGTGGTTTTGTAACAATCGCAAAAAGTTCCTCTGTTGTTTCGCTTTTGTTTGCGGAGATGGAATAAAACCATTTTTGGACTACTTCTATTTCAGAAGTGCTAAAGTTAATAAGTAATGCAAAATAATGTTCATTGCTCACACTGAGACACGAGTACAAAGTAGAAGGATAATTTAAAAACTAACATGACTTAAAATAATTTAAAAAGTTATAAAAGCAAAGAAAATAAAAATAGCTGAAATGGTAGGTAATGAGCGTTATAAAAATAGCTCATTTTTGCTGTTTATCTGTAAATAAATAGGCAAAGTCAAAACATTTTAGTTTTTTTTTTCTCCTCTGTTTGTAAACCGATATTCTTTACAAGCTATTTTGACGGGCTTTAGTGTAGTCATAATAAAATTAAATAATTGTAGCAATTGTAGATAATTGTAGCAATGTGCACAAAACAAAAAAAAAATGGAAAAATTTGAATCATGCCAACGACTCTTTCAAGATAATTTTGAATACATACATATGTACATACCACATACATACTTACTTACACACAAAATTCACGGTTCAATGGAAGGTCTTCAATTTGCCGTTCCCTATTTTAATTATTTCTGTGGCTCTGGAGATAAGGGCAAGAAGAAGATAAGGTCGTATTATAATACGCATACCTCTTTATTTTTAAGATTGGAACATTTTTTTAAAAGCACTTGACACTAAAATAATACAGTCTTCCCAACATAACGTTATTATACATTATTGGGTAGGGCTCACACTAAAATAACAGTCAAGAATGAAAAAAATCCTTAATAACTTCTTCAATTTTACGGTCTTCTTCTTTTGAAGAAAATAAACTCCTATCAATTATCTAAATTCATCTTATTCGTTGCAAACCTCTAACAGACACAGCTCACTAAGTTTCTGGCCGGATCTTCTCAGTGGGTCGTGTTGCCGATCTGGTGGAAGATTCTGCAAAGCACTGCTCTTGCTAGGGCTAGTGTTGGCAATGTAACCAGGCTAGAGGCCCTTGAGCTTACCTACTTGTTCGGCGAATCTAGTATAACCCCTCCAGGTTACTAAATAAGTAGGAAGCAAAACCTCTACGCGAGATATTCGTGACACAGACTAACAATACTACCTGTTTTATTGGTATATTACCTATATGTAGGTAAATACGTTGTCTTAATTTTCATATGCATCATATTTATTCTTTAGACTGCATAATAATGTTATAGTAACAGAATAAGAAACAAAGTTGCCAAATTTTTAACGTTTCCTAATTAATTGTACTATTTTTTGACTTTGTATACGATTCGAGACGAAACTTTATCGTTGTGAGTTTTCACATTCATCTCCACTTTGATTATAGACGAAATTATACTAGACTCTTAAATTAAATAGTCCTAATGTAATATTTAATGAAACCAACGTGTTAGTGATATGGATAAGTATATTAAGTAATTGTAAAGACGTATTTGGAGTCATTCATCATACTCGATGGGCTACCCAGACGTATCAATCATCGGTGTGTGGTACACGGTCTTTTCACACGTTTTTTTTGCCAAACTAATGGAGAAAATGATACTATCTCCGTGTTATGATCCATGATTGATGCCCTTTAGGAGTTTTATAATGGTTTCTTAATACCGCAGAGAAAACATGGAAAGTCAAAAGACAACATTAGTCTTATTACATTAGTCATACATACAACATTAATCAACATCAAAATTTAAATAAGACCGTAATGACTGAAGTTTTCAGACGTTTTTTAATTGTTAAAACAAATGTTCGCCGACAACTAATAAAAATCGAATGACATGGAGAATAGAAAAGGGTACCGAGCTTTTGGTCTTTACCTATTTATTTATAGATTCGGTATTAAGAAGATCACTGAGGGCGTATTAAGCTCACAAGACTTGGTAGATATCATTGTCCAGTCTATTTCCGTCGGGAAAATATTCGTTCATTTTTATCAACACAACAAAAGTAAAGTAAGCCGCTTTGAAAATATCCCTTTATAAAGCACGCACTTTTATATAAATAAAAACAGCGACGCGACGAATGGAATCTTTGGTTCAGCTACATAATATATTCACATTATATTACAGCGTTACAGACAATCCGTCACATTAATTGTGCTTAGTTTAGTGACTGAGTATTGTTTTCGGCTTAAATTAATTTATTTCGGGAATGGTCTCTTAACACTGTTCGAATTAACTAAAAAGTACAAAGTATTTACGTTTGGTTTGGCAAATCAATGTTCTGACACAGCACTGGCGAGCTGTGTTTTGATTAATAATTAATTTTTGTTTTCAAAACAAAACCAAAGAGTCCCACAGGTGCCTTTAAGCTGCATACGATATACCTACGAAGCAATAACATTTCTTGACAATCACCTTTCTAATGTTACACCACTGATCTTTGTTTATAAATATGTTCCCAGTAACCGTTTCAGATGTAACTATAATTTTATACCACCTGCTTGATCTTCGAAGAATTTTGTTACCTTTCCGAGTAGGTATACAGCGATTTCGTTAAATAAATCGGAAAACTAATGTGGTATGTATGAAACAGGATCCGTAATTTAATATTTAAACAAGATCAAAGAAACGCCTTGACGTCGTCACGTCGATTATGTTACCTTTAACAAGAATGAAACGTTTATTCTCGAGTGCGGAATTTTGAAGCCAAAATTTGTTAATAAACTTAGAAATAATCCGAATAAAGTTCCGTTCGTTTCTTATGGTTTTAAGAATTCCGAGTTGTGCATAAGCAAAGTCCACTTTTTTTTTTATTGCCCTTGTAGGCAGACGAGCATACGGCCCACCTGATGGTGCGTGGTTACCGTCGCTCATGGACTTCAGCAACGTCAGGGGCAGAGCTAAGCCGCTGCCTACAAAAGCCACATAGCTTAAAGGAGAGAGAAGGCCCGATATGCTTGAGTCAGGCCATGCTACTTTGCCTTGGTTGAGACCCTGAAAATGAGCACCACCTTTTGTAACGAATACGACGGACTAAAATTGTTTAATTAAAATGAAATACCTGAAATTTAAAATTGTATTAAATTGTTGTACTTTTGTTAAGTTGCTGTTGCACCCGATTCACAAATGAACAAATCATTTGTCGGTTTTTGTCTAGAATCATTAAAATACAGTTTCACCTTACCTTACCGTTTATTTCATATAGTGTAAATAGTGCCGTAATAGGGCTACACGTAATGAATAAGTCATTACGTGTAGCCGAGGGTGGAAAATGACTTTAAAAAAGGAAGAGGTTCTCAAGTCGACTGTTTTTTTATGTGTGTTAGTTACTTTAGTGCTTATTTTCTAGGCGAACTCATTTTGATAATGCTTTTTGATAGATTGATGATTTTTTTATTTAGAAAACTTTACTTTGAAAGCTAGAGTAAGGAATATATTTTAAAGTTGACTTTAGTTTTTGGGCAGATCACGGGATTAATTTTTTAAATCAACCTTTCCACGTCGATTCCGTGTCCACATTGATGAAAAAGATACAAACGTGTTTATTGAAAACAAAACACTAATTGATAAACTAATGACTAAATTTGAAAACAAACATTTTCTTTATTATTCGCAATAATGAAATGACACTTTTTTAAACATACGTCCGCAACACGCTTCGTCAGAAATTTGAAAATAAAATTCATTCGAATTTAGAACTCATTGCCTGCGACAGGTAAATTACGTTTCAAATGGCCAGTATTGTTAAACGGTAACTTCATATTATGACAAATACCTATTATTTCGTGAGCCCGCAGTGTAAAAGCAGAGAGTGCAGGCGGATCGCGCGGTGAGAGGTCATTGTCCTCTCGCGACTTATGATTTTAATTGTGTATATCATTGCGTGCAGTCTAAATAGAATTAGTAAAATAAAATAAAAATACTCAGAAGTTACACAGCACTTCCATCTGTTTTTGTTTTTTCAAGGGTTCCGGTACATCTGACAGATATTTCATAAGTTTCTATGAAACTTAGTTAGGAGAGTACTTAACGGTAGGCAGCGGCTTGGCTCTGCCCCTGGCATTGCTGACGTCCATGAGCGACGGTGACCACTTACTATCAGGTGGGCCGTATACTCGTCTGCCTAAAATGGCAATAAAAAAAAAAACAAAAAAAAAACTTTACTGGTAGTCGGCCTGTGGGTGTATATGTCTCGTGTATGTTTTCGATACCTATAACACAGGAGAAATTTTTACCTTATCTTTAGGCACTTAATTGTGGAGTGTTTGTTATATTTATTTATGTATAGGCTACATTTTGTAGGTGCAACGATAAAAACGAAGACAGTAAATACCACATATTGTAGTTAGCTAAATTAAGTAACCTAAATATTTACTTATATACATATATTTATATGTTTTAGTATGCATTTACGAAGCGCATTCGAAGCGATAGTAAGGAACTTCCTCCTGTCGATCATTGGTTGGATTACTCCATAGAAAAGTACGGACCGAAGCTTGTGGCGGATATGAAAGTCGTATTCGCTATACTATACCTGTATCTTCCCGTACCAATATTTTGGTCCCTTTTTGATCAACAGGTAAATATAGTAATAGCGAAAAGCTTTAAACAGCTTTAGAAAACGTAATTAAAAGGGGACAAACGGTAATGCGTCTACAAACTTTTTGTTGGAGTGAATGTGTGAATAAGCTCACGGTCTACCTAGTGCTAAGTGGTGTTCGTAGTCCTTATACACAATCATGCTATCACTCACTCAAATAAGACCTCAACGCCTCAATAATAAGGTCGAAGTGTGTATGTCACCTTTCAAAACCGGAAAACATGGCTGCTTTACGGCAGAAATAGTTAGAGCCTTTCTTTTTGAGCTCATAATACGTTTAGAACGTCTTGTATATAACTATATAACTTAATTTGTAATCAAACAAGGAAATACTTGTAGCCATCTACCTCAATTTCTCATTTAAGTACATATTTTCAGCAAAGACTTTCTTAAGGGAATCAAATTTCGTTAGTAAAGTTTTAATACATATTTTAAGGTCACAAAGTTTAGCGGTTTTAATTAAAGATCCCTTCAAAGGACTCGTTTGATATTGAAATTACGTAGTTCTCCGAAATATCACTAAACATCAACAATGGGAATTTCGCATTGGAAAATATGTGAAAATAAGCGAACGCCAAATTCTCGGACCTGTTGTTAAGAAGGTTTCTGTTGCTAGGGAGGCTCTATTAACTTGGTATCTATTCATGTATGTTTGTATTTATGGATCGGATTCTTTGAACGTCGCCTTCGCGGACTTCAAGGCGTTCGATTAACATGAAAAGGACATGGGCCATTTTCGGCCCAGCTACTAGTGCTCTCAAGGACACGAATGAAATATCTATAGAAAAAACATTTAATTTTTACATGCTTATTATAAAATTTAAGGGTATTTTAATGGTGGGATAATTAATATCATAAATAAAAAGAAATTAGCATGACTACTACAATTGATAATATTGAAGGAGTTTCCATAGGTAAAATATATTTTGTAGCAAACCGACCGATACGTCACTCTCGCGGCCGTATGCCCGCTCGCTATACATAGTTAGCATCTATGTCAATCTTTTCAACAGTGTGTAATCTATGTTCCGGGCGCTTCCGTTTTGAGTGTGAATAGCGTGCGCCCGCGTCTAAATGTAATTATTGTTTAAAATTGAAAATTGTTTGTGATAAAGGAAGATTAAAATTCGAAATTCGATATTGGTGACTAACCCATTGTTTTAAATACCCCTGAGATCTACCCCTCACTATAATTTATATTTTAACAATCCACATTAAATCTTCTTAAAAAAGACATTATATTGCAAAAAACTAGCAAAATATATTAACATATTTAATTAATGGATTTTAAAACTAATATAAAACATTATATCTAAACAAAAATCTATTTTTATACTTTTAAATCCGTAGAATAAATCATTACAAAAACAAAACTACGCTTGTTTAATGTTTATTGACGTTTTACATTTGATCAGTCGTTTTCGCACTCGTGCGCATTGTGGATATTATTGTTTCGTTGCGATATACCTGCTTATTATATTTTTTGTGCATAGAATTAAGTCTTGGCGTTCATTAAATTAGGTCTGTGTTATGAAGTATAGTAATATAAATAATATTTAAGCTGATGATGATGTTAAACTGGAAGTGTATTGACAGCAAATCAAATGATATAGGTAACCTAAAAATCTTATCTTATTTTTTAAATATCTCTGTATCCCCATGAGCAATATTGATTTTAATTTGTTTGTAATAAAAGGGATATATAGTCTGTTATTTAAACTTAATTTCATTACTGTCCTTGAACTTCGTTTAGTGGGCCGTGCAATGTATGGACAGTGGCCCATGTCCTTTGCGCACACATCAATACCATAAGAACAACAACACAGTTATTTTATATCTTCGCATTAATAACCTGACCAGCAAGTACCGGAAGGATAAAAAAGAAACTTAATTGTTTGTTCGGTTTGCTATTTAAGTGTTTATTCATTGGTTTTCAAACTACATGTATCATTCATTTGCAGATAGCTAGACTGATTCTCCAAGGTGTTTAATAATAAAACCCTAAAATAATGAATTAGACGAAAATAGTGTGAACAGTTGTAATAATCCACTAGACATTTCTTTTAACTGTCAATGACCTCAAAGATGCCTCAAAAGATTTGATAAGGTACAGAGAAGTGCTTAGTGGAAAAAGAGCATAAGTTAGACCTACTCGAGAACAAGAAATAGGAACTAGGCACAATAAATTACCGGCAATGGTGTTCTAAAATTTGTAAACATAATTTTCGGGCACCGATTTATCTTTCTAATACCGATATGGCTTTTAACTTCGACGGTATTTAGAAATTCAAATTGAATAATGGAGGCTTTATTAAGTAAAGACGCGGAAAATGAAGCGTTAATATCCGGTCCTACGTTTTATTTTGATATCGCTCTTTCGCAATTAATTCCGATATTATTGCCATTGGTAGAATACACAAAGCTGGGAATTATATTTGAGCACACAGAATATTACGTAGCCAGGCCGAGTGATTGATGAGTAATTGTACAGGATTGTTGGATAACGTTAATGTTAACGAAAATAATAATAAAAACACGTTGGAAAAAATATCAATGTATTTTGCATTCCAAGCAGATTAACACAAATCATTCACATGCCGCGACTTCGAGGGAATACGGGGCTTGAGGTGGTCTCGGGACTACTTTCGAAATGCCTTACAGATTCATGAAACACAGAAGCTCAAATCAAATGGATTTAGGTCTATTTTATTAGAAATTAGATTGTAGATATATTATTCATATCTTTTTTCTTTTTTTAATTGACTTTTTTGATTTTTTTATATTGATTTTAATTAGTTAAATTGTTATTATTATTTTATATTGACTTATTATAATTAATAATTAAAGAAGAACTGCACGTGTAGCCGGACATCACACGACAAGTTAATCCGCAGGCACATCAATTTATTTAATAAAGTATCTAATAGGAACTCATTATTTATGTTTCTTGCTATTTAAGAAACTAATTAATTTATAATCAACACGTTGATTGCCATAGACGGAATATATAAGTTTTCCTGCACAGGGATCACGTTGGACGTTCCAAGCGTCAAGACTTCGAAGCGAAATTTTTGGTATAACACTAATGCCCGACCAACTACAAGTGATGAACCCGGCTATGGTGCTATTCATGATGCCGGTCTGTCCCGGGGGTGTCTGGCCTGTCTTCCCTAATTTGCCACCTCTCCATAAGATGTTTATCGGGGGTATGTTGGCGGCTTTGGCTTTTGTGTCTGCGGGCATACTGCAAATAGGAATCGAGGTAAGATTCCCGGTTTGTCGTGTTGACTTATGTCAGTGTATTTCGCCTATTGTACTCTTGGAATTAAATCTCGTTGTGTGTAAATTTTCATTTATATCTCTGCCTGTAAATAGCTTTTAACACTATTCATTCAAAATACCAAATTTATACTCAAAAATGAACAGTTTTATACTTATATAGTAACAATTGTTGATCGAAGATTTTATAAGTTATTTATTTTTATTATAACGCAAATTTAGCATATACTACTGATAGTATAGAATACTAGTAAAACTGTTACTAAAAACAATAAAAATAGTATATACATACATAATAATATGTATATATAATTTTGAATGTTTTCTCGCAGCGATCTACGTTACAAGTTCCTCAACATCATCACACCGGATTGATATTGTTGAATTCTTTGCCTTGCCCTGTGCACGTGACTATTCGAGGAGAGGGCGTAGCCTCCGTTGAGCAACAAGGGACCGCCCTGATGATGCCTCTGCAGCACAGAGTACACACGCTCATAGCAACCTGCCCCGCTAATTGCGCGGGACGAGCTCTGAAAAGATATGTCGTTAAGGAGAAATTGAGCACTGTGGCTGCCATGGTAACCGATTGTTTTCCTTTTTTTTTATTGCTTAGATGGGTGGACGAGATCATAGCCCGCCTGCTTCTAAGTGGTTACTGGAGCCCATAGACATCTACAACGTAGGCGCGCCACCCACCTTGAGATACAAGTTCTAAAGTCTCAGTATAGTTACAACGGCTGCCGCACCCTTCAAACCGAAACGCATTACTGCTTCACAGCAGAAATAGGCAGGGCGGTGGTGCCTATCCGCGCGGACTCACAAGTGGTCCTACCACCAGTAAAAATCCTATCGCAACTTCACGGCTTCGTATTAAAATACATTTTTATTCAGTCATCATGCGTTGAAGATATATAACACATAATCGACAAATAAGTTTTCTTATTATTGACAAACTTAACTATGTATGTAGTTAATAAAAAAAGTCATTGTCTTTGAGTGACAGAGATTGAGTCAATTTCTAGATACGTTTGTTTTTATAGTAGTATTCTTTTAAAGCGTTCTTTTTAAAAACGGAATTTAAAAGTTGTCTTCAGCGGAAGGCGGCGGTTTCAATGAGCACTCGTAATGAGACACTGAACTTTTCGATGTTCAAATCCCGCGGGCAGACATTTTCTGAGGATATACGTACAATACTAAACGCATGTTCACGAATGACATCTCATCCACGATGAAGGAATAAAATCGTGTAATAATCGTGTAATTGGACTCATGTACTCCAGTTTGAAGGATGGAACAGTCATTATCCAATTGAAACTTCGATGCCATGTTTAAAAGAGGATGGCAGTATTCAATAAACAAAAGAAAATTTAAAAAAAATATTCGTCCAATCAGTCATTGTGGCGAACCTTGGTTTAGGCCTATGTCCTATACAGTGGACTTCTGTGGGCCGGTGATTACGATCCCTCCAATTGTTGCAATAAAAATACATTTTATTTTATTTTATTTTTATTGCTTAGTTTATGGACGAGCTCACAGCCCAACTGTTCTTAAGTGGTTACTGGAGCCCATAGACATCCACAACGTAAATGCGCCACCCACATTGAGATATAAGTTCTAAGATCTCAGTATAGTTACAACGGCTGCCCAACCCTTCAGACCGAAACGCATTACTGCTTCACGTCAGAAATAGGCAGGGCGGTGGTACCTACCGGCGCGGACTCACAAGAGGTCCTACCACCAGTAACAACTAGTTATGTTTAGTCTTATTATTTTTGCATTTGACGTTAATTGTATAAAATCTATGTAATTTTAGTGGTTTGTACATCAGGATTCTGTTACAGTTTATGCCGGTCGTGATCGGGCAAAACTCTGACGATCAAATAGCATTTTACTTTATGGATCCGAATGTTTTTGCAAAGTCATTGACAGGCAAACCCAAACTCAAGTTAGTATGATCTAATTATTATAATTCACGATACGGCTTAAGATCATATTAATTATTTGATTCATTAATAATTATCCCCGTTGAGAATACTTAAAAATTTTCCTGATCTTTTTTTTTTTTTTTATTGCCTTTGTAGGCAGACATGCATACGGCCCACCTGATGGTGAGTGGTTACCGTCGCCCATGGACTTCAGCAATGCCAGGGGCAGAGCCACCTCTCCACAAGCCTCGTTTGAAGAAGGACATGTCATAGCGCTCGGGAAACACCGTGGAGGGGAGCTCATTCCATAGCCGGATGGTACGTGGCAAAAAAAATTTCTGGAAACGCACTGTGGATGATCGCAGTGGCTCCAGTTAGTATGGATGAACTCTACTCCGGTGGCGGGCGGTGCGATGGTAAAAACGAGATGCTGGTATCATCTCGAACAATTCCTCAGAGCACTCCCCATGGAACATACGGTACAAAATACAGAGGGAACCGAAGTCCCTCCGCAGAGCCAGAGGCTCCAAACGATTCGAGAGAATGGGTTTATCGACAATCCGAACGGCCCTCCTCTGTATGGAGTCTAATGGAAGAAGCTGGTATTTGGGAGCCCCAGCCCAGAGATGGGAGCAGTACTCCATGCGAAGCCGGACTTGTGCTTTATAAAGCAAAAGTCTTTGTCCAGGAGTGAAGTACCGCTTCGCTCTGTTGAGGACTCCCAGCATTTTGGACGCCAACTTGGCTTTGCCTTCCAAATGACTCCGAAACTGGACATCGCTCGAAATGTCGACCCCAAGTATCCCGATACTCTCGGAAGGTTGCAGGGATACTCCTTGGATATTAACGGGTAGGCATACAAATGGAACGAAAATTAAAGAAAATGCCATTGTAATAATAGCGTTTTGTAATATTTTGGAGCGTTTCTCTACTTATCTTTGCTTAGATTAGGTGCATTGTATTTGTCTTTCGCTCTCGAGTATATGCCGCCTGTCGAAAATCTGTCAAAGATTAATAATTTGGCAAATTTTTTGAAAGCCAAAGAAAATATATTTATTGGCATAGAGTTTTATTCGTGCATCTCTTTTTGTTGCATTGCGGTAAGTGAGAGTGAACTGTATTTATTAGTTTTGATATATTTATTAGTCCTTATGTGACAAATTAAAGATATATGAATATATTAAATATGAAATCGATGCGTCGCCCTTAACGACTGGAATTAAAAAGGGGAAGTGTCATGGCGGACGTCGCTCGTTGACAATTTTGACGTTCCGAATTTAAACACTTTTATAACGGAAAGAATAAACTTTTACATTAATTGTTCGGAGTATTACCTGAACATCTTAGATTTTATCTTTAAGATGGGTACGTTAAAATACGGTACTGTTGAAGTATGTACAAAAAAAATTAAGACTTTTATTGATTACAATGTTAGTAGGATATTCTTCAGGTTTGTTCTGCTTTCAATCACAATAAGATAAACGAAAAGCAGCAGAGACAAGAGAGAGGGAAAGACAAATTTGCAAATTAAATTCATATTATATTTACGGTACGTCTGGTGTAGTGGTAAGTGACATGGTCACTACACAAGGGAGTCGCTGGTTCGAATCCCGCCAAGGGAAGATATTTGTATGATAAATATAAATGTCTTTTCCAGGGTTATGGATGTATATTAAATATATGTATGTGTATAATAAAAATCTTACATTTATATCCGTTATCTGGTACCTGTAACACAAGTTCTTTACGAACTTATCACGGGACCAGTTAACGTGGCATGATTGTTAGTAAATATTTATTATTATTTATTATTTAAATAGGTCGAAAAAATAACTTCGCTAAAACTACATATAAGTGTAGATGACTAAAAAAAATTAAGTATTTTCTACACAAGCGCTAATGTGTGTTGCGGTCAATTATAAAATTTCGTAAACTATTCGTTTGTTTTTCAAACAACGAAATTTATGGTGCATGTTCACGTTACAAATAAATTCGTAGTTTGTCAATATGAGGGAACTATTTTTTTTACCATGTATGGACTAAAACAGCGTACATATGTAATTGTTATTTTAATTAAAAAAGAATGTTACAAACAAAATATATATATTTATTGTAAAATTTGTTTTAGTATTTGTAAAATATTCATCTGTGTAAGAAAAACTTTCATAATTTTTCAAAATGTATACATATATTTTAGCGGTAGGCAGCGGCTTGGCTCCGCCCCTGGCATTGCTGAAGTCCATGGGTAACGGTAACCACTCATCATCAGGTGGGCCGTGTGCTCGTCCGTATACTAGGGCAATAAGAAAAAAATAAAAGTTTGGTATGTGGTTGCTACAAGAAATATTCTTTGTTCAGTTTATTGGATGCAGATCATATTCTAGTCCTGCATTTTATCGAATTCCACGGGCTCGAGCGTGCTCGAATGTTCGACGGAGCGAGATTCACTTCAAAAATATAAAACTCGCAAACGTAGTTTTTGAAAAATATTTTATACCGGAATTTTCTTTGGTCTCGGTCCAAAAATAGCTGAAAAATGTATTGTCTTCAACAGGCAGATGCATTTACATCACGTATTGTAGCATATTGTGTGTCTATTTGAAAAAAAAAACAACGGTTACAGTCGCCCATGGACATCAGTAATGCCGTAACGTAATCGGATTATCTGCCAGGGGTCTATTTAATAAGTTTAAGTCTAGAACTAACTATGTATACATGGTTAAACAAATTAAAGATATGCACTCATCTAAAGCAAAACCACTCATCTATAAATTTAGATCACAAATGGACCTTTTGAAGATCGTGAACCTATAAAAGACAAATCTCTCAAAGGAAATGAATCGGAGGATGCGGCGTCCTTAGGTGATTAGGCGACCTAGTTCGGTTTCTCATTACGTCACGTGCTCTAGGCGATTTCCGATCCATTGCCGCACTGAGCCATAGATTTTCTTCATTTCCTCTCCAGGGTGGTGTATATTGGTAACACAGGCCCAAACAAAAACGTGTCGATTGCTGTGGAAACTGAAAAACGTTTAAGCGATATATATTATGTATCAGATGCGCCAGTCGATCAAATTGGCGAGTCAGCCTACATGTGTCTGCAGCCTGGCAAGTGAGTATACCAAACTTGATAAAAATTAAGCATATATAACCGGCAAACGTAGCGCAGGACGCCCTCCTGGTAGATGAAGCGATGACCTGCGCAAGGCAGCTGGCAGGAACTGGATGCGTAGAACCGAAGATCGGGTTCAGTGGCGAGCTTTGGGGGAGGCCTACGTCCAGCAGTGAGTGGACTGCCGCAGGCTGATGATGATGATGATGATATAAATCGCTTCTGTTAAAACTAGATGTTTATTTTTAGACCAAAAATAATACCTAATCATAAATATAAATCATGCCTTTTTTAGTGTAGTTTTTAGAAAAAATCGCCCCACCAAATTAGCACAGATGCCTGAACGTAAACAACGCTGACAAACTTTAGTCATTTGGATTTGATTTTGAATAGTGACGTCATTCTCTTTCGTAAATATCATTATAAAATGCTGGGGTTGCATCGATATCTCCGAAAAGACTCGTTATTCGAGTGCTCTGAAGCGAACGTTAAATCCATCAATCAAAAGTTCAAAACATTTACGGCGTAAACACGTAACGTAAAATAAAATATTTAGAGACTGTAGCTAAAATAATTATAATAAAACAACGTCGAAAAAAGACTTTATGAGTGAAATACATTAATTATACTTAACAATGGGTTTCCCTCGGGAGTACAACGAAAAAGTGTTTAAAGTCGATACAGAAATGATGGTGAAATCGGAAATAAAAAAAAAACATGGAGTTATCCATAAGACCTGTTGATCTTTGAAGTCTCACTTCAATAAAGTGGTGGTAGGACCTCTTATGAGTCCGCATGGGTAGGTACCAACACCCTGCCTATTTCTGTCATCAAGCAGTAATGCTCAGAACTCATATCTCAAGGTGGGTGGCGGCATTTACGTTGCAGAGGTCTATGGGTTACGGTAACCAATTCACACCAGGTTGGCTGTGAGCTCGTCCACCCATCTAAGCAATAAAAAAAGTTTTACGTCGTAATTACTCAAATTATTCACTTTTTTGCGTAAATTTAAAATCGCTACTATGGTATGGATCTGAAATAAGGCAGCAGCGTTCTCTGTTATAGAAGCGCACTGAGATAACCGAAGGGCATTTAGTGATAGAAGGGAGTGTTGTGAGCTCGAGCGAATAGGTACATAGGTATCACTGTCCCATTTGCCCATTCGCACTGCTAAACAGCTATGCAGTAGTGCGGCGGTGATTATATATCACAATACAATCTATTTTTTATTCATAATATAACAATTTTTCAATAGTAAATAATAATAATAATAGTAAATACTAATGTATAAATCTACAGTGGTTTTTACGGATGTTCCGTTATAACTACTGAACCATGCATCCGATTGACTTGAAACTTTGTATCCATGTAGAAAATACATGTACTTAATGGATATGCTAATATTTATATGAGTGTTGGACTCCCTAATAAGAATGACAATAAATAATAATGTTAATTTTAATTGCCCAGCGAAGCGTGCGAGTACGGCTAGTAATAAATAAAAAAACATTTGATTAAAGAACAGTTTTCTTAAAATAATTTTCTTTTGTGTCTTTATCGTCGAAAGCTCTCAAGAACATGTGGTAGGTGAATATTAGCCTACTAGCCGTTAATACTATTCCAATAAAATAAAACAACAAAATTCCAGTTGAGTTTAGTACAAACATACATACTATATTTCACATATCTACTTATTTATTTATAAAAAAAAGATGTGTGGTGACGTGGGACACAGGATAGGAACGAAGTTCCTTATTATAAAAATATAAATTTGAAGTTCTATTCGAGGTATAAAGAAAATAATTATTCGGGTATACATTTTTATTATGATTTTTTTATTGATATAATTTAAAAAAAATGTTTTACAAAGTTATCAACTTTATTTTATTCGCAATGATTTATAAAAAATAAATAATAATAATACACAAAGAAACAGTTATTTATATGAATAATAATAATAACCGTCATCACGTAGGCTATACATTAGATACTGTATAGCCATCATACTAAGACTATAAATAAATAACGAAAATCTTACGTTACGGACGTTTTTTCCCGGTTAGGGTACCTCTCCGCATCGTCTTATAAGGAACTTCGTTCCAAAAAAAATCTGCTTAAGTCTGGTAATTATTTGGTTAGATTTAAATGGCGTGCCTCGAGCGCTGGAGACGAAGTGTCCGGCTCTGGTGAGGGCTACCTCCGCGCCGGGGGAGTGTACGTGCTATGTCTGCGGGAGAGGCTCGGTCGTCTCGACGCGGCCGTGCTTCACGCACCGAACCCCCCCAACGAACTCCATCTTGCTTGGATCGTGCCACAATATCTACTCGTATCCGTAGCCGAAATTATGTTCGCCGTGTCTGGACTGGAATTCTCCTTCACTCAGGTACAATGTTAAATCAATCGTGCCAGCGCACATGTCGTCTTCTCGCATTAAAACTGTATAATCTTAAAACTTACTAAGTTTACAGGAGAGTGTTTTAAAGGTTTAAAATGTGATATTTTTAATATTAACATTATGTATATGTATTTTAAAGTAAGATAAAATTATGTATTAATTTTGTTAATAGTAGTCAAAATATAGGTAAACTAAAAAAAATAATTAAATTTAAGCTATGCTCTTTTGACAGTATTTATGAGAAAAATACTGGTGATACCAAATGATTCCGCATATTAACTCAATTTCGAATATTTTTGGAAATTGTACACTTTTAATGCGAAAAGACGATGTCTGTTGTAGCTTTATTTAAGTGTTTTAGGAAAACAACGTTCGAACTAACTCAAAAGACTTATTCATTTAGCAATGGCTGAAAGGCTTTGAAACAGCTCGCTTTGTTTGTGTTGAATAAAGAAAATGCATTTCGTATTTAAAAGGAAATTTAAACTGTACATCCTATTTAATAGAATCTCTCCGGTCTAGTGCACATTGCTGTTGTCTATTTATTCATAGAGTAGGAGGAATCGTATAAGTTTTTGTTTGCCTTTGTGAAGTTTAATGAAGCTCAGACAGCCCGTGGTCGCTTGTTCTGTAATTAATGTATTTCACATTTTTATCATTATATTATTATACTAGCTGACCCTGCTGACTTCGTAGTGCCTCTATCGATAAATAAAAGACCTAAGCTTTTGTATAAAATAAACTTAAAACAAACAAAAGGAATCCGTCCGAAGGCGGACACATCAAAGGAAAAACAAAATTGTTATTTTTATTTAATTCCGAGTATTTTCATATATACTATACCTTTTAAACCTTCTCAGGACTTCGACAAATAATTCAAGACGAAAATTAGCCGAATCGGTCCAGCCGTTCTCGAGTTTTAGCGAGACTAACGAACAGCAATCCATTTTTATACTATATATAGATTATTTCTATTTTACAAAGGCACCGAAGAGCATGAAAACAATAACAATTGCCGCGTGGTACGTCTCGGTCGCTTTTGGAAACTTGATCGTAATCCTCGTGGCTCAGACCAAGATTTTCGAGTCCAGGGTAAGCCTTCTTCCCCTTTATATCTAATGAGATACGATGGAAGGAAGAAAATTTAGATTTTCGTCATTAGTATTCATATTGTGCGACTAGGAAATGCAACTACTTTTGAATATAAATCGGTTTCGAAATTGATGTTCGTAAAAACGATGTTCGTGTCTATTTCGTTAATATGAATACTATAATAACTCATTCAATTCACAGATACCTACATAATTTATTGCATTTGTGGCGTGTTCTGAGTAGCCAGTTATTTTAAGCTTGTAGAGAATTATCCGATCATTCGAATGCATTTTTATTTAGCGGTAGTAATAGGCAGAACGATGGTACCGACTCATGCACACTCATAAAATGTTTGTGTAAAGTATATAGGTACTAGGTAAAGTTTTTATTAATTTATTCTCACTGGTATTTAAAACCTTTTTAACCGACTTCAAAAAAGGAGGAGGTTCTCAGTTCGACTGTATGTTTTTTAATACACTTTGATTAGCTTCAGACGTATGTACGTTTGTAACGGAATCTTTGAACATGATTTTGATCCCCTTAAAACGTCGGATTAACTCGAAATTTGGTATACTTATTAAGGACCGATGACAATTCAATATACAATAAAAAAATTGAAAAAAATTATAAAACAAGTAAAAAAATTACATGTGTGCAATTCACACGTGGTAGAAGTGAAACCTTCCAAAATTAAAATACAATTATCCTAAACGTCTTAAGTATATGTAAAATTTTGTCATTAGTAAATAATTGTAAGGTAGCGCCCTCTGTGAATTGATATTTTAATTTCACGTATAATCCTAAATTAAAATTCACTACACACGTTAGTATTAAAAAATCTCACAGATGGCGCTGTATTAAATAGTATGTATATTTCTGTCTCATTCTTTGCTGGCTTCATCCTACACATTTTTGTATTTGTGTCTCTTACCTGTCGTTTTTTCCGTTGCATCCGGTTTGAAATCACAACGATTCTAAAGAAGTTTTCACTTCAAAAATTTGAAATTCAACAATAAAATGAAAATAAATAATAGTTTAAAAAAACTAACAAAATACGCTTTTATAGAACATTGTATACTTCTATACTCAAAACTTAGGTACTCTGTTGCGACAAAATACTGTGAATATAGTGGATGCGAGTGGACAGTGAAAATTGTTCGGCAGTCGAAGTCTTTTTGTGTGCAAACACGAGTAGGGCCTTCGTACAATTTAGTGGAGGAAATGTGTTTGCGGGAAGATCGAATTGGTTCAATCTTCTCCAGCCCGGGAGTTTATCTAACTAGCCACTAGTGGTTACCGCCTAATGATCTGCGATAAAATTTAGACCATCGCCAAATACTACATAGTTGAGTTTTAGGCTCCGAAGTTAAATTGTGACGGGTGACTTGCTCATGAATTATTAACTGGAAATTATTGTGTTGAATGGTCAAGTTTGTTACAATTTTAATTTACGTATATAGATTTTTTTTATATTTACCTAACGTAAGCACAAAGATAATTAAACAACACAAGGTGTATTGTGAAAACAAAAAAAAATGCTCATTTGTCGTGAGTTTTCGGTTGAGGTGTCGAAAATTACTTTTTGATCAAACTATAATTTACTGAAACGCTCATCCAAAAGTCAGACTTAATACAATTAAGAAATAAAGGCTATTATTCTTCCGTCATGGATTTTTCGATACTATTGGTGTATAGGCGACGGAGTTCTTCGTTTACGCTGCGGTGCTAGCTGTGGCCATGCTTACGTTTTTGAAGATGTCACGTGGTTTTCAATCGCGGGGCGATAATGAAGACGGATCTTCGACTGAGAGCCGCCCCCTTCTAAGGCACCGATCAAGGGTTAGTTTTTCTTATTATCGAAATATTAATAAAAAATAAACACATTTAAAGATATTAAAAATCTAACATAGGCTACGTAATTAAAACACATTATGTTACTTTTTTAGAATTTAAGTGATTTATTTTGCTATATCAAAACAGATTTTGACGTTTTGATCCTATCTGCACTTAGCATCGCCGTATAAATCAGATACTAGAATTACCATTCTAGAATTCGAAAAAATATTATCTCCGTGGTTAGAGAACATAATAAAAAAAATGTTCAATGGAAAATAAACGGGAGCGTAATGTTTGGAAATTCGAAAATATATAATACAATTTTAAAATGTAGTTTTGTACAACGAATTCAACCGCGTTAGATGAAAATTTAAATATTTGAAAAAGGAGCATATCTTACGTTATTAGACTTTAGTAGCGGTTGGGAAAAAATGATTTAACTGTTAAATTTCTCGCTTCTTTTATTGTAGCGAGATAACATATTTATCGATAGATTTTTCAGTTCAATCATAATTTTTTAATAAGATAAAGGTACAAAATCATTATAGGTTGTAAATTATTCAAATTTCTTGAATAAATATATATACATACAAAAATCGATTATCTGAAATCTGGCACCCCTGAATGTCATTTTTGTAAACATCATCAACGGGCAGAAAAAAATTATTCATTAATGTTTTACTATAAAATTAAAACTACTTTTCCAAGCTCTATTTTCGGCGATTCGAATTGTTTAGGTCACGGCTGACTAAGGTGTTTTTCGCTGACATTAGATTTCTTTTCTAATTTTCGTGAGAAAATATTTAATATCTTTATTGACATTTATTGTACACCGAAAGAAGAAACAGTTATTGAAGTCTGGCATGTTGAATGGGTTTTTCATTTTCAGGAAAAGATGAGCCCGGGTGTTAGACGGTTTTGTGATCAGAGTATACGTCTTTAATTTATAATTGATATCACAATGTGCTTCGTAGTTATACAGGGAAGGTTTTTAAAATACTCAAATAGCAGATTCGATTACTCGGCATTAAAATGTGATTATGTTAAAACGTTCTATTGTACCAACAAAATCTGATCCCCAACTTAATCTAGACAACAGAAGCCACGCAAATTACAAAATTAAATTTGTTTACGCGTACTTACCTATTTTAATAATAGCAAATGAAACATGAGAATATAATAATGCCCTTTAACCTTTAGTCAAATTAACCTGAGAAATGTTTCGGCTCATCAGAACATTACCTACTTCAAATTAATATCAAAAGGTATTTCATGAAATACGATGACCTTTAACAATTGCAGGTAAAATGTACTTGAAAACAAAATTGGTACATATAATAGTAGCAGTGGTAAAATATTATCAAAATACAACGAAATCTGTGATCTAGGGACGTAAGACGTAAGGAAAACATTCATTAATCAGTAATAGAGCTTCTGAGATTATAATGATTGATAAAATTGACGCCCACGTGTATTGTTCAAAGGCATCGATTGTGGCGATTAATATTACGGCATTTTTGGCCTATCCCAATAATAAGTAAAATTTAAGCATTCACAATTTGTCACCTTTACTGGTGGACGTCTTGTGACTCGGCACGTGTAGGTACCACCGCCTCGCCTGTATCTGCCGTGAAGCAGTAATGCGTTTCGGTTTGAAGGGCGGGGCAGCCGTTGTACTGTTAAAAATGAGAACATACAACTCATTTTTCAAGGTGGGTGGCGGCATTTACGTTGTAGATGTCTATGGGCTCTAGTAACCACTTCACACCAGGTGGGCTGTGAGCTCGTCCACCTATTTAAGCAATAAATAAAAAACCTGTAGCATATTTTTGGCAATTAAGTTTAAACTAAAATATGAATACGTATGTAATAATTAAAAACAATTCTATTGTCATCAATGTAGGATAAACTGACTGTAGTATTATTATGCATTATGGCACAGCTATTTAAAATCAATATCTGATGTATTAAAAGTTAGTACTATGTCTCAAGTTAAGTTCTAGTTCCAACATTCGATTCCAGATCGAAAGCTTATCGGCCTAACTATATCGCAAAAAAATGTATATTGTGCATAAAAGTTTGAACTAAGTCATGGGCACAATCTTGTCTGTAATGAGTCATTACGGATACTCCCGATCCATTAACGGTGCTTCTAGGCACCACAAGCACTGGTCACCGTCCTCGTCGAACCCGTTGCTTGCGACGAAGGGCTCGACGAGCGAATTAACCCATAGACAGCACATTGAATTTTTCGCCGGATCTTCTCAGTGGGTCGCGTTTCCGATCCGGTGGTAGATTCTGCAAAGCACTGCTCAGGGTCAGTGTTAGCAACTCTCCCGGTTTGAGCCCCGTGAGCTCATCTACACGTTAGGGTGAAGCTGCCTTTCAAGGCTATCTTCATAGGTAGGAAAAAAAACTGTAATGTAAACTTAATATCATTCTAAAATTCCTCATTACGTTAAATTGTAATTCTACTTTGTATTAAGTAATCTTAGAGCAGATAACAGATGACGGCTCACTTTATATAAAATGTATTTTATTCCTTATATTCAATAGCGTGGTATAAAATCGAACTGGTGACTAACATAGCAGGTGGGAGATTAAACAATGGCGGGTATTTAAATTTAAAACATTAGATTCATTGAATACATCTAAAATCTTTTTTTTTTATATTTTCAATATATTAAGCTCAGTATATTCGCCTCTGATAAGGTGTGTAGGGCATGGCTTCTCCCAATTAATGCTATATTAGCGAATGCCATAACAATGCCGATATATTATGCAGCGTCAATTAAGGTCATTCGGTTTGCTAGGGCTAGTGTTAGCAAATTGTCTCTCAGGTTGAGCCTGTGAGCTTACCTACCCGTCTTGGCGTAGTTGAAATAGCCTCTTAGGTTACCAGCGAATAAGTAGAGGGAAAAAAACACTTGCAAGGGCGAGGGCGAGGTATGATACCAAACGCGATACCACAAATTCATATCACATTCGAAAATTACACCTTATATTTTTTTTAATCAACTGTTGTGCAATCTCCATGTAATGCAGAGGACGGTTACCAGCTAGCTGTCTTCGTATTATAATTATTCGTGATAATTAAATTATTTATACTTTGTTTAGTAATGAACTTTTTTTAATTTATTTTAGGTTTTTTTTATTGCTTAGGTAGTTGGAAGAGCTCACAGCCCACCTGGTGTTAAGTGGTTACTGGAGCCCATAGACATCTACAACGCAAATGCGCCACCCACCTTGAGATATAAGCCCCACCCTTCAAACCGAAACGCATTACTGCTTCACGGCAGAAATAGGCAGGGTGGTGGTACCTACCCGTGCGGTCTCACAAGAGGTCCTACCACCAGTAAAAATGGTCAGTAGCTAATCCCATTTGGGTTTCGGAAACGGTCTTTCAAATCTTGTAATGTACGCTAATTGTATATAGTCTACAAAACTGAACCGGGAATGTAACTCTGATCTCTCGAAGATGAATCGTGTATGGGCGCAACGGCGTTTTTTTTTTTTTTATATATTGTGGTTTTCAGAAATTATATTTAAATACGAATTACATATTGATAAAATGATGAAATATGAATAATATTTTTCGAAAGAATAATAAAAAAATATGAACTGGTTATTTATAGAAAAAAGCAGAATTATCGATAAAGTTGATTATTGAAAACACGAATAAAACAACATTTTCTGAAAATAAATTGTAGCTAGATCGATTTATCGCCCCCGAAATCCTTTGTATACTAAATTTCATGAAAATCGTTGGAGCCGTTTCCGAGATTCAGATTATTTATATATTTATATACAAGAATTGCTCGTTTAAAGATGTAAGATATTATAAACAAAGTAAATTAACTTTGTAGGTAATATCCGTGCATTCATTGTCGACGGGAAGCACTCGCGTGTTTAGCCGAGGATCTGAAAGCGTCGCGTCCTGTCTAGGAGTAATGAAGCAAGCGCACTCTTCCCTCTGGCCTCAGCGGGCTCATGTAAACCTAGCCACACCCACGTCCACGGATCTAAACGTCACTACTTTAGCTAAATAATTAATGTATGTGAAGTAATAAATGTTTATCCTTAATGCTTTGTTCCTTTTACTATTTATTCAATAGAAAGTCTACGGTCGAAATAATTTAAGGTAATCCTTAAGTTTGGGAGTAAGCTGAATAAATCAAGGTTAAGCTTTAAAGTACGCTCAATATTGATTTTTTTTTATAATGCCTATAAATGCTCAAAGATAACTGGAAATTGACAAGCGGGATACAGAGGAGGGCCGTTCGGATTGTCGATAATCCCAGTCTCACGGATCGTTTGGAGCCTCTGGGTCTGCGGAGGGACTTCGGTTCTCTCTGTATTTTATACCGTATGTTCCATGGGGAGTGCTCTGAGGAATTGTTCGAGATGATACCGGCATCTCGTTTTTACCATCGCACCGCCCGGCATCGGAGTAGAATTCATCCGTACTACCTGGAGCCACTGCGGTCTTCCACAGTGCGTTTCCAGAGATCTTTTTTGCCACGTACCATCCGGCTATGGAATGAGCTCCCCTCCACGGTGTTTCCCGAGCGCTATGACATGTCCTTCTTCAAACGAGGCTTGTGGAGAGTATTAAGCGGTAGGCAGCGGCTTGGCTCTGCCCCTGGCATTGCTGAAGTCCATGGGCAACGGTAACCACTCACCATCAGGTGGGCCNTGGAATGAGCTCCCCTCCACGGTGTTTCCCGAGCGCTATGACATGTCCTTCTTCAAACGAGGCTTGTGGAGAGTATTAAGCGGTAGGCAGCGGCTTGGCTCTGCCCCTGGCATTGCTGAAGTCCATGGGCAACGGTAACCACTCACCATCAGGTGGGCCGTATGCTCGTCTGCCTACAAGGGCAATAAAAAAAATAAAAAAAGCGGCAATTTGACTTGAAAAATTCTAATAGTTTTAAAAAACTAATAAAAACAAAGCATTTTTGCTTATTCACGATCCACCTGGTGTTAAGTGCTTGCATGAGCCCATGGATGTCGTGTCATTCCGATAGAGGCACCCGTCACGTGCGGACGTGCTCATCGTCCACTCGATCGCCCGGTCTTTGTTCGCCCGGCTTTTGTTAGCCCGGCCATTGTTCGCGCGGCCTGTGTTTGTGGTACATCTGCCGACTAAGTGCTCTTTCTGGAAGTTTTTATTTGTTTTGTTTCCTTTTGTTGTTTCTGTGTTCGTGGTACATCTGCCGACAAAGTGGTTTCCTGCAAGTATTTATTTGTTTTGTTTCTTTTCGTAATTTCTGTTTTGTTGTGCTTTTTCTTTGTCCTGTAGTAATCGCGCCGCATTGCCACCTGTGTTCAATAGAACCGCTCAGGTCCGAGAAGTTGGGGCCTCGCCGCAAGGCGAGTGTTTTCAAGACCCGGGGCCGCCCCACCTGGGTACTCAGCGATCATGGACGCTGTATTCGCGGAATTCCTCCGACTTCGCCACCCACAGCTCGCCTCGGAGTTTTTGGCCTTCAAGGCCAATCACACTGCGAGCCCTCTCGAGGACTCCGCCGCGCTCGCTGCTCCTGCGTCGCCTGTACCTGCGTGCAGAGCTTCTGCATTGAGCACCGCAGCCTCTGTCGTGCCTGCCGCTCCCGTGTCGCCTATACTGGCGAGAAAAGCTGCTGCGTCGTCCGCCGTGACCATCGTTTCAGCTGAGCGATCATCCGCGGCCTCCGTCGCGCCCTCTAAAACACCTACACTTGCTCGTAGGTCGCCTGCACCCGCCTCCTCGTGCTCCGACTCTGACTCGGACATGGAGGTCGACCTCGCCCCCGCCTCATCGACGGATGGATTCACCCTGGTACAGAAGGGTAAGAAGCGTGCCGCGGAGTCTCGAGCTCCCGCGGCCGCTAAAATTAGCAAAGCCGTGAACGCGTCGCGCCCCCGCCCTCAGACTCCCGTTGCGCCCCCAGCCCGTGCCACTCCGTCGCCGCGTCCGGTGGCACAAAATAAAACCCAGACCCCTCCCCCGGTTATCCTTCAGGAGAAGGCAGCTTGGGATCGAGTTTGCCTGGCCCTTAAGGCCAAAAATATAAATTTCACGAATGCCCGTAACCTCGCGAACGGCATTCAAATTAAGGTTCAAACACCCGACGACCATAGGGCCCTCTCTTCTTACCTCCGTAAGGAGCGTATAAGTTTCCATACGTATACGCTCCAGGAGGAGCGCGAACTCCGCGTTGTAATACGCGGAATCCCTAAAGAGTTAGATGTAGAGCTCGTAAAAGCCGACCTGTTAGAACAAGGCCTACCAGTGAATTCTGTGCACCGTATGCACACCGGTCGCGGTAGGGAGCCATATAATATGGTTCTAGTCGCTCTCCAGCCTACCCCCGAGGGTAAGAAAATCTTTAACACACAGACCGTCTGTAGGCTCTCTGGTATCGCTGTCGAAGCCCCCCATAAAAAAGGCACTCCTAGCCAGTGCCATAACTGTCAATTGTACGGGCACTCTTCCCGTAACTGTCACGCGCGCCCCCGATGTGTTAAGTGTTTGGGCGATCACGCCACGGCCCTCTGCGCTCGCGACCAAAAAACCGCGACGGAACCGCCTAGCTGCGTCCTGTGTCGAACACAGGGTCACCCCGCGAATTACCGTGGTTGCCCCCGAGCCCCTAAAATAAATCGCCGCGTCGCCCGCCAAAACCGCCTCCGAGCTTCCGGCCCAGACATCAAAGCCTCGGCACCCTCTGCGTCGCAGGCTAAGCCAGCGTTCGTTCCGGCGGCGGTGCCCAGTGTCTCGGCCTGGGCAAAACCGCTGCCGTACACGAACACGGCTACAACTCCCTCCTCCGCGATTCGTCCCGCCCCCGCGACTCGTCCCTCTCCCGCGACTTGCCCTCCGACCGCGTCCGACAATCTCGCTTTAGCGATCGACTTCTTTCAGTCGATCAACTTTGAGCGCGTTAACGCTTTGGGCGACGCCATTCGCGCTGCCTCCACTGCACAACACTTTATCGCCGTTGTGCAGGAATACGCCGACGTATACGCGTCATTAAATACGTACGTCCTCCCCTCACTCCGCCGGTAATCAATGGCGTATATAAGTAGAATAAAGCCCCTATCCGTAACGATAGGATTTTTTAACGCTTACGGTCTCGCAAATCAACGTGATCAGGTTTCTGACTTTTTGCGTGACCATCAAATTGATATCTTTTTAGTGCAGGAGACCCTACTTAAGCCCGCGCGCCGTGACCCTAAAATCGCGAACTATAACATGGTCAGGAACGACAGGCTCTCTGCCCGTGGTGGTGGTACCGTCATTTACTATAGAAGAGCCCTGCATTGCGTCCCGCTCGATCCTCCCGCGCTCGCTAATATCGAAGCATCAGTGTGCCGAATCTCACTGACGGGACACGCGCCGATCGTTATCGCGTCCGTTTATCTTCCACCGGATAAGATCGTTCTAAGCAGTGATATCGAGGCGCTGCTCGGTATGGGGAGCTCTGTCATTCTGGCGGGCGACCTAAATTGTAAACACATCAGGTGGAACTCACACACCACAACCCCGAATGGCAGGCGGCTTGACGCGTTAGTCGATGATCTCGCCTTCGATATCGTCGCTCCGCTAACCCCGACTCACTACCCGCTAAATATCGCGCATCGCCCGGATATACTCGACATAGCGTTATTAAAAAACGTAACTCTGCGCTTACACTCGATCGAAGTAGTTTCAGAGTTAGATTCAGACCACCGTCCCGTCGTTATGAAGCTCGGTCGCGCTCCCGATTCCGTTCCCGTCACGAGGACTGTGGTGGATTGGCACACGCTGGGCATCAGCCTGGCTGAATCTGATCCACCATCGCTCCCGTTTAACCCGGACTCTATCCCGTCTCCTCAGGATACCGCTGAAGCCATAGACATCTTAACGTCACACATCACCTCGACATTAGATAGGTCATCGAAACAAGTTGTAGCGGAGGACTTCCTTCACCGCTTCAAATTGTCCGACGATATTAGGGAACTCCTTAGAGCTAAGAACGCCTCGATACGCGCCTACGACAGGTATCCTACCGCGGAAAATCGTATTCGAATGCGTGCCCTACAACGCGACGTAAAGTCTCGCATCGCCGAAGTCCGAGATGCCAGATGGTCTGATTTCTTAGAAGGACTCGCGCCCTCCCAAAGGTCTTACTACCGCTTAGCTCGTACTCTCAAATCGGATACGGTAGTAACTATGCCCCCCCTCGTAGGCCCCTCAGGCCGACTCGCGGCGTTCGATGATGACGAAAAAGCAGAGCTGCTGGCCGATACATTGCAAACCCAGTGCACGCCCAGCACTCAATCCGTGGACCCTGTTCATGTAGAATTAGTAGACAGTGAGGTAGAACGCAGAGCCTCCTTGCCACCCTCGGATGCGTTACCACCCGTCACCCCGATGGAAGTTAAAGACTTGATCAAAGACCTACGTCCTCGCAAGGCTCCCGGTTCCGACGGTATATCCAACCGCGTTATTAAACTTCTACCCGTCCAACTCATCGTGATGTTGGCATCTATTTTCAATGCCGCTATGGCGAACTGTATCTTTCCCGCGGTGTGGAAAGAAGCGGACGTTATCGGCATACATAAACCCGGTAAACCAAAAAATCATCCGACGAGCTACCGCCCGATTAGCCTCCTCATGTCTCTAGGCAAACTGTATGAGCGTCTGCTCTACAAACGCCTCAGAGACTTCGTCTCATCCAAGGGCATTCTCATCGATGAACAATTCGGATTCCGTACAAATCACTCATGCGTTCAACAGGTGCACCGCCTCACGGAGCACATTCTTGTGGGGCTTAATCGACCAAAACCGTTATACACGGGAGCTCTCTTCTTCGACGTCGCAAAAGCGTTCGACAAAGTCTGGCACAACGGTTTGATTTTCAAACTATTCAACATGGGCGTGCCGGATAGTCTCGTGCTCATCATACGGGACTTCTTGTCGAACCGCTCTTTTCGATATCGAGTCGAGGGAACCCGCTCCTCCCCACGACCTCTCACAGCTGGAGTCCCGCAAGGCTCTGTCCTCTCACCCCTCCTATTTAGC